GACGAAAATCGCAGGCAAACTTCTCAGTTTATGCCGGAACGGCCCTTAAATGCAGGAATGACGAAATTGGATTGCTTTTACTACTGATGAAAGTCATGAACAACGATTTACGTTTTGCTGACAGCTATTAATTCGCTCCAATTATAAAGTTAACGAAGAACGCTAGTCTAATTAAGTTGCAACACCCCTTTCAATACAATCTTTTTGCAAAATGACCGATAAATTGTCTTTAAATAATTTCAAATTTCAATCAGGTTTTTGTTGCCCATGGACATGATCGGATATTGTGAAAATATCGGCAAAGTGAAACTAACTACTCTGCGCTTTCAACTGATCTTTCTGTAAATTGTTCGTTTCAATTTTCACGCTACGTCATGATCATGCACTTTCTGGGTACAAACTCCAAAGTTTATTTTAAAGGCACGAAAAACCTCTTGACCCCCGACAGAGGTGTCAGATGTTTACCCTATAGAAATGCCTTGTATATATCGTAGGATAGTCATGTGAGGCAATTTTTTTTAATCTTTAATGTTTGCCATTCACTGAAATCTTTAAGCTATAAATGTGGATGACTTGCGGAAGCCTCGAAAAAGGGAAATCTAACGAGCTGGGCAGAGGCGTACAGTTTCTTTAAACGAAAAAAAATGGGGTTCGCAGGAAGAGTACCTCGGCAATTGATGAGCACAAAGATTTTTGATTTTTTCAAAGATTGTGGGATTTGTGTAATTGAAATGGTAGCCTCAATTAATTCGCCTCCGTTAACACCAACCAGTCCGTTTTGAACGCCATTATTGGCAATTAACAATTGTGTGTTTTCCTTCCCCAAGGCGGGGGTTGGTCGACAGGAATTACCTCTTGATAAGATTATTGATACGAAGGATGCTTTTCAGTATATTTCTAGACTTTGTGGCAGAGTTGGTGGGTAGAAACGCAAGGAAAATGCACTCAACTTCTAAATAAAACACGATATAAAATAAAACCACAGGCAGAGGCAGAGCAAATATGAAATATTGAAAATATAAATACAACAAACATATTTAATAACAGCTACGAGGAGACAAGACGAAAAAAGTTCATCATGGGTTATTATAGGATTATAGGACGGGAGCGTTTCGCATGAAAGATAGCAAAATACTTGCCAAGGCAATACTGTCTCATTTTAGTTGCGACCGTTTAAAACTGGCGCTTTTCCAAAAGCAATGACATGCATGCATGTTTGATGTGCACATGGACAAATGATGTGTGTGACTAAAATAGCCGCGTGTTAAACCATTCTTTGTGTAAGACAAAGAATTATTATGTACACGGTGAACGTGGTATAGGAAACCCTAAAATTTCATCCTACGTTGCCAGTTTTGAAAACGTCTATAATCAGCGCTTTTTCCATGCGACAGTTTTATTACTATGGACTATTCTAGTCATGTATGTGAATTCCGTCCTGGGGCCGAAAAGCAAGTCTATCGTTTTACTCAACAAGCAAACTAAATGCTTTTAACCTTAATACAAAGATACTGTTTACAACTACATATTCAGTGCATAATATTCAAGTTAACTCATTCAAGACAAATGTAAGAGTGTTATTTAATTTTGACTTATCCACCGTTGAAGCTAAACGGGCTTGATACAACCGGCCCCTGGAGTTTTTAACCGATAATTAACCATAAAAAAGCCGTTTGTACGTTACCTACAGTATAGTAACATCCTTGGAAGATTCGCAGTATTTTATATTACAAATTCCGACGTTTCAAGGAAAACCATTCAATGATGCAGCACTTCAATTTTCCAAGCACTGAGACAATCTTATCATGAACCAAAACACTTGCCAAATCACGATCATAAACGTATATAAAATTGTTATTCTGACTCCAGTGAAAGACGTATTCTTACAAATTTAATTAGTATTTCATATCAGTATAGAAAAGTACTTCTTGCATATAAGCAATATTTTTCTACTTCATATACGATGTAAACATTGTGAAAAATAAGAAGTTATGGAAACCACACTTTAGATGCATGTCTAGCTATAGTAGAGACGCTATAGAACAGACCGCTGAAATTATTCGGTGATAAAATTAAGGACTATACAACGTAACTCAACGTCAACAATTTTACAATATTCTTTATACAACGTCCCCCAAAATTACTGAATAAAGTTCATATTCAGCGCACAATTATTTTAAACAATATACTAGAATTTCTTCATAGCTTTAAGGGGGTCCTCTACTAAAATTTTCACTTTGACTTCGAAATTTTTGAATTTTCAAAGACAGTCATTATATGTACTTTCAACCTTCCTCTATGGCCTCAGAAATTTTCAGTGCGCATAGAATACTACAACACACTAAAAAAAAGCAAATTCCTGAACGTTTGGCTATTTTCTGCCTTAGCAACGCCCTTAGCAACAGCTGTTTTTGTTTGAAAATCCCGCCTGAAAGCCCTTCTTTTTATCCAATGAGAACGTTTTTCTGTATATTATATGAAGTAGTCCTTCTGCTTTCTTAACACACCCGCTGAAAGCTCTTTTAACGATCTGAAGGCGTCTTTTGAGCTAAATTAACTCATTGTGTTGTTCTCGTGTTCTCAACTCTCAAGCGTTCGTCAAGCGTAATTTGCGTTATTTGCATATTCCGATATTATATATTCATATATTCACGATGCTAAGGAAAGGTTCAAGAGTAAGGAAATGGAAATTTCATGGCAATAGATTCACGGACTCTTTAAGGAAAGCGCGTCTTGAGAATGATTCTGTTGTGCCATCAACTTCAACTAATGATCGAAGTCAATTCGTCTCCAAATATTTCTGCTTCCGCTCGTAAGATTGGTAATCCATGTCCACGAAATGCTCCCCCAGTTTCAGCTACCGTGACAGGGTATCGATTTATTGATATGGAGATCCTGAACTATGTTTTTAAGCAAATGATTTGGAGTGAATGTGGTTCATCGTCTTGTCTTGTTTTGGAAGAAGACCCACGTGAACGAAAAGGCAGTGCGTCTCATCTTCGTGTTCGTTGCCAAACATGTGGTTGGGTGTATACCTTTTATACATGAAATAAAGTTCAGCACTCGTTTTATATCAACAAGCGATTTGTGTATGCTATGCGAAGTATGGGACAAGGACAATGCGTGTATCTAAGGGCCATTCGTTTTTCACTGAAACAAAAATCGAATTGCGATCATAAAACTTCGTTTTTTCTTTTTTATGTTTGAGAAAAACGGAAATTGAATTGAATTCCGTTTTCTTCGTCTGAGAAATGGAACGAAATAAAGATTTTCCTTCGTTACTTTCAAACTATTTTCTGAACATGGGAAAACGGATTTTCAAACTGAATTTCAATTTCCATCAAAGGGCTGATTAGAAGTTTTCTCATGCTACGCCCCCCCCCCCTGGATTTTCGCGCCTTTTTGTTATTTTCGTGCATTTTCCGTACGACATACTGGATATCAACACGACGCGAGATATGGAAGACGAAAACTTAAATTTTTCCTTCGGTGAAGGAGATGAAAGAAAAGATCGAAAATTAAAAAAGAGTCAAGTTAACGTAGAAAGGTTAGCCTGTATGTTTGGGGTAAGTGGATGGGATAAATGACCTGTTTTCGTTTGTGATTTTTAGTCTAAAATTTTCGAAGTTTACAAACTGAATGGTTACGTTGCACTTTGCAGTTGGAACTAATAGGAATACACATTGTTGACGAATTTTCGGGCAACACAGAGTGGCCAAACAAGGAAGGTCGGTTTGACTTAAGTGATTTTCGAAAGGAATCCTTTGTAAAAGTCGAAGGTGAAAGAAAAGGAAGAGCTAGTGCGTCAACCTCATTTGGAGGATTGCACTCGCTGCAGTCTCCTTCAAGCTCATTTGCTTCAAGTTCTAATTTCAGTGGATATTCTCCTATGTTCAGGTAAGTAAAAAACCCAGTTCAATTTACGTTAGGACAGAGAGGACTCCTCAGTTATTTCATGTTTTATTCACAATCATCATCCATTTCGAATATTAGCCTTGGGCGGCTAATCGTGTTAAAGTATAGAGTCAAGCGGATTAGACTAGTCGAAGTCAATGTAATGTTTCAGCAGTATGCAGTGTCAGTGGCATATTGAAGTGTAAAGTAAAAGTTTAAAGTATGAACAAAATATTTGAGTCTTTTCTAACTTTGTCGAAGCCTCACTTGCAGCTTTTATCGGAAATATAAGTCGCGCATCTCACTTTAATGGGTCCACTCGCAGCTCGCAGCTGTTCAATTTTATTTCCTCGCAGCTACGCGTAGAGAATTTGATACATGTTTTTCAACCTGGGAAGTCAAGCGGCCTTTTTCTTCAATTTCCTTCTGTAGATCTGTTGTGCCTTCCAAAAAAAAGAGTAACAGCTACTGTCTGAAAGTTACACTGGCTAAGAAGAATGGGAATAAAGTGACAAATCAAACAAGGCAGACCTATGTTACCATAAATGATGTTACAGCGACTGTCCCGTACATAACTGCCCAATGCAGGGAAGAGTTTCAGAACAACACACACTAATTCTCGTGTCTTCTAATTGTTTACCCATTGAAGATAGTGATGCAACTAAAGGTATGTCATCTAGTACACCACATCACAATTTTATGACAATTTTACACATGGCTATTTCGCCAATAAATGACTGTGTCTGTGAATTATATCAAATAAATAATGTTATTTCTCACTTCCCATATATTGAACAAACCAGGTCACAAATTTTTATGTTAACAACGTACATAATTCACTCTCAGACAACCGCAAAATTTCAACGAAAATACACTTTTAAGCAAGCATTTTTAAGTTGAACTAAGTAATTGTCTTTGATGATGTCATGACAGGATTAGCATTTTGGAAGGCAAACTCAAGAAAAACATTTGCGGTACCGCAAACAGTAAAGAATGAGCGTGGTATCATATGTCTAGATGATGATCTTGATGATGATGATGACCCTGAAACAATTACTTTTGGTGAAAAATCAGGTAATATTGCATCAACCTGATACCATGCAATGTTATTCTATCTATAATAATAGATGTATATTCATAACAAAAAGTATGGTTTTTATATCCTTTGCTAGGTGACTAGTAAGAATATGAAAAGCAATATAAAATCTGCTGTGATGGATGCTGTCAATGAAGTATTACCAAAAGCAATGCAATCATTGCAAGAAAATTTTGAAAAAGCTTTGAAAAGTCATGTGAGCAATAAAGCATTTGTTGAGAAAGCACTGCAAAATTCATTTTTGAAAGAAATAACAGATTGTTTTCAGTGCATAATTTGTAAAGATACATCAACATCACCTATTATAGTTTCCAGTTGTTGTGAGTCAGTCATTGGTTGTTTTGAATGTGTAAAAACATGGACAGACACTGGAAAAACAACATGCCCAAAGTGCAGAGAGGATGGCTTCAACACTGCCACAATTTCTCTTAATAGTTTTGATGATTTTATCAAAAAGTTGCATTGAATATCATACAGTATATACAGCGATAGCAATGGACACAAGACTGTTAAACGCCTTTTGAGATTAATGATTGATATCATCTAGACATTAATTGTTGTGTTATGTTCAAGTGCATCATGATAGCATTGCAAAAATGTGTATTATCATGTTAACTAGCTTGCCATATACCAGTTCCCAGTTAATATGATTAAATTGTTCCTCTCTTTCATTTTGTAAATGTGGATTTGTGAATAATGGATCTTGGCCAAATGCAGGAAAACGTGTTATCTTTCCACCATCGTTTTCATACCTTGCAACCGCCTCCTCGCATGTTGGAATCATGTTCAACGGCACTTTTGCCACTCTATTGTTGTTGTTTCTGAGATCAATTGGCCTTCCAACTCCTGTGATAATAAGAAATTATAAAAGGAACATTGTAAAAAAGTTTGAGATATGAAAAAAAAGTGAAAAAAGAAAAACAAAGTGAAAATTAAAGAAAATAAAAATTGAAGAGAAGCTTTCTCAAAGTTAAAAATTAAAGCTAGTGCAAATAAACTCTGATGATGTCATAAAATAAATTGGCAATGAAGGATTTCATTACGAAGATATAAATTAAACTAAATAATTGAAATTGATTATTAATTAAAGTAAATGAGAAAAAATTGTGCCAATTAAGAGAAGGATATTACCTGGTATAGCATGATGATTCCATGACCGAACTGCTTTCTCCATTCCCACAAAAGCTACTTTCAAACTGACTGATGAAACAGAATGTTTGACATTCTCAAGTTCCATGTCAATTAAATTTCTTTCCTCCATTTGACGCAAAGCTGATTTAATCGGGTAATTAACTCTTGCATTTACTTCCACCCAGAATCTTTCAATCACAAGATTCTATAAAATATAAAAATAAATGGTATGGTCCTGAAATTCTACACAGGCAGAGTTTTTCATAAGCTTAATTTTTAAGTGGATAGACATTAAGGGTAAGTACTTCTGTCTCGTTATTCGGAAAACCTAGGAAGCAATAGCCAACCCCCCTGAGTTATTGGTATGAACTATCTTCTACTATTTGGTTTTATGATGCATACCTTTTTTGATTCTGTTTGACGATGGGGATCTCTACCTTGATTTGTTCTGAACTCAGCCAACATTTCTTGGACATACAGTAAGAGGACAAACTCCATCCCATGATCAACTCTGATCTGATCAAATAATCCTTCATTTAGTATGATATTCCTGTGAATGACATTCAACATTATAAAAGGAAATATCACCTATAGCCAGGGATGGATCAAGTGTGGTTTATAATATTCCAGAAAACAGCAGCATGGGGATATTAGAATGTATGTTTGTTCATAAAAATATGAAAGACAATGAGGTGTAACTTTGATTGTTAGAGCCAGATTCTTGTAATTTAGCAATAATTCCATGCATAATTTTTTTAAATTTCAATTAATACCGAAATTTGCACCCCCAGTCACCCTTGCTTATGGCTCATTGATATATTTCAATATTTTCACATTTCTAATGTGATTTTCATGTGACTCATAATTCAATAAAAATTAAATACCTGAACATGTCATAAATCACGACATTGTTTTTTACTGGCATACATGAAAATGCAGTAATAAACCTGGAATATCCATCAATTGCACAAACATGTGTGACACCAAACATAGCTATTTTTTCATTCTGGTCTAAGTGCAACTTGTGGCCAAAATATTCTGCGATGTATGGATGTGGATTTGTAAGTCTTTCGGTTCGTGCGTTACGCTGTTGCTGGTATAATGGTGAAACCCTGGCCAAGGAATTTCGAACACGTTGCTCAGAGGCAAGTGAAAATCCACATTTGCTATCCAAATAACCCTTCATCATCTTCCGCCCATAAACTGGACCAACCTGTAAAAAATATTAAACAGTGTGATACATAAAAGCTACTATAAAATGAAACGAGAGGAAACCAACATTTTGGATGACTATTAAGTTGTAGAATATGCTTAACATCATGTATTAGTATTATGTATTAGCTTGAGCAACACTTTTTTCTGTCTATCTTTCTCAAATAGATGAAAAAGTACCTCGGAAACAGCATTTTTTACAGCATCATCAAGATGTTCGTCAGAAATAATGCCTCTCTTTCTAATTCCATTTTCCTTGCAAAAGCGTTTTATACTTCGAACAGAAAAACCTCTTTGTTCCGGATACGCTGCTATAAGGGCATCCGACAAATCTTCTAATGTTTTTTCTTTTTGAGATAAGAAGCTTCTTATAAATTGTTCGTGTTCTTCTAAAGCCGCCATATTGGAAATTTCTGGTTTGTGACGGGGGGTGCGTATTGAAGAGCATCAGCCCGCATCAGCCCTTTGATGGAAATTGAAATTCAGTTTGAAAATCCGTTTTCCCATGTTCAGAAAATAGTTTGAAAGTAACGAAGGAAAATCTTTATTTCGTTCCATTTCTCAGACGAAGAAAACGGAATTCAATTCAATTTCCGTTTTTCTCAAACATAAAAAAGAAAAAACGAAGTTTTATGATCGCAATTCGATTTTTGTTTCAGTGAAAAACGAATGGCCCTTAGATACACGCATTAAGGACACTCATCACTGAAACGTTTCTGTGGCTTGATGAACATGCCACCTCCATTCCATTCAAATGCCTACAGTGCCAGTAATTCTGCACAAGATAAAGCAAACAATACAAAGCTGTACAAACCCGGTGAAGGTCTTCCTGATGATATTATTGCATTGCTCAAATCTATTTATACCAGGCTTAGCAATGATGAACTATTGAGCAAGTGCTTAGATGGAAAAACCCAAAACCAGAATGAGTCACTAAATGGCATGATTTGGAACCGGTTGCCGAAAACCATTTTTGTTGGAGCGGATGTCCTGAATTTTGGAACATATGATGCTGTAGCTCATTTGAATCTTGCCAATAAAGCAGCATTGAACATTTTGAAGAGATGGACTTAGTTCCAGGACATTTCTATGAAGAAGGAATAGAAAAAGGTGATCGTTTGCGAGTAAGGAAGGCTGAACATAGGAACACTCCTGAAGTTAGGAAACGACGAAAAATCCTCCGCTGGCAGAAAAAGAAGAAAGAAGATAAAAATAAAGGAAGAGAGGGCACCACTTATGAAGCAGGAGCTTTCTAATGTGGTAACAATGTACAGTAGCAATAAAATAGCAATAGAGCCTTGTTATTTAGACCTGTTTGTGTTATGAACTTAATATTACACTTTAAATGCATTTTTCTCAAAATGCCGAAATTCAGCAATTTCCGAGATTGTATGCAAGATATCTGAAGAAGTTTTGGAGCTATCTTGCTGAAATTTTCAGGATAGCCTCAGTATGAGTAGCTCTAGGAGATGAACTAAAGAAATTTAATTCTGATGCATTGATATCAAGTGGTATCTAATTCAATGGAATGTATTGTAACCTTTTCAATTGTTTTGCCTGTAAAACTGCTAAAACCCCACCAACCTAAAAAGTTTTAGTTCAACTCCTAGACCATGTTATTTTTGAGTAAATAAAAGTTATTTCATCATTTTATGGCTAATGGTTGTGTAGTTATCATGTTTGCAAAATGGCATCCATTTTGCTATTAAGCGTGGCATTTTCTGGTAACCGAGGCAACACAACTTTGCAATTGTATGTACTTTTTGTCAGTGACCATAGCCTAACAACATACTAAAGTATCAGTTTGGTACTATGAATAGCAAGGTTAAAAAAATTTTTGGTAGAGGACCCCCTTAATGGTTAGTTAAATTGGTTAGTTAATTAAATGTTGTTTTTCACTATTTTGACTTTCATTGTTTACGTTACTAGACGTGCTCGACCGACGTGTGTCCGTTTCTCTGTCATAAACACAGTCGTCTTCATTGTCGCTTTGTACTAACGGTTGAGTGATAGGGTTGGTGGATTTCTGAAATAGAACACGGTAGACATTGTGATTGATGGTGCGAAGGGATATTATGGAATGAAGGGACATTATGGAATGAAGGGACATTATAGAATGAAGGGACATTATGGAATGAAGGACATTATAGAATGAAGGGACATTATGGAATGAAGGGACATTATGGGATGAAGAGACATTATGGAATGAAGGGACATTATGGAAAGAAGGGACATTATGGAATGAAGGGACATTATGGAAAGAAGGGACATTATAGAATGAAGGGACATTATGGAATGAAGGGACATTATGGGATGAAGAGACATTATGGGATGAAGGGACATTATGGGATGAAGGGACATTATGGGATGAAGGGACATTCTGGGATGAAGGGACATTCTGGATTGAAGAAATCTGAAGATGTCAGATGGTTTTCATTGCTGAGGTGATAAAGTACGTGGTGAGTTGCCGCTGGCGTGTTTTTCTTAAATCTCAACTTTGAACTTTACCATTATCACTTATTTCACCAGAAAAAAATGTAACTACATAATAGAGCTTTCTCATAATGACGTCAAACGCAAAAAGCCTAATGTTGCTGATTGGCTCATCAGTTTTGCCGAGCCAATCAAATTTCGTGTGACACTGGCATCCTGCGTTTGACGCCACTATGAGGACGGTCTATCACTTACATACGATCCATTCCATAGATCCGAAAACTCTTTTCGTATTAAACTAATAATCATAACTGTTAGTAACGTCGACGGCACGAGGTAGACCAGAGCAGGCTGACCTTCTTTCATAAAATACAAAGCAGCGAATGTGATAAGAAGACCAATGCCATGAGTTTTTAACCGATAATTTACCATGAAAAAGCCGTTTGTACGTTACCTACAGCATAGTAACATCCTTGGAAGATTCGCAGTATTTTATATTACAAATTTCGACGTTTCAAGGAAAACCATTCAATGATGCAGCACTTCAATTTTCCAAGCACTGAGACAATCTTATCATGAACCAAAACACTTGCCAAATCACGATCATAAACGTATATAAAATTGTTATTCTGACTCCAGTGAAAGACGTATTCTTACAAATTTAATTAGTATTTCATATCAGTATAGAAAAGTACTTCTTGCATATAAGCAATATTTTTCTACTTCATATACGATGTAAACTTTGTGAAAAATAAGAAGTTATGGAAACCACACTTTAATAGATGCATATCTAGCTATAGCAGAGACGCTATACAACAGACCGCTGAAATTATTCGGTGATAAAATTAAGGACTATACAACGTAACTCAACGTCAACAATTTTACAATATTCTTTATACAACGTCCCCCAAAATTACTGAATAAAGTTCATATTCAGCGCACAATTATTTTAAACAATATACTAGAATTTCTTCATAGCTTTAATGGTTAGTTAAATTGGTTAGTTAATTAAATGTTGTTTTTCACTATTTTGACTTTCATTGTTTACGTTACTAGACGTGCTCGACCGACGTGTGTCCGTTTCTCTGTCATAAACACAGTCGTCTTCATTGTCGCTTTGTACTAACGGTTGAGTGATAGGGTTGGTGGATTTCTGAAATAGAACACGGTAGACATTGTCATTGATGGTGCGAAGGGACATTATGGAATGAAGGGACATTATGGGATGAAGAGACATTATGGGATGAAGGGACATTATGGGATGAAGGGACATTATGGAAAGAAGGGACATTATGGAATGAAGGGACATTATGGAAAGAAGGGACATTATGGAATGAAGGGACATTATGGGATGAAGGGACATTATGGGATGAAGAGACATTATGGAATGAAGGGACATTATGGAAAGAAGGGACATTATGGAATGAAGGGACATTATGGAATGAAGGGACATTATGGAATGAAGGGACATTATGGAATGAAGGGACATTATGGAATGAAGGGACATTATGGAATGAAGAGACATTATGGGATGAAGAGACATTATGGAATGAAGGGACATTATGGAATGAAGGGACATTATAGAATGAAGGGACATTATGGAATGAAGGGACATTATGGATGAAGAGACATTATGGGATGAAGGACATTATGGAATGAAGGACATTAGATGAAGGACATTATGGAATGAAGGACATTATGGATGAGACATTATAGATGAAGGACATTATGGAATGAAGGGACATTATGGATGAAGAGACATTATGGATGAAGGACATTATGGAATGAAGGGACATTATGGAATGAAGGGACATTATAGAATGAAGGGACATTATGGAATGAAGGGACATTATGAATTGAAGAAATCTGAAGATGTCAGATGGTTTTCATTGCTGAGGTGATAAAGTAAGTCGTGAGTTGCCGCTGGCGTGTTTTTCTTAAATCTCAACTTTGAACTTTACCATTATCACTTATTTCACCAGACAAAAATGTAACTGTATATAATAGACCTTTCTCATAATGACGTCAAACGCAAAAAGCCTAATGTTACTGATTGGCTCGTCAGTTTTGCGGAGCCAATCAAATTTCGTGTGACACTTTCATCCTGCGTTTGACGCCACTATGAGGACGGTCTATCCACTTACACACGATCCATTCCATAGATCCCAAAACTCTTTTCGTATTAAACTAATAATCATAACTGTTAGTAACGTCGACGGCACGAGGTAGACCAGAGCAGGCTGACCTTCTTTCATAAAATACAAAGCAGCAAATGTGATAAGAAGACCGATGCCATACGCTAAATGTAAAAAATACCATCATTATCATAAGTATTCAGTTGATTGAATAAGATGCTGCATTTTCGGAAAACTTACCAATCGAACTGGCAATGTAGTATATTCGATATGGCGTCTTTGCCATTCGGTCGAAAGAATGACAAAATGAAACGAAAAGACCTTGATAAACACAGAGAAATATGACTTTATTGGGGGCATTCGTTATTCTTTACTGCGCTTTACTGATTTTGTTTTCTTCAATGTCCACCATTTCAGACCAGCGCTAGTTCCTAGCTAAAGTAATCGCAACTATTGTGTTGAATGAATCCAACATACCAGGCACTAAAACATCTCCAAAACCTAGCAATGAGTAATCCCTTCTTTCACATATCAACAGAGCAGAGCGGATGATACGTGGAACTTTGAGAACCATCGGAAGCTGTTCTTTGTGTCCTTCACCTGAACATACAATAAAAACAATCGATATACTATTGACTAGTTTTTCAATCAAATAGATGGTTGCCACAAAACCGAGTTTTTGGACTTCTGATTTGGACCAGCTTTTGGAAAAACTTCTGATTTGGACCAGCTTTTTTCATAAGGCCATTTTAAAGGTTAATACTTTAACTTCCACCGTTGAATTCATAGACATAACCCCGCTGCTAAAATTAAAACGCGTATTGCTATAGCTACATCATTTACTTATCTACCTGTAGCGACGTCGACCATAACGCTGTTATGACCAGCAGAAAAAAGTGGGGTGATGAAGACGAAGAAAACGTCATAGATCAGAAGTAACACCAGCAGTAAGGTACAAATCTTCATGCTTGGCAACCGTAGATTCTTCAATATCGATATACAAAATAACACGCCAAGAATGTCTTGTAAGATCCAACCGTAGCTATTGGAAAACGTAAAGTGCGGTGTTCACATTTGCATTGCGAATGAGCGAGGATAATAAAATCTCTAGTCGTTGAAACAAGCGGCATTTTCTCAAATTACCTTTCGTTGCGTACAATAACCCACCAGGTGGCTAAACCAAGCGAAATCCCGCAAACAATCATTGTCCTGACAAGGACATGTTTTTCAGGACCAGAAGTGAAAGGCACATGTATTCTGCATGTACCTGTGAGGAAAACAAATAGGATGGCACACAGTTTTTCATGAACCTTGATTCTCAAGAGACTTTCAAAAGACCTAAGAGACTTTCTCCATACTTTAAACAACAAGTTCTGCTGCCATTGAATAACAAGTTCTAAAGTTATTCTCATTGTGAAGCTGGGTAAAATTACAGCCAGGGCAACACATTGCTGTAGAGAAGTTTCAATAGACTTCACCATTCAGGAATATGTTTCAATAGACTTCACCATTCAGGTATATGTGGATGGTTGGTTAGGGGTGGCAAGTATGTTTAACAACTGAAAACACTAGTTTGTGTATAATGTGAACCGAGCTTCTTAAACAATGCGGTACTTACAAAGTGGTATTTTAAGAGCAAAGGCATTAAGGCACTCGAATGTTCCAGATGCCGAGGCGATAGCAAATATAGCAATTATAACATAAACCACATATTTATAGAGATAATAGACCAACAGCAGAAACAGGCAGATGAATATGACAAAGATGACAACCATCAAAGGGGTGATCTGCATTTGTTCATCTTCATCAGAGCTGCTGCTTGAAGCTTCATTACTCCCTGTTTTCGTTTCTCTTTACATACATAAACAAGAAAATGGAGGAAAAGATGGTTAGATATGATATTTAAAACTATCTTGGAAGAGGTATTGTGGGAAAGTTTTAGTTCCAAATTTTGTACCCACATGCATTTTTTAAACTTAAACCAAACCAACCTTTGTTCCGTGGCAACAACACCACTCCAGTAAGCACCAATAACAACTGTACCAACAGCTAGGAACCATATCACAATCATATTTGTATCAATTGCAGAGATTGGTGGTACATATAATTGAACAACTGCATTTTCACCAAGTGCCTAAAGAAGATTGAGGTGAAACATAGTAGCCAGTCAGCTTTGTCTCCAGTGCTAATATTTTTGTTTTATTTACTGTAACAATCCGTTACTGTTATATGGTCAGTGCTGTATTGACCATATGCATCTACCTGCATGGTGGAGAAATCAGATTTCTTCATAACGGCCAAAGGGATTTCTGATATATTATAGTCTGAATGAGAGTTTGCCACTGCAAAAAACTATAGAAAATATGAAGAATTTTATTTCAACCACTGATGGGGGCAACCATTTCATGAAACAACCAGGCTATAAATTGGTCAATGCAATTCTATTTGTCATAGGAACTTGATCATACCAATTGATCATTTGTGCTCACAACGACCAACTCTGTAGCATTTTGTCTTTGAGCATTCATATATCGCTTCGTGAATGTGCAATTAGGCACATGTTTATTCTCTGGTGAAAATACAGCTTTATTCCCAAAAGAGAATTGTTTGTCTTCGTTACATAGATCTTCAAGATGCACCAGTTGGTATTCATATTTTGGCTAAAAAAGATATTACCCAAGTGCTAAATTAAGCAAAAAGTCTGCGATATATGCTGTTAAGTGGTTGGCTGTTATAGATTTTGATAATGTTATGGATTTGTTGCAAAACAGCACACATGGGCAACTCATGACATATACGACTAAAAATCTAAACTAAAAATCTACAGTGGCCTAGCCAGCCTGACAATTAGTCATGCTACATATGCTAATATTTTGGTGTTCATTGACAGTGAAAACAATGAATTTCTAAACTAATTTTTAAAATTATATATAATTTTGATATTATAGATAAACTAGCTAGAAAAAATTTCCGTTTTTTCAGAGTAGTTGATTTATAATTCACTGTGACGAATCATGTTTTCTTGATGCAGACTGCGTCACTTAGATCTTTTTGTCTCCTAGCTTTTCATAAGCAATCATAACAAATGCAGGCAATTATAACTATTGGACAACGAAATACGTAAAGGTGTAACAAAGTAAGATATTAGATGGCGATTGGTTAGAAAACAATATAGTCATTGTATCCATGACTTTTCAAATTTCAAGTGTAGATTAAAAAATGAGAACATTAAAAAGTCGACAAATGACATCTGGGTAGATACGTACTGTATATCTTAATTTCGTAGGCAAATCGTGCCACAATGGCCAGTATGCCACACAAAAATCCTTCGATCCCGACTCAGAACTCGCTCGCAAAATGGCATACTCTCCGTTCGCCTATGAAAAGTGAAAGTTAGTTTTTTGGCATTTTAATAAAATGCCTTCAGCGTCTCTTGTATTATAAACCACTCACGCGATAAATATAATGATATCTAAAGCCATGCGTGAATAAATATCGATGCGTTTTACAGCAAACTCACCTGTTGGATTGCCAGAACGATCGCGATGATAAAATATAATATAAAAGCCATATTTACAAAACGAAAATTCTATCTCTTCTCGAAAAATTGCGATAATTAATAATAAGTGGCATTTTTACCGTATATTCAAATAGTACCGGACATTGTACCCTAGAAGAATATGCAAATCACAAAATAAGTTATATATGTTCGCAGATTTTATTATAGTTGACGTGCTTTATAGTAATTTTCACAAAAAATTGCCTATAAGATATAATTATCTATTGTAAACTTCGGGGTTAAACGAATTAGAAAGATACTAAAAAAAGTCATTACCGGGGAAAAATACATGGAGAGGAAAGCGCCGCTTCTTGTTCAGCGGATATCCAAGTGAAAACAAATTCGAAAGGAACAACAATGGATGTGACCTGAAGTTCTCAAAGTTTCAGGCTTTTAGTTTCATTATAATGTCAACATCTGCCGTTGTTCCGTTGGTATTTTGGGGCAGCACTCCTCCGAAGCACGTGGTGACCTGTATACTAGTGACTTATGATCAGAAAACTGTCATAACAGGTTCAAAGTCAGGCCAGTTAGGCGTTTGGGATGTTAGGCATTTGGAGGGGGGCAAAGTTGAGGTGAGACGATCGGGCCTACCCCCACCTACCACCGTCACTTGCTGGTATCCCAGTACCACCTTGCATCTTTCTCACCCAGTCTGGGCATTGATAGGTGCTAATTTATCTTGCAGCATAGTAGAAAATAGTTAGTATTATCCTGTTGAATGTATTTTGGCTAATTTTGTAGGTGGTTGCAAAGAGTTTAATATTTGGTCACAGTGATCTGGTCAGTGCATTAGCCTGTGCTTGTGTTGGCTTGGAAAATCAGTCTGCTGTAATCAGTGCTGCTGAAAATGGGTAATTTCTTATCATTGATAAGTCAAATGCAAAATTGATATCTGAACAAGCCAGCTGCCTGGAGAATATCACAGAATAGCCATCTGTATGCACTGACTTCCATCTCCTTTTCATGATCCACCCACATTCTGGATCTATAACTTTCACCTCACAATCTAACAGTATGCACCCTCCCTTAGAGCCCCTTGCAATATGTATACCTTCCATATCATTGATAGCTCAATAAGATTAGAAAAAACTCTATATCTCACATTTTGATGCTATATATTGCAGTTGTGGATCAAATAGAATAAAAATTTGCTTTAATACATATTCCAGTTGGTTCTCCAAACTCATAATGTTATCTCTTTTCATAAGGGAATTGTGTCTTTGGGATGTGGATGATGGACTTTGCATACAAACAAATACCATTGCAGGAGCACACACAAGTTTATTGGTGAGTACAAAAGCTTTATCAGTTCAAATTGACCAAGTTTCCCTGGGTAGCGGAACTTTGATGTAATAATTGGGTTTGAGTGTATATATTCTGCGTATACAGTAATTGTACACTGCAATGTCTAACATATTCACTTGGTTTAATTCAGCCATTCCATGTTTCCACTGGGGGTAATAAGGAGTGGAGGGTTGTTTGCCATGGATATTATCTTGATGTCTATGTTGTGGATGTTCTTACTTTAGAGGTAAATGTAAAATATCAGACATTTGCAGCTTTCATGTATGAAACTGAGCCACTACAATCACTTGGTCTGTCAAACACTTTCAGGTATCTTTTCAATATACATTTTTCTCTCAAGTTCTATATTTTGATATATCTTGTTATATCTTTTTACAGGTGCTGTATACGCTATCATCCAGTGCATCCTCAAATTGGTTAGCCGCAGCTTGTGTGGTTAGACCACCGCGCCGTCAAGGTGTGCAGTGCAATCTCACAGAGTTTCTCTGATTAGATTTTTTTCAATCTCTATTATCACCTTAATAGTAGAATTTACACCACATGAATGTCATATGTAATCTTATCTACAACTAGTTTCATTAATCTGGATTGCATAAATCTTTTTCTTCAGAGGATGTTCTTGTTGGAATAACGCTTTCGGGAACAGTGAAAATATGGCCATTAAAAAGAAATCCAGAAAATAAGGTGGTTATTTAATTGGCACTTGGTTGGTCAGGGCTAACATGCTTTATATATAGAACAAATAACTGCACTGCACGTTTTGAAAAAATATTACTATTTTAGGCAATAGAAGCAATGTATGATCAAAGTTTATCTCAGATGGCTGGAATGAAAGCACTTCATGTTGTTTGCAATCCATTCTCACAGAGAACTATACTCATTGTCTCAGCAAAACAATGGCAGGTACACCTTCATTTATGCAACCACCACCAAGAAGATAGCAAAATGATTTTTTTTACTAAAATTGTCACTAAATTTTTGCTCAGATGTACGATGTCAGTAACTTCCAGTTCTTAACGGCCATGTCAGCGGGATCTGCTGAGACCTGGTCTGCAGCTGACTTTGTTCAAAGCAATTGTGTTCTTGTTTGGTCAAAGGTAATTGTTAATCTTTCTCCTTTTTTTGAGATGATTATATACATAAATATTTCAGAGTTTGAGTTAACTCAAAATTGGTATCTATATTAATATTCTTACACATTTTAGATAGGAAAAGCCTATATGTACAGACTGCCTCAGAGGTATGAACAGTTAAAGCATATCACATTTCATTTTAAATTATTTTTTATACATAATTTATAAAATGCAGTAATAATAACAAGGAACACTTGCATTTTGTTTAACTAGATGTTGCCCAGAAAAACAAGTTATTCCAGGTGAAATTGATACTTGGCACTTTTTGTCTACAATGCAGTTGACAATTATTCATTTTAAGATGCTCTTTCCAGCCATATTAAAAGGTTTAAATCTAATTTTTATTTGTTTTTCAGCAGGGCAAGTTTCAATCCGACAACAAGACAGAGATGGTCAACCTGAATTGATTTACACATTTCAAAATCAAGGTCAAAAGGTGCGTGATACAATGCCCCAATTGCAAAAACATAAATGTTTTGTTAAATAAGTGTTGTGTAATTCATTTAAACTGGAGTCAAATTAATATAGAAAATTATATAATTTTATATCTTTTTTACCTACCTATTGTTGACCAAAGATAACAATTAATTAACCGTTAAAAATATCCCGTTTTTGATATGTTTTAGAAAACATTTAACGGTTCAAGAATGATGTTTTCTTTTGGCCGACGAGAACCGTTTCACAAATTAATCGTGGAAGGAAATGCAAGTGGAAGGCAAGTCAAGACTTTTTGTGACGATCGTGTGTTCCGCAGAAATTCTAGGCAAGCCTCTAAAATCGAATTTAACCGTTTTGTTTTAAGAGTGAACATTTGGCGCATCGATCAAATCGTTAAAGAACTTGAGAACAATGGAGGTCAAAATTTTGGGAAACCTCATGAAGGTGTGTATAGTCTGTAGAGGAGATTCAACTGTACCAAAGGTCTACTTTTGTGCGTTTCTCGACAGTGCAATTCTGTACATAAGGATACATGTATCGATTGACATATATTTGAATCGTTACTTCAATGCATGACCCTCTTGAAATATGTGATTACTTATCGTTGGCAAATCCATTTGCGGAGGTGAATCGCATCTCAATCCGATGATAAACATCTTGATAAATCTAAGACGCAAGACGCCACCGCCAAGAGGATTAGGTTGTAATAATTTTCGGCATCTTCATTCTGAAATGAATATATAGGTTTTCTGGTTAGTAATATTTTCCTAATTTTCACGTTTATTCAGATCGATAAAAGTTACATTTCGAAGCCAGAAATAACGAGTAGGCGGTGTTGTATTTTTTCAATATTTTAATATTAAGTCGTATTATACTGTACAAAAATATCATCTTTGAATATTTACATGAATATATATTAATCTATAAACTCTCATGCGCAAACAACAGACAAATACCCCCAAAATCGAAGCCCAAAGTTCCAACACCTATCCCATTGTCCAACACAACCCTAACTCGAATTTTCCGGACGCAAACCTCGCTACAGCTTTGTTGTAACTCTCGCTCTAATTTTCATCTTGCCACAACTCTTGCCCTAACTTTAGTCCCATAATGTTTCATGAATTTGCACGCATCAACGTCCATCCAGTTACCACGTCAGTCATCAAATGTTAATGGGCATCACTCGATTTCGTCTGAAACAGGACACCAAAGAACTCATCCTATTTCGGAATCTCTGCAATCTTGACAGAGTTCTTTCTTGTCCTTCTTTTTGCTCGACCGTATTTTGTTGAATCAATTTTCCACGACCCTCGCTCTTCAGAAGGTTTGCACCCGTCGTGGCCCGCATGCCCGCATCTTCGTCATCCTCAGAGATCTCCAATGTGCAGGATGTACGGACGATCAACAAACCCCCAACGATATCGTTATCATTGATGTCTTCCAACACCAGCTCGTCTTGAACTTTACAAGTCGGCATTTCCGCTCTGCTGTCCAACTCGGCGGCAAAACTTTGCTGGATCGATTTTCCGTTCACAATAAGATCCTGTGAGCTTTCGTAGCTCGGAGAAAAATGTTCGTAATCTGTGCTTGTCGAAGGCATATCCATCGTGCGTGATGAATGGCCGTCCAATCCTCTTTGAAGACTCTCTTGTTTAAGTTTTTCGTCCTGGGTATTCTGTACATTTCTTGCATCCTTTTCTTTCTGAAGCCAATATTGTTCTCGCAACTGTTCAAGAGTTTGTTCCAACGATTCATTGTTCTTTGCATCCTTTTCTTTCTGAAGATGATGTTGTTCTCGCAACTGTTCAAGAGTTTGTTCCAACGATTCACTGTTCTTTGCCTCCTTTTCTTTCTTATGGCGATGTTTTTCTCGCAACTGTTCAAGAGTTTGTTCCAACGATCCACTGTTCCTTGCCTCCTTTTCTTTCTGAAGACGATGTTGTTCTCGCAACTGTTCAAGAGTTTGTTCCAACGATCCACTGTTCTTTGCCTCCTTTTCTTTCTGAAGGCGATGTTGTTGTCGCAACTGTTCAAGAGTTTGTTCCAACGATCCACTGTTCTTTGCGTCTTTTTCTTTCTGAAGGCGATGTTGTTGTCGCAACTGTTCAAGAGTTTGTTCCAACGATCCACTGTTCTTTGCGTCTTTTTCTTTCTGAAGACGATATTGTTCTCTCAACTGTTCAAGAGTTTGTTCTAACGATTCACTGTTCTTTGCCTCCTTTTCTTTCTGAAGACGATGTTGTTTCCGCAACTCTTCAAGAGTTTTTTCGGAGAGCCCTTTCGAAGAGCCCTTTCGTCGACGTTTCTCGTCCACGGTACTTTCAACGTTTGCCGTGTTTCTTTGTTTTTTCCGATGATACTGTTCTCGTAGCATCTCAAGAGTTACTTTCGGTCTTTCGCCATTTTCAATGGCCGATCTTTTCTCCGTTTCACACGCAGGTAAACTTTCCGTTTCACCTACAGACGAGCTGTCCGTTTTCAACGCAGGTGAACTGTCCATTTCACACGCAGTTGAACTGTCCGTTTTACACGCAGACGAACTGTCCGTTTTACACGCAGGTAAACCATCCATTTCACACGCAGGTGAACTGTCCGTTGTACACGCAGACGAACTGTCCGTTTTACACGCAGGTAAACCATCCATTTCACACGCAGGCGAACTGTCCGTTGTACACGCAGACGAACTGTCCGTTTTACACGCAGGTAAACCATCCATTTCACACGCAGGTAAACTGTCCGTTGTACACGCAGATGCTTCTTCGATGCAGCTCCGTTCGTTTGAATCCCCGGCGTCAGTTTCCTCCCGATTTCTTTCGGTTGTCATTCTTGTATTTTTCGCCGATCCAAAGTCTCCTCGTTCGGGCGCAATCGCATCCCCATTAGCTTTTCCTTTCAAGTGTTGGATTTTCGCTTCGCTTCGAACCGCGCTGACGAGTTCATTCATTGGCCGATTGTACTTACCACTGGAGCCGATGAACACGTTCGGGTATTCGTTGTCCCAACCATTCTTTGTTTTTTCCGCGTCTTTTTGAAGCGCTTTGATCGGAATTCGCACAAGAAACTCTCCCTTCGGTTTGCGGCTTGCTCTGCGTGGATCTTCGACGATCTTTTGCATACCTCTCAAACGCACATCCAAGAACTTCGTGCGCATGTCCCAGTGGTGGTGATCGCTGAACAACTTTTTCTTTTTTGCCATGAAACCAATGAACTCGATCGTCTTCTTCATCGCTTGCATGTCGTCAAGTTTTTCCCGAATAATGACGATAGCGGGAAACAGGTATGCTAACGAGTGTACTTTCACGATCGGCGACAAAGGACGACGTGCCCCCGAACGCAATACGGTCGCAAGATGATCGCTTGGTCTCGGAAAGAGACAATCCCTTTTCAACATTTCCTTCATTTCGGAATAAATCTCCGAATTATCTTCGGAATTACTCGGAGCGTCTTCGCCATCGTTAGGCGAACATATTTCGCGTTCCTCACTCATTTCGCTTTTCAAAATTCCTTAATAAACGACGATAAACTCAATTTAGATTCTCTCTGTAACAATGTAACTCCGCACTGTCTGAAAGCAATTCAATTATGACTGGGCTCGCTCGCGCATGCTTTGTTACGTTGCTAATTAATTGTATTTCATTAATTAGATGTTTGTTACATCATCCAATTTGCTGTACGTCGTAATTAGACAATAATTAGCAAGTTTTGCTTTTGTGTTCAGCTGAAAATGACGTATACAAACAGTTTTTTCATGTATCTCTGTGACAGCCGCGGGTGTTTGTGTCCAGATTCTTATTGCGGTCTGCAGCGCGCATGTTATTGCAGATTATTTTGATCACGGGCCGCAATATAGTATTAGACGCATTTGGCCTTCTGGACTGTGTCCGAAGTCTGCTTAAAGTGGCAATTGAATATATCGATAGTTTGTACATTCAAAGAACAACTGAGCCGTTTACCTGGAGTAGAATAATTAAGTTCGCTGCAACATATTTAATCACAAATTTAATCATTCACAAAATGGTCAAAATTTCACAAAAGAAATGTGAACAAATTCGTTTTACAACTTCATAGTGGCGGCTGTTTATGACGGCTGTAAAAACACTAAATCCTAAATTTTATTTTTTAGCAATTCCTTGTAGTGAAACGGGTAGTTTCATCGATGTCTGGCTATCCTCAAACAAGCCTTGTGGCTTGCTCGATTCATTGGTATGTTCTTGAAAATATACTCACAGTGTTTTTGTAACATGATTGAACTTTACTGTGATTAGCATAGGTCATAGTGGTACGGTAGGGTTTGTAGTTTAAGTCATTTTCTAGTGTTCTCTATGCCTTGAGCTTAGAGAATTCTAGCATGGGTTGGTGGTGATTCTGTCAGAAATTTATCTGCATTCTTAAGCATTTTGTTTACGTTTACAGGACGGCCGACGAAAACCCGTGAAGATCACGTCAAGCTTGTTTTTGGCGGCTCAAGGAAGAATCGCGTGCGGTCGTCAAGATGGGTCCATTATCATAATCTCCGCCACCAAAGCCGCCAAAACGCAGTTCATGATGGAAAACAACACTGATCCAGCTGGTGAGTGTGACAGGGTTGACGTTTCCCATGTTCATCTGACAAAGAGGGGGGTGGGGGGTATTATGTTCCGTTATAAGAACTATAGCCCTGACGTAAATTTGAAACAGAAATAAAGTATATTTCAAGAGATATTAAGTTGTTTCATCCGAGAAATGGATTTTTATTTAACAATTAGTCCCAGTCCTTTCCCGCCCTATTCTATGGATTTTCCATTTAGCATGGCCGAAATATCAGAAGCTGATTGGTCATCGAAGTAAGGTCACGTGCCTTCTGTATCCATACGGAGAGTATGACCGATATGCCCCCGAGCAGTTCGTGTCTGGGTCAGCAGATTTCACGGTCAAGTTATGGAGCCTTACTTCCGGTGCACTGCTGGCGTCGTTTTCAGCCAATGGCGGAGAGATACTCAGGTTGACGTGTACACCTCCAGAAAGCAGCGTAAGTAGTTTCAGATCAAGTATCTCAGCTCCAAACACCATTTTGGCCTCAGCCGAGTAGTGGCATGTTAACCACTAGTTATACTTCCAGTTTATTTACAGTTCAGCGAACTCAAGCGAATGCCAACGATGTCTTCGCCCAGTTGTGTAGAACAGGCTTACCCACCAGTAGGATCTTAATGTTGAGCCACTATCATGGAATAAGGCCCTTGAGATGTTTCGCTCTTTTCCAGGTCCGCATTCAACACTGTGTGTGTTCGATAGCCCAAGATCATTCTGTGGCTTTGCTAAACTTGCGTGATCATCGATGCCTTTTGCTTGCGTCATGCCACAGGTTCCCCGTGCAGACTGTGAGATGGAAACCCGCCGAGGATTTTCTGATTATTGGCCTGTCTGATGGAAGCGTATACGTATGGCAAATTGAAACTGGTGAGCTAAGATTCTGTGTAGAGTAGAATTTATGAAGTTATGGAGCATTTTGCCTGGCTCCTGAACAGTGGGAAACCTGCACCGCGACTGCTTAGTTTTTGCGAGATGATTTTAGCTCTGAATTTTTGGTCATTTTTTGTTCTGTTGTAAAATTCCATTTTGTAAAACGAATTTCACCATCATCACCGAGTCTAACGCCCTGTTACACGATGCAATTTTTCTTGCAATTTGCAATGCAGTTCTACGTTTGAGTGATGTATATTTGGGAACAACGAAACTTTTGTGTTTATTACACTTCATGCACTTTTCTTCTGCAAGATTCTTCACTAATGTACATTTACATCTCTTAGAAGTAGAATTGCATTGCAAGTTGCAAAAAAAATGCACGGCCTTAAGGCTAGTAATTGTTATTGTATTACTCCATTGCATTCAGTTATAGTCCAGTTAATAAATAATGCTTCATATTTATTGATCTGTCAACTCGTCAAAATGCTTGAGATTCCTTATGTATACTATATTGAACTTGTACTAAACTATTTTCAACAACTGATGAAATGAGTAAGCAGCAACTCATTTCAAGGGAACATGTCGCAGCTCTCGGAAACTTTCGTCCAATTGGATAATGCTTTTCTATGCTTTCTAATGAACGAAGCTATGCTATTGGTTGAAACAGAAATGTATTGTAAAGTTCAGCCAATGAAAATCATTCTTGCGACGAGCTGCGACACTACCCATTTCAAGCCACATCATGATTCATGGTATAATGGTATATGTGTTTCCTCTCGTTTTATCTTTCAGGAACCCTAGACCGGTATGTTACTGGCGATGCTGCCGTGGAAATCCTGCCTGCGACGAAGAGTCGGGAAAGTTTAAGCATGGGAGTTTAAGACGAGGACAGTGTTTCACGAAAATTGTCGCATTTGCGACAAATCTAAAATGCGTCAAAATGTCGTTGAGGAAAGTCAAGAGAACTCGCGTGTCGTCAGGCAAAGGAACGGCGCTACGCGATCCCCAGGTACGATGGGAAGGACTATACTAAGCTATGCTAAGAACTGAGCCAACCCCCCCCCCTTTCACTAATTGCTCATTACTTTCCTTGTAGTACGTTAGGAGATGAGTAAAAGTGTCCCAGTACGTGTGACATCTTTGAAGACGGGGGCGGATGAACCGGAGATTCACGTCATGCTGTTTGATATGGAGGCGTTGATCTGCCATCTTCTCGTGGAGGAAGTGAAAACGCAAAAACGTGAGTAGCCAAGCTTGGTTGAACTGTTTTATAGTGGCGGAGGTGTTGTATTACTGCTTGAGTTCTGCCCTTTAATCTTCAAAACATGCCTTAACTTATGTATCCTTGAAAGGTTTAACCATAGTCAGTTCAAAGTCCGTTTACACTTGCAGGTTTTGCTGCTATTTCTTCTTTTGAAAGATGCAAACGAGCAATTAGTTATGAATGTTTTGATATATCAGTGCCCTTATTTCAACACCCGTAACTTTTGATCTCGTTCACATCTGTCAAAAGAATAAAATCTCGTCCAAAATCACATTGAATTTAGAAGTGTAAACATGCCTTAAATGATCACCAACTACTCTGGTACAATGTAGAGAGAGATTCTTGTGAAGAAGAAAGCGATGATTTTTCTCACACTGAGTGTAATATTTCACACACAACACTAAGTTTTGACTTCTCCTGACAAGAAAAACCGTCCAAATAGCTAAACTTCGTAACCTTTTTTCATGTTAGTTGGCTTGAACACACGAAAAGCAAACAAAGACCATTCAAAACATGTTTCGTTCACCTCGGCAAATCAAGTCAGTCCAAATCTAAAGTTCCTGGAGGAGATTCACGATGGTGCTCAGCTGCTCGTCTCGTGTTTACACTCTTGGGGACTGGATCCGGAGATCGACGAAACCTGTACGAACAGACTCGGGCTTCTCAAACCCATCAAACCCATTTCTTTCGGTCTTTTAACCCACCGGAAGCTTAGCCTGATCGTGCCCGGATGGTATTCGAACTCTGATCCGACCGATGGTTCTTCTAAGGAAACTGGTCACAAGAAGTTCTTCGAATCCCGTTGGGAATTTTGTTCTGCGCTGACAACTCAACATTCGCTAAGTATCGTTGCTCTTACAAACACCCTCATGAGCATGTCTCAAGTCAGCTTTCTGCCTCGTCACGAGAAACCTTCTATTCCTCCTCCTCGGCGGAGCGAGGACGCCACGAAGGGTCCCGAAGTCGAGTCGCCGTCACGCGATGAGGAAGCGAACCTTGCAATCAGTTCTATGATCCGCGCAAACATCAAAGCGGGCTGGAGTCGACTGGCAACATTGTACTGCTGTCTTCTACCCGATAAATTGGACATGGCTCAATATAGGCCGCCATTACTTCACGTATTAGCAAGGAGATGGCAAGACCGCTGTCTGGAGGTGAGTTCCCTGCAGGCACTGAAAATTTAGTAGTGAAAGTTTCTGTTGCAAGAGGTGGGTTTAATGATTATTCTATACTCAAATTATCCTATGTTTCATGTGAAGATTCGTGAAGCAGCCCAAGCTATTCTCGTGACCGAGTTGCGGCGAATAAATATGGAAGGCCGAGCTAAAGTTGTGGAAACCTGGGTACAATATTTGCCCCAGGAAATTGAAGGCTCTAGCGTTCTACTGGAATCCAGCGATTCCGATTTTGGTATGTGTGTCGATATATTAGTACATTGCGAACACAGGAGACGAAAAGAATTGAATCTAAAATTATCGTTGCCAGATTCGTGCTTGACTCCTTGCTTATATTAGATTCCCCCATTTTATGAATAAGAAAAAAGTATAGATTATGTTCTTCAACCATAATGGCTTACACTTGATGGAAGCAAATTTGATGTTTGTTGAGATAACGAAATGAGAATCATCTCAGTTATTGTTTTCGCCTTTTGAAACAGTACAGCTATAAAATTGGTATCTTGGTTCAACTTTTGTACACTTTAACCAATCTCTCATAATAAAGTCTTTCTAGCTTAAAATGGACCTTAAGTTAACCCCAACTCTTTTCACCAGGCTGTGGCAATAGCTTTGCAACTTTGTCGCTAGAACGACTTTTCAATTTCCCTAGAAAACTCAGATTCCAGCGATGTGTCCGTGGGCGAAGATGATTTTTCCGAAGACGTACTCAACGTTCTCGATGGCGCGAAAAAGCTCTTCCAATATGACGCCAGCCGTCGCCAGGCAACCTCGATCATAATGTTGGCCGTGATTGGTTCCGAGTTCCAGAAAGATCTCGGGGCGCTGTCGGGGACCAATAACAAGGGAGAGAAATCGTCGAACGATTCGCAGAAGAAAGTCGGGTTTCAAGGTAATATGTTGTACTGGCGAACTTTTTTACAATACTTGTCTTCTTCCAGGACAGTGCAAACCATATGTCATATTTTAGTTCCCGCATAGTTCCAATTCAAAAAGAGATAAAATTAGCCTCTGTTTTCATTTCAACTCAGGTGAAATGTTGCTTCCCTCTCGGGTCGTGTACCTCACCAGTCGAGCGCTCATGTTTATTTTGCTCAAGTCCCAAAGTCAATCCTCCCGTACGTTATCCTATACATCGATGCGACGAGCCGCCATCGACCTGATAGGCCGTGGTTTCCCCTTGTGGGAGCCTTATATGGACGTGTCAGCGGTACTTATGGCCCTGCTGGAACTCTGTCCTGACAACAGGGGTCACGTGGCTTCGTTCTCCAAAGGATTGCCTCTCTCCAGTGCTGCGGACTCACAAAGATCAGCGCGACATGCACTCACCTTGATTTCCACTGCCCGTCCGCTGGTCTTCATAACAACATTAGCGAAAGAGGTTTGTAGTAACGTTTCTCGCTCAAGTCTCGCAGAATCTTAAAACTCATCTTTCAAATACTGCCACCGTGTATACTTCTGATAAAAAATCTTGATTAATCCGCTTCTCCCGACTCAAATACTTATTTGAAACTTTCTATACAAGATGAATGACTTAACAAGTTTGTCTCAAACTGTTCCATACTTGTTAAAAGTTATGAGAGACCTTTCAAGGTTGACAAACTTACACCACAATTACATTTTCAGGTGGCGCGCAGTTCCTCGGCGCAAGCCTCGCTCTCTTTCAATCAAGCCTCCCCAGCAGCCATAGCGGTCTACAGCCATGTTCGTCATCAGCCCTCGTCCGCGGACGTGCAACACTCGTCCACCCTGCATCGCTCTAAGAAAGAAATTCTGCGAGTTCTTGAATTGATGATTGACAAAACACAGCAAGAAGTCATTAAACTGTTACCAGAGGTAATATCATATTCCACATAAAGCGAGAGGAATATTCTTGTAAGTTTGTATGGTGACATGCAAACATAATTCTTAAAAAGTGTGAACACATCAATAATTTAGCGTAACTGCTGTTGATATGTGTAATAAAGACCATTTACCAAGTAAATTAGCTTGTAGGTACACCACGTAAGTATTTAATTACTGCAAAGCTTTCGGTAAACGAGTTTTTGAAGTATTTGCACTGATGAAGGCCTGAGTTAACGGACCGAAAGCTTTGCAGTACTTACATGGTGTACCTACAAGCTAATATATTTGTTAAACCATGTAAAGCGAATGAAGCATGACCTTTTTTAAATAATTTTAGGTAGTACAGATCATTGTCCACTGCATTGAGCCAAAACAACTAAAAGAACGAAGCTTAGAAGAGATTTTCTCTGCCCTTTTCAAGTGCGTACATGGTTTGTTCACTGTTAAATCAAATTGATACAAGATTAGAATTTTGACTGAATTTAATTGTTTTACGGGTGTTGAAGTTGTGTTTGTTTAAGACGGTCTGTTGAAGTGTCCAAGGCAACCGACTTACGTTTCACTGGATGTATTTACTTTTAGATTTCACATGGTCAGTTATTGTCCCAATACACGTCGTCTTGCAGTCGGTTCGAAATCAGGTCAACTCACAATTTATGAACTTCGCTCGTCCAAGGAACAGGTACTGCATACGCTGTGTACCTGAATTAAAAATTAACTTATCATGATACACTTAGCATGCATGTTAAGTTTATCTGTTACGACCGGATAAAAAGGTCTCATAGAGACGTTTATGTCCTTCACAGATCATTCCAGCACATTCATCTGCAATCACCGCCGTTAGATTCTCAAAAGACAGCAAATTACTCGCCACCTATTCTTACGAAGAAGCAAAAATTAACTTTTGGCAGGTGAGTATTTTCAGCTTTATAATTTAAACCCCCTACCTCCGTTTACCCCCTTCACCTCCTTCATCCCCTTTCACCCTCTTCACTCTTTTCATTCACCCCTTAGCCCCGTTTTAACCCTTGGCGCCTTTTTGACCCTTTGGCCCTTTTTTACTCTTTAGCCCCTCTTTACCCTTATGCCCCCCTTTCACCACCCCCTTTCTCTATCTTTCGGTTAATTTAAACAAACTCCTTTTATCCAGCCTATTCCTTTGTTTTTCCATCCGCAGACGAGTTCCTCGCTGTTCGGTGTCCTGGGCTCCGGAATCAAATGCACTCGTTCCTCGAATGTTTCGCGTGAGGTGAAAATCACTCCGGTGAATCTGAAGCAAACCAAGTTAGTCTGGGTGAGCCAGAAATCAGTCGTGTTGCTATTGGCTGACGGCACGCAGCACAAGTTTACGGCTTAGTTTCCCTCGGAATGACACGCGGTTACTTCAATGAATATCATTACTGCGGTTTGGAAACGAATGCAAAGTTAACGGTGACGAATCATAACCACATTGATGATTCAACAACAATTCTTTTCGTGGTAGGTACACAGAGCAGATTAGATAACTAACAATTGAATTACAGTAATCAATTACATAAGACGAGACTTTTTGCATGTTTTATACTTGCTTTGGACTGACACCGCAGAAATTGGTGTTGGAAGTCAAATATCTCATCAGTTGCTCACATTTGAATCCTAGTATTCAGAAACTGCTGTCAAAGAAAATACTATCAAATAAGTTGAAAACAAGTTCAATTTTTCTTCCAATATCGGTTTTGGAAACTTTTGAAGGCTCTTCGTATGCATCTGCCACCGTAAAATGGCCATTTTGAGACATTTTCAGATGATTTGTTTTTGCCGTGTGCAAGCTTCAAATCTTTTGTGCAAGAGATATTTTGTTGAGTATTTATAAATCTTTTAGCTTGCCGAATTTAAAGTCTAAGTATTGAGAATTACGGCTAAGTCTACCAATTTCCGCGGTGTCCTTTGGACTGATTGTCGTTTCATTCTAAGCCTGTGAGTCCCTGACCAATAAACTTTATTATTATTATACTTATTTAAAGTTATTTTAATTTCATAAAATGCCAGCCTTTACCTGTGATGTAGAGTTAGAAAAGACGAATCATAATAAAAATGAAAAAAGACAGAGTCTATACCACTATAAGGAAGCGGAAACAGCCCCATGCACGTTAACATGTTTGAGACAGAAATAAAACAAGAAAGTATATTAGAGTTCTCTGTGCGAGCATGAGTATATGAATAAAAAACACCCTCCCACTCCCCGTAGGTACGGCTATGCTATCCGTGAGACTTGTATTACTTAATTCCCAAACCACCAGCTTGTCGTAGATTCTCCGTCACTGGTGCAAGTAAAGTTTGGGTTGACATTTCGGTAGTAACCAAAGTTATCCTCGCTGATTGTCGAAGCATCAGGAGGAAATGGAAGCGTGCATGTCTTGTCGCTGTCAATATGAAAAAACTGTGTCTCCGTTTGAAAAACTTTAGCAGTACAATCAATGCACGTAGTTCCCCTGATGTTAACGTACTTGACTCGCTTACAACTGCCTATCCTAACGTTCTTCAATGGATCGAGGTCTTTAAACTCTCCTCTGACTGAGTCCAACCGATCAGACATCTTTCCGTTGTATGCGCAAATTGATCTCCACTCAGTAGCTAGTTTTCGTACCTTCATCATCCTTTTCAAGGACATACGATAGAGTTTAAAGTTTGGTGCCTCCTCGTTGTACGGTTTGTCCACCCAAAATGGACTGCTCGACAAGTGTTGATTGTTTGAAAACGCGAATGACGTAACCATCGTCCAACTCTTTTGATTTTTCTGGTCGAAATGGCAGTGAACGTTGTACGTCTTGTTTCCTGCGGTGTTGTATATCGTGTAAACCCCCGGTGCACCATGGACCATGTAGTAGGAGCAGCTTGTCGCATTCTTCGAAATACTTTTTGATTTCACGGGTTCCTTGGGTTTCTAAAATAAAGTTGAAGGCAAGTTTTTTACTTGGATGTGTGGATCTGTCAAGTTCTAGAGCATTTTTACAGTTTTTTTATTGATCATTTGGTATATGTCTGCCTAGAATCCAGCTAATCTTATAGTATACTGCATGCATGGTTTCCCACCATCCCATGCGCGTTAGGTGATGGCGACAGTTTTCCCTGATATTTGCCTGAAATAATACATAACATTCGTACCCGTTCGATAGCCTCGTAGTACGCAAAATGTGTATCGTGTTTCAGACCTCCTCTTGTAGAGTTATTCAGCTCGCAAATGCTCAATTGCGAATCGCTGTTCGCTAACCCATAGTTCATCGATAAACAACCAGGGTCCCTCAAGCACCATTGACCACATTCTGTCAAAGACGAGACGTGAAACGACTTGATTGTTCTTCCTTCCAGCCGAAAGCCTATACAATTATTTACATGGTTTGTGAACTATATATTTGACCTGAAAAATTATTCAAAAAAATACGTCGAAATCTGGTGAATTAACGTCGAACTCTTAAACCCGTTTAAGAAGATGGAGAGTATCCCCTACTATATACCCTAGCTTGTTCATAAGAACTATATGATTTGATAATATCACGTATACGCAGTGAGATCATACGCACCAGATATCAAAGACAAAGATGTATAATAATAATATACTACAGTATCGATACCTTTCTTTGAGAACAGGGAAAGCTGGGCTTGCATCCCTAAAATCACTGTCAAAGAGGTAATAAAGACAGCGAAATATTTCAAAAATATTTCAGTTTTCCCCATAACTATGTTACCAGAGTGAAAACTTATTTTTCCTATTCGATACTTTTCGCTGAACGACCACAAGATCAGTTCCAGTGTATTCGACACGGTATTTAAATACTTGTTATTACAGTTTTAATTAACTATTTACCATTGTCTGTTTATTTTGAACAGATGTTTTCGTATTTTTGATGGAGTATCCATTCAACGATGAAAGCCATTTCAAATTTTAATATCCCCGGACAAAGGAAAATTGAGATTGACCGAATACATATTAAATATGTTTGCACAAATCAATCTGCACAGCCGTTTAGAATGAAATCACTAAAGCTCTTTGATTTATAATCAGGCTAGATTTGTTAGACCATAGATCTAATTAGCCCGTTTCAAAAGTCAAATTTTCATGTGCCGAAAGCTGAAGCTATAAAGTTATAATGTTCTGAAGTCTTTTAGTTGATTTTCATTCGGTTCGGCACATGAAAAAGTAAAGTTTGTGGTCTGAAACTGGCCTTTAGATAAATCAATAGAAGGGCGGAAAATAATATAGTACAAATTTCAAACGACGATGAAGTGATTTTCGAAGGCTCGATTCAAATAAAGTTTGTATTAACATGAAAGTCTCTCAGTTTAACTTCCAAAATATCCTACCAGAGTGCATTTCATTACCCAATCAATGCCATTGAGCTTCCCGTGATCACATAAAAAAACCTATAGAACTAACTAATTACAAAAATATGTAACGAAAAATAGCATCAACCTCGCAACATTTCCCAGCAGGCACTGTCTTACAGGGTCCCAAAAACGTGCGCCGTACGAGTTGAAGCCGAAGGTCCAGGCGGCGCAAAAACAGGGAATCTACAATGGAGTCCAATTCAGTTCGGGCAGTAGTCTCTAAACTGCATATTACCGTCGGCTGGGTATTGCTCAAGACAAGAAGAATGCTCGGGTTCGGGACATTTCAAGAACCATCCTGGGTCGTAAAATTTCCACGAAGTTTCGCGTCCATGACGACGCCAGTGTTCTTGATGCTTGTAAGGTTCGGCTCCGTACCGATTCCTCACAACCATTCCGGGATTGTGTGGAACGTTGACCCACTGACCGGCGAGAAGGACCTTCGTTCGAACCTTTCCATTTGCAACATCAATCTGACTCGAACGGTCCGGGTAGCCCCAAACGTCTACCTTCCAGTTTGTGGTTCCCAGAGCAAAGTAACCTCTTGATATCCGTCCATCTTCAACCTTGGTACCGTAACCAACCGAAAGACTGTAACCAGCATTTTTAATTTTTTCCTGAAGATTTTTGATGACTGTGAAGTTCGCGGATACAAAGGCGGTGTCCCCATCGATGTCCCAAGGAAGAATGCCGTTAAATTTGACCGCACCTGTTGGGAATGGTAACATTAGTGCCTTGGTACCGATGAAATATGTGTGTCCAGTCTCATGTTGCGGTCAGTGACGCGCTGACCGCACTTCTTAAACTTGCGAGGGTGCGTCGCTGACTGCGAACAATGAAACTGGTATCAAAGACAGCAACATCAAAGATAACTACACGGCCAAAAATTGATTGTCGCATCAGGGATGAACAATGTTCTGCTGCACCCTGGGAACAGTATTGTTAACAATGTTGTTAAAGCTTGTTGAATCATCAATGTTGTTGCAATCACGATGCAATGTTGTTGTAACAAGTTGTAACAACATGGATGATTCAACAAGCTTCAACAACATTATTAACAATACTGTTCACAAGGTGCAGCACAACATTGTTCACTCCTGTTTTTAACAACTTGCATCAGCATGATGATTTTTACGCGTGTAATATATAATAAGCAACTTTAAAGATACTTCAAAACTGACCTATCAATGTTCCAGCGTACAGTTCACAGAACGCACCAGCGTCTTCACATGCAGCTAGAAAGAACTTGATCACATCCGCCAGGTTCTCCATATCAGCTGGAGAAAGTCCAAGGCCTTTGTCCCTCTTGCACAGCTTTGGCTTCGTATAGGGTAGACCGTGTCGACATCCATACCAGCGTACTCGGCCACTTGACTCAACGATCCTATGGATCATGTGCTTATCTGCAAATTCGACGAGTTCCACATCCTCCACCTCGCCCGGATCTGTATTGAACATAACGTCTGGACAAGCTGCCGTGACCTTCTCCGGCATTTCCTTTTTCAGGCGCCAAAAAAGATCTCGGAAAACACCTTTTCCCATACTGGAAACATCGGGAATAAAAAATTATGAGGGGACAACGCGGTGGACTGACTGTACTGAAATCTGGAACGCTAACTCCTACAGTTCAGCGTGATGATTGGTTGAAGCCAAAGATTGAAGCAAAAAACTGAGTTTTTGACTTGTCTCTCGTTCAATTTTTATAAAAGTTAGCAAATGATTGTTTTACAATTCCTAGATTGTAAAATTCGATCCATTGCCGGTGACCAGTGAAGTCGATAATTTCTATCGATGACAATAGACAATGCATTTATTTTTGCACCGGCAATAGCCGTCGCCGATGAATTACGATATTTTAAAACTAACCTTTAGGAATGGAAATAAAATAGAAATTTGAGTACAGAGAAACTCTCATTGCAAAAATGAGAACAATTTAACCTCGATTATCATCGCTACGACGCTATGCTCGTGTCAGTCACAAAGTCTTTTGTCTTACCTCGTATCAATCTTCAATTTTTTTATCGTTTCTGTTTTGGTCATAATCGGTCCCGAGAGGAAGTCGCACATCAAGCATTCGTTAAAAGACCTGTAGTATCCACCCATGTACTTGGCCGTCATGTTCCTAAACGACACCTGTTGACAACCGTTATCCCAATGTCCCGTCAGATTACGATGAGCTCCACCGACGAACGCCACCAATGGCTCGTAGCTCAGTACCCTGACCATTCGCTCCAAACCAACATCATCGTCAAAATGGGTGAGATTCTGAGCCAGCAAAACATAACGGGTGGACACCTTATCGACCAACCTTTGCCATATCACACCGAGTTTACCACCGTGAATTATGTCGTTCTCGAAAGTAACATTTAATTTCGAGATAGCATCTTTCACGGAAGGAGCCAACTCCCTTTGTGTTGCAAGAACAACGCGAATTCCCGGAAAATACGTGGCGATGCCTTGCATAACCTCGAGGTATGTTTGTGCTGGCTTCGGTAACTCGTCTGGCATGGTAATTAAGACGGTCACCAGTCGTTCAATTGGAATGAAATTACTACACGGAACACGGTCGAATCCTTTGCGAAAGAACGGATGACCGTAATCAAGTTTAGTTCCCATAAACTTGTCCGGACACACTTCCCCTTCGACTATCTCCCCGGCAACGCTTTTGGCGACCTGGTTAGAGACGTTATCGCCACGGAAATTTTGGTCGAGCACCTTCAACATTTCAAAGGTTTTATCAAGGTGCTTTGCGAGCCTTGTGTAACTGTAGGCAGACGATACCACGGCTCTCTGCGTCTCCAGTAGATCTTTTGACAGTTCCCTTAATTTTGCTGCAAGTAATTTCTCGATCGTTGTTCTAAGATTTTGATTCAGAAATATATATGTTAATTTTGGAACAATAGCTAAGTCTTCAAAGATGTTGCGGGCAATTTCTACCCGTAATTCTGTTTGTTTCAACGAGGAAAGGTCATGCAGGGGCCAGTTGTTCAAAAGATGTTTAACTTAACCCAGGGTTAACGCAAATCTTTACATCAATTTTTTTCATCGTTTGTTTATAAAAGTTGAATATCTTTTCCATTAGTATTATCTGGTTCAATAGAAGTGATATTTTATAACGTTTTAAAAGGAACAGTGGTTCATAAACTAAAACAGTGGATTAAAATTTAAACCACGGTTAGCGATAATCTAGCTTTGAACAACCCGCCCCACCTGTAGTTTATGTAAATTATTGCAGAAATTGGGTTCTTTACATTGTGTCGAACTGGAAACATATAGAACGAAACAAAATCCGCCTAACATCATTTGCAAACTCATGCATGATGTGAGTTATAAAGCACACAAAATGCAGGATTCTAGTGATAAATTGGTTTGAAAGCGATTTTGACTGAGATAAAGCCTGCGGCCCGAAATATCACCAGAATTATTCCGCTTTTGTTTGAACGTTTAGTAGCTCAAATGCAGAGTTCGAAATATGACGTTTTTTGAGTTTGTTTGAAAGCATTTGCTGCAATTAATTGTTTTCAATTACAATACTTAAAAACACACAAACGTTCATATAGGATATAGCCTTAGCTTATAGGATATTAAAATCAAAGAAAATCAGTGCCTATGCGAAACATGTACAAACCTTGCGTCAGATTCGATCCCTGAGTCGGGGATTTTATTTATCGGAATTTGTGCACTCTGTCTGGATATTCGTTGTCGCAACGACCGTGTCCATAACGTCATGACAGTGAAAGCGATACAAATCAACGATATCAATAAAAGAAAATATCTTCGCTTCCACAATTTAAAAGATGCCATTTCCTAACTTAAAAACTGAAAGGGCACAAGAATATATTTCCTTTAAACATACCAACAATGCAACACCGGTTTGTTAAGGATATGAAAGAAACCTTTTACACGTGAAATGTATATAAACGTTCATGAAAGATAGTCAGTATATAATATTGCTATTGAGCCAAGTAAGGCCATATATTCTTCTTTTATATGCCCAACTGATTTGGTTTGTTAGCTATTGTTTCGCCTTTCGAACGAACATGAATATTTGAATATATAGATATTAAGCTTCTTGCGGTTTTTTATACATCCTAAAAAGGCTGAAATATCTTTTTGACATGATGTTTGTCCTGCCTAATAACAAAGTAAACCTCTTATGCATATTAATTGCAGGAATTACACGAACATGAGTGTTTTTATGAAGCGTTAAATAAATAAATTTATTATGTATACAAAAAAACGTTTTAACAACTATTTACAAGATTACATATTAAACGGTATAGCCCATAAGTTTTTCAGTAACAATTAGTATACATACAATTTTAAATATCAACTTATAATTTTATTACACTAGATATTATAAATGTATCTCTAAATCTATTTAATACGGTAATAGCCATATGTGAAATCGTCATGTCCAACGTGTGACGTCATAACGTGTGATACGATTTTTAACGTGTGAATCCCACGTTTGACGTCACACTCACACCAATGGCGAAGCCGAAGGTCCCAAAAGAGCGGGAATGTGTAATCGACACAAATTCAAGCGAACAATTCAAGTTGTAATGTTCATTCTTTTAAATAGATAATAAGACAATTATTGAATTCGGTTTTCACATGATATGAAGAATTATCAAGTGATATGAAGGATTGACCCACGTCGATGAAAATAATATCGTGAAGTTATTTTTTTCATCTTGTAAAGTTACAGCCAGGTCTGTTGTAACTTGTTTTAATAAAGCTTCACATTATTCAAAACAAATAACAATGTGTTGCGCAAAAATGTTCCTTGTTGAGGAAACCACACTGTAATCTCTCCAATTAGCTACCTACTGACCCAAATTTCCCCCCTAACCCTCTCTCCCCCTTCCCTCCCCCCTTTTGAAATTCGTCCACTGTACTTGAGGGAAACTTGAGGGATAGAAGAGGGTCTATTATTCAAACCGCGCGGGCACTAGGTTCTACACGAAGGGAAAGCCTCTGATTGGTTAGTTCGAAGAGAACGCGGTTAGCTCGAAGTTGAAGAGCTTTGTCCATTATTTTTATTTTCTCGAAGTATTCTGTGTTTAAGATGAAACCTTCAAGGTAAGGCGTATATTTTCGTAGATTTTGTTTTCTCAACACGTTAATATAAAACCATTGGTTTCCATTTAGCACTGCTTCGCCGTATCCACGAAAGACGCCAAGAAAAACGCCACGTAAACCGTCAAAATCGAAGCCTACTGACCCAGTCGAGGTATAAAAGTATGCCCAATATAAAAAATCTAACCAACACATGCAAACATGGTTTAATCTGTTTGAGAAACCTTGTGGGATATACCCCAATTCAATCAGTTGCCCATATGTTCGGGTACTTTACACCTTATCGTATTGTTCTTTTTATATTTGCGTCCCTTCCTATCTGAAGTTTGAAATACTGAATTCTCTTCCCCTTTCGAATTCAGCAATAATCAAAAACGTTTTTGGCTAAATAAAAACGTTTTACTCAACTAAATTAAAACATTTTCATTCATTCAGTACTCAATGGTGGGTCTAAAATATATATAGACTTTGATGAATAGCCTTTCCAGTTCACACATCTGTACACTATCAAATTGTCCAATTCTTTAGTCCAATTCTATAGTTCAGTGAGCAACTACCACTTTACCAACCAAAGCAAATTCAAACCATAAGATAATATAGATTAGGATTTCACTATATATTATTGCAGAAGATGTAATTGGTTTGCATGGTGTAGATCATTGACTGATTGACATGCATTTGTAGTTTTGTGGTAGTTAGTCTTTTAACAAACATTGAAATTTTTAATGAAAATTGACAACAAATTGTGACCAGTGACCATTCATCTTTCACAAAACCACTACTCTGTATTACCCAGGTATTCTGTCGCATACGACCTCTCCACGACAACGAAGAGGAACTCTGTGTCGAAGTTGTTAGCAAAAATACCATTCAACTTAATCCACCACAGGTAATCTGAATCCTTCAGAGCAATTAAGGGCAATTGATCTTGTATTTAATAATCATTGCACTTCAGAAACTTATACAATATCATATTAATCCCTTTAGAATTCCCAGGGGTTCAAATCTGGACACAGAGTAACAGCGGTATGTATTCATATCCCAGATTATCAGGGGAGGTGTGTAGGCTAGCATATGCGCATCTTCTCTGGAATTGTTAATTTGTATTTCTGCTTCTATAATGTTGTTTACCTCCCCTTGTGAGAAGTCAAATGATTGTTTTTTAAATATGAATAGAGCTATTATTCAATTTCATTTTGCTATTATTTTGAAACTAGACCCAACATTCATTTAAACAAGTGTTTGATGAGGATAGCATTCAGAAGAATGTATTTGACACTGTTGCCCTTGATATTGTCCATGATCTGATTCACGGAAAAAATGGTTTGTACAGTATTTCATACAAAATCAATTTGTATATTATAATACCTGACAAGTTTCAGTTACTGCACAAGTGCTATGTAGTGTGACTAAATTTTAGAATCTTAGGGTTTTACTTAAAGCAGTTCATAGAGCTTATGAAGTTACCTTGTAATGAATTCCCATACCAAATAGGAATGTTTTTAGTGTACATAGGATTTTTTTAAAAGCCTGGTGCTATAGGTGTCTGACACCATTAAGTCACACAAATCTCACACTTCAGTAGGATGCTTTAATAAATATGAGTGTGCATCTTGAAATCTCTTGGACATAATTTACTTGGTAGAAATGTAAAATAATGGTACAATTGTACTCTGTTCTGCACAATCATGTACATCCCGTATAAATCCAATGAGATGACCAGCTATATCTTGCTAAGATGGCAATTGGGATCACTGCATGTTTACAGTGAAACTATTTCATGACCTTGTTAGGATAAAATAAGGACAAGTCTTGTTAAAGGTCCTGTTAAAAATATTATTCCACCTTAAATGGTTGTTTATTAAACAATTTCCAGGTCTTATTTTTGCCTATGGTATCACCGGGTCTGGAAAGACGTACACAATGACTGGAAGTCAAAGCGATGGAGGTTTATTACCAAGAGGACTGGATGTTCTCTTCAACAGTATTGGAGGTTTTCAAACCAAACCCTGTGTAAGTTTGTGAGAGTTGGATTGAAGTTCTGAATGCATGGTGGCATTAAAAGCAAACATCAAGGTCTCAAATATATATTTATCTTTAACACATATCTTTATAAATGTATTTTACCAGGTGTTTACTCCTGACAAAAGCAATGGAATGGACGTTCAAAGTGAATCAGATGCAAAACTTGATCATGACAGAAAACAAAAAGAGATGGCTCTTCTGGCTCTGGGCAAGAACAGGTATGCTGCTTGTTAAAAGTGATTTCTCGCACATTTTTTGAAGTCCGTCAATGCAAGCTGTAGTAATTGTACTATATTTAACACAATAGCTCAGCAGCACAAACTAAAATGAGTGTAACCTTGCATATGCATGTTTGTGATTCACTCATAGCCAATCACAGGTTTCTTTTTGCTGACAAAATTACGTGTTAAACCAAGTGCAAAAATCAAACCTGCACCACCCATTCATCCAGATCCCTTTTAATGAATCATGAAACATACCATTTTTAGTGCCTATTTATTTGCCATTACAATTCCCTTTGGTTCAACAATTGTGAATAAAAATCAGAGTTTGTAGCACACCTCCTGCACTGTACACAAACCTGATCCATTGGTTTATCTTGTTTGCCATTTTAATTCCCCTTGGTTCAACAATTCCAAATATAGATAAACTATAGCACACCTGCACTGTAGACTAACCTGACCCATCAATTGGTTAATCTTTTTTAATATCACTTTCAGAGGTAATGATGATGATATCACTGACATGGTCAGAGTTCCAGATTGCTTCAAATTTGATGATGTAAGTACACTGGCATAGTTTGCTATATAACATTACAGTGTATATGCATGTTTTAGAAATGCTACAACACTGACAGCCAAAAATCCAAAATGGTGGGTAAACATTACATTTCTCGCTTATAAATTATACAAATATTAAACAAATACAGTGGGGCTGCATAGACATAACTTCCATAAATTGACATATCTGGAATTGAAGAAACACACCATAAAGGCTGCAAGAATCTTGACAGCAGATATTGTACCATACAGACAGTACATGTTGGTCTATTTTAACCGAGGAATAACAAAGGCCACAAAAGAGACTGCTGCAGTAACTATCGTCATGAGAATGGTCCCGACTATTTCCACAGTGATACGAATTCCGAGAATTTTCAGACCCATGTCACGCTCGCAGCTAACCATGTATTGGAATAGAAGCAAATTTTCTTTGGGCAGTCTCTCGGACCCTGGGGTGACTTCACATCGTCTGGCCCCCGCGGTGAGCGAACGGTGGACCGCAGCCGCTAAAACGGCGGGGGGAAAGAGCTTCACCAGTATCGTTCCCAAATCGAATATCACCCCACCAGCGTACTGCCACAGCGCGTAGTGCCTTCCGAATGCGTCGTCATAGTAGGCGAAGCTAAATATGATAATATCCAAAGCGTGGTAGCTTATCGCGAACGATATGATAAAATTGAAGTCCCTTTGCGTTCTGTCGATAGAATTTCTCAATTGCTGATGCATGTACAGCACCTGCACGGGGCTGGTCTGTTCCGAGCGCATGCACTCGACGAGTGAATGGATCTGCAGGGAATGCGCGTAGCAAACGAAAGCGTAAATACTCAGCCATACGGCCCACCAACCCGTCGTGTATATGATCACAACAATGTACAAAACGTAATGCCAAGGCCTCGAGAAGAATGGCTTCCAGTGAAATATAAAAAACGCCGCAGATAGACACCAGGCCGTGACGGAAATCAGAGTATACAGTCGTGCTTTTGCGCGCAATTTCGACGCGTAATGCGTGGATTGATTTTGAATGCTGAGGACGAGCTCCGTGTACTGACCGCGACTGAAATACAGTCGCGTGAACACATATGGACAAAGCAGGTTGAGGCAAGTTGGAACGCTGTTCATGAGATCGGCAATATGGACTCCCTTCGGGCTAAAAGTGAAACCGTAGTGTATAAAGTCTAATAACATTACAGCCGCAAGCGATACGGCAAATAACAAATGTATAAGAACGTAGTAAATTTCGCGTACGGTCTTCCCAAGTCGAGCGCCGTCGTGATGTCTGCGGTCACGAGGTAACCACATGCCCAGCGCCTGCAGGAGATAGTAGCAAGGTCTGATACAAATATCCGCGGTGTTCGCAGGCACTAAACCATACGATAAACCATACGAAGTCTGATGCTCCATACTCGTTGAAAGTTGTTGTTCTTCTCTGTTTGGGCGACGTCCTTCGATCATTTTTTGTGATTGGTTTAGCGAAGATGAATATTTAAACAGTCGTCACTTGGTCTCGTGATTATTACTTTCGTTTATTGTGACTAAATCCCGTGATAACATTCAAAATAGATTATTCCATTTATTATTTCGAAGTCCAGGGGTTGAGCGCATTCAACGTGTTGGTCGGAACAGTTTTTAACAAACAATGACTCTGGCGGTGGAAGATTGGTGTATTCCCATGTGCCAGCATTTTTGACATGACAAGGCCCCTCATATTTTATTATTACATAAGTCTCTCTTCGTGATGACCAAATATATTGTTCGTTACATGACGTACGACACATGACGTATTGTTTTATTATCATTGGCAACCCAAATTTGCGTGATAATTTTAACGCGAGAAATATTTCAGCTACAGTATTTACCAACACAGTATACAGGGTATTAAACTTGGTCCATGTTCATCTCAAAAATTCAATTGCAATTTATAATCGCTTTAGGTTGACGAAGATAACGGATATGCTGTGTTTGTTTCTTACGTGGAAATTTACAATAATTTCATCTATGATCTTCTCGAGGACAACAAACAAGACCTCATTTGCCCAAAGTATGTTGTTGTATTTACTTAATTAAACATTGAATGGGCAATGATTACATGTCCTGTAAATTCTAAATACACAAATTTAATGCTTGAAATTAGGGTTAGGTCTTACATTAGATTAATTTGTGTGTTCAGGACTTATTGGTATACTATGAACATACAGTATCCAGTGAAGTCCATGAAACTAAAAGTTCAGAACTAAGTTCAACGGAAATTTACAAAAGTATAGTCCCTTCAATGCCTTATTCTGTAGTGATGCACACAGGAGCAGAAGTTCCCTAAAAATTTCAGCACCCCATACCAAAACCTCAGATACAGAATAAGGCCTCAGAGTTAACAAGCTTTTGGTGATCCAAGGCATACCGTATAGTGAAATGGTGGAATAGAATTTGTGAATGTGTGAAATGGTGCAGGGCAACCTCCCCTCCCCCTCGCCTCCCTTCTGAAAAATCTCAACCTTTACCTGAATAGTGAAGGCTAGAGTCATCCTGTCTTCAAGCCCTAGCTCCCCCCTCTCTCTTGATCGACATGAACCACCAGCTTAACTCACCCACGAAAAATTCTGATAATGGCTCAATGTATTCCATCGTGTTTCAGGGCTCCGGTCTCCAAGCAGCTTCGAGAGGATAACAACAGGAATATGTACGTGCAGGGGGTTACTGAAGTGGAAGTGAAGAGCACAGAAGAAGCTTATGCCATGTTCTGGAAAGGTCAAAAGAAACGTCGTGTTGCGAACACTCAATTAAACCTTCAGTCGAGCCGTAGTCACAGCGTGTTTACATTGAAACTAGTGCAAGCACCTCTGGACCCTGATGGAGAAAGCGTTCTTTTGGTAAGTATGATGTTGTTCTCTAGATATGAGCGAGTAAATATCATTGCACTGGTGCGCACATAAGTGCCCTTATTTAACACACAGAACTAATCCAATGGTGCACATCAAGAGAAGTGAATCACACATATTCCCATAAACAATCATTTGGATTTACTTCGGTAGGACAAGGAGGAAGTACGTGTCAGCACGTTGTCGATGTGTGATCTTGCTGGATCAGAGAGGACAAACAGAACAAAAGCTGATGGTGACAGGTTAAAAGAAGCAGGTACTTACGTAGTTGACATCTGTGGCAACTCTCTACCCTTTGACCTTGCGCTCATTGCTTCTCTGATCAGAATTTACGATACCCCATGGTAAATGGTACGTACACTGTACCATTGTGTCTAGGATTGACATCTGAGTTTGGGACAAGTCGAACTATCGATTCTATTCATTCATTCTATCCTATTAGTTATTCATATTCTATCGTACGTATGTTTCAGGCAATATCAACAAAGATCTGATGAATTTGCGTTCTTGCCTGGAAATCCTACGCGAAAATCAAGCTAGCGCGGACGGCTCGCAAACGGGAAAGGTGAGAATATTATATATGTAGCTTGCGTCCCCGTACTATCTTTTTACCTTCGCTAAAAATATTCGTGCATTTCAGATGGTCCCTTACAGAGAGAGCAGACTGACGCATCTTTTCAAGAATTTCTTTGACGGTGAAGGAAAGGTACTCGATGCGTTGCTATATCATGAATCTATTTTTTCTTTTTTTTCCTTGTTCACCCTTTTTCTGCAACTCCAAGGTCCGAATGGTGGTGTGTTTGAACCCTAGTGCCAAAGAATATGACGAGAGCGTGGTAAGTTATACGAAGTATCCCCACGTTACGATCACGATTAGATCCATGCTGTATTTGAGATGAATGAATATCGCAAATATCTTCTTCATTACCAATCATTGTATTTCCACAGCATGTTATGCGATTTGCAGAAATCACGCAGGAAGTTGTTGTCGCACGGCCAACCGGAATCAAGTAAGTTTGAGATCCATTTGAGATGTCATTTAGTACAGAGGATACTCGCTGCTTTACAGCCAGTTCTGAAAGAGACATGTCCACATGGTTAAGAACAACTTAACAACCCCCTTACTCGTACACGATCACAATGTCGTTGTGGGCTTGCATCTCGAGAATATTTTGAGGTTGTCGAAACTTGTCCACGCTATAAATTGGCTTTCATTTCTTTTTGCAGTTCAAACACTGGGCTTGCTCCTGGCAGGAGAAAAGGTTGGTTGGTTGATAAACTAAAGCATTCTTTTGCGCTATTTACATGTACATGTGTTATGGTATTCCGATAGAGAAACTGTTTAACTTGGTTACACCTTCTTTTTAGCAAACCAAATGTTTAAACAAGCATTACAAAATATCAAAGTGGATGGATCAGGTATGTTTTTTATGCCGTTCTCTGTTTTTCCCATGTGGAGTTTGCTCAGTATTTTCATTATTTCAGATGGAATCGACAATCCTTTGCTTTTGAAACCCATCACGACATTTCCTCCGTTCCCACTGATGGAGGTAACCGATGTTTCAAATTTTTTTCATGTTCATTTTCAATCTCAGAATTTTAAAGTGAGCCGTCATGCATGTTTGTTTTATCGTTGAAGATGACGAACTCTGAGGATTGCATAACGTTGGTGAACCTGCTGAAATATCTTCAGGAGCGTGAGCAGAGAAGGGCCACGCTTGAGAAAGATTTGCAGAGAAAACGTGAGTATACCTGCATGAAAACCTTATGTTCACCTCGTGTGGAGATGTACTTTTGAGAAGTAGAGCGGAGCATTCCCTAATGAAACTCCAGAATTCGGCAGTGAAACTTAAGAGAACATGCTTCATTACATCAATCGAAAGCATCATCTCTACCGCTTGTTTTTTAATTAGGAGCGACCTTTAGACAAGAACTCGCAAAGCTTGACAGTCAAACATCTGACAAGGACAAGGTAAGTTGACTCCAAATTTACATCCAAAAATACCAAGGAATTCAATCATATATTAGCCTTTGCTAGTTGTTAAAAAAGAGTCTTTACTACAATAATTTTCTATTTTCAGATAATAACCGAGCTTCAAGCATCGAATCTCGAAAAGGAGAGGTAGGTTAAACTCCAGAGTTTCTGAGTGTTTACTCCTCAGAAATCTTTAGTACTGTGAGAATGGTTCATCTGGTTCTTGTAGTATTCTGTTCTAAATTTCGCTGCTCTTTCTCCGTAGAGAGATTCAGAAACTGGAAAGAAAGTTAAAGATGTTCTCGCAAAAGGTTTAAAAACGACTCTTATATTTCGCTCTCAGTTTATTTCCAAGCTATTCCTTAATCCTGACACCCTGTGTGACCCCTTAATGCCCGTGTAGTCCCTTTATGTCCGTGTAATTCCTTTACAGAACGATGCATTGGTCAAAACCAATCAACAACATCAAGAGAACGAAAAGGGATTGCAGACTGAGGTATTTATCGATCTTCCCTTCGTCTCAGTCGTCCACTGATCAAGGGAAATGGTTTTCTTTAAATAATCAATCGGTGCAAGGTTGAAACCGGGTCCAATGAAGAGTGTGCTCAGGCTATAAGTCTTACAAGCGTATTGTCTCTTGTTGATAGCTGGATGAACAACGCAAGACGATATCAAAGGAGAAACAGGACCGAATAAAACTAAAACAGGTAAAGAATTTTTCATTGCAATAGACCATTCTCCTATTAAACTAAATCCTGGACTAGAAAAAAAACGTTTGGTTCTGAGGTGTACAACTGGAATGGTTAAAATAGGTTAATATCTCTGTATGCTTTACTTATTGTGGTTGAGACAGGAGTTGTACAAACCAGGAACCGAAATCGAGTTATATACTCAAGCGTTGACGAGCAGTACATTTTAATTGGAATGTCAGTGAAGTTCATTGTGCCGTTTTTGTTTTACCAGACTCTGAAGGGCGTTGTTACACAAGAACGGGATAAATGGCAAAAGGAATGCGTAAGTTGCGATAGATTTTAACGATGGAATGAACAGATGAGAATTAGAGTTGAGATGAAACTTACTTGTCTTTGTGTAGAACAAACGTGTGAAAGATAAAGAACTGGAGATGGAGACCAAGATCATAAAAAGCGAGGAAAAATTACGCCAGCTCAAGGAAATTGTCTATAAAGTACGTTCCTCTGTTCCTGGATGCATGTTTTAATCATGAAGTTGGTCTAGCTATATTAAATGTATTAAACGATGTGCTTAGGTTAGGGGCTGTCCATTACTTCATTTTTCGCTCGACGTTTTGTAAATGGTTCGAACACTTCCGGTTTACTTTGAGACTTTCAATTTCGCCAATTCATCCAAATCGTTTTATTTATTCCAAGGGTGAAAAGAAAAATGTTCGTCCTTCAAGTCGTGGAAAAGGATTTTTCAGATCTCGATCTCCGCCACCAGTCGCTAAAAAGGTACATATCAATCATTTTTGAAAATTAACGTTCCAGTTCACATAAAGTTCACCGTTCCAGTGCACCGACCTTGGTAGTTGTTACTTATTATCGCTTTTTTATCGATACTTTTCAGCCGCCCGTGAAGCTTCGTCACCGTCGTTCAAAATCGTCTGATTGTTGGCTCGAACACAAACCTGCCGAGAACTTTGAAACAGGTAGAAAATACACGACTGTTTGTGTCTTTTGTTTATTCCAACACCTCAATTCGAAACACTTTGAATGAGTGAATATTTGCGTCTTTATTTCGTCACGAGCGGTTCTGATTAGGTCCACGTGAGTAGAAATATATATTTATATTTAACCATGTTTATTTGTGTATAGAAACGATTCTTCGCCCGGTGTTGAAAAACAAGAAGACTGTGAATGTTCCAGAAGAGAAGCACTTCAAAGAATCCCAGGTATTTTTGATTGGAGATGTTTCCTTCTCCCCTCACAAGTTGTTCTGTTTTGTTGCAGTATCGTGATGCATAATGCCATTTTTCTGCTTACGCAACTTCATTATCCTTCCTTGTATTGATAAAATCACCTCATCGATGTGTATCATATTCAATCTTTCCTCCAGGCTACCAACTACGTACTCGAACACCAGGAGGCCGACTCTCAGGGAGAGTTAGAAACAAAATTGATTAAGGTGAGAAGTGCGTTCAGCCATTCGCATAAAGAGCTTAAGCCAAACTTTAAGCAGTTGTATTCGGCATATAGAACATAAGTGAAGCCTTATCGCGTGCTTAATCAATTCACCTTTCAAACAACTTGTTTTTTTGCTTCAATCAGGGTGATATTTACAAAACAACTGGTGGAGGACGTTGCGTACAATTCACGGACGTTGAAACACTGAAAACGAACTTCGATGTCGCCCGCAGTCCAGAAAGGTTAGCATAATACGTCGTTCGGTTTTGAACGAAAATCTTAGTTTGGCGTTTTGGGTCTTTTTCCGACGAATTGTTAGCTAAGGAAACATTTTGGATCCATTCAAAAGAAGGTTCATTTCAACTTGATTTTTTAAAAATCCTTGTCAGATTACTGAGATCTAATTCCGGTTGGGTATTCGAGGAAGAGATATACTCAACTATTATTACCTGAGAATTCTCTCCATTTTCTTGCCACCAAATTTTATATTAATGGTAAAAATTTAAAAGATCACGTGCAACCAGTGTTGCAAAGCACGTGAACAATAAAAATATAACAACTATTGCTAAGAAACCTGTTAAGTCTTATTTAAAAAACCTGGTTCTCATTTTGGAGTTTTTACTGTATTCTCTGTAAGAAAACGAAGTTATCCTGAAGAGGATTTTGATGAAGCGAAGGGTGAAGCTATGGAAGACGACACCACGGCTAGTTGGACGGATGTTGAGACAAGGGTGAGAAATTACGATAGATTGATTGGTGTATGACCATAACAAGTATAATCCAATCCCCCTGCCAAGATTGAGTTTAAAGTTGATCTTTTTTGGTAAATTTCTAGTGCGCTTTTGGTATTGAAGGAAGACCTGGCCAGACAAATCCAAGTATTCACCACAGTGCAAAGCAAGTTTCATTATAAGTTTTTATTTGCTTTTTTGTCTATTTTAAGCTTTGAACATAACTCGCATCTAGAGCTATAGTGACATAGATATAATCAATTGACTTTGGGGGTTCTCAGTCCCACTGGTTTATTAAAAGATATACAAGTTTTATAAATTTAAATACAATTTTCCAGAGGTCTCAGGATACGACTGACTAGTCCTCTGAAAATTGACAAAGATCCAGCTTTTTGATAACGGTACCTGGGGCTGGGATCCGTTCAATAAATGAACATAATACTTAGTCATGTTAAAGTGCTTGATTTCGCATTTCACTGAAAAGTTCTTCGTGAATAGGTTTTGAATTTCGTCCTTAACTAAAAGCAAGCAGACTTGTGTATGTTGTTACATGATTTTAGGCTAGAATTGTACATGCAACAAAACTGACACAATTTTCTTTTTTATAGACGGCGAAAGTCGGACGAGAAATCCTAATACTATATACCTTTCGTGGTGTAAAACAAGCGAAATGATATCTTCATTTTGCTTACAAACAGCAAACGATTTTTACACAATTTTATATTTTGTTTGAGGAGGTGCTTATACATACTTCATGTAAATAGTTAGATAGATTCACAATAATTATATATGCATGTGATAACGGGATTGATTTAATTGTCTTTTACCCGGGGCTCGGTATTGATATCAGTCTGGCTATCTCACGCCATCGTGTCTATCCCAAGTAATAATAATATATATCGGTGGAATAAAATCGTAAATAAATACACTACAGTAGTCACTGTTGATTTTTTTCTTCGAGACCTTTATTTTTGGAGCGTTTTTTTAAAATTGCTATAACGGGAGGCCTCTTGAGGGACAGGAATGAAATCTGTGTAAATTCACTGAACAAAATCTTCAAATATTAAACCCAACAATAATTTTTTTTCTTATCTGCAATCTTACCCTGAAGCTAGGAAATTTTCTGCAGAAACGCAGTCTGAAGATTATGTGAAATCATCAGCAACAAAATCTCGGCAGAATGTTCTGTAATTCTTTAATAATGTATATATTTTGCAAATGATGATGCATTTCCTCCAAACGCTGATTGAACCTGGCCTAATTTTGCTGAAACGTTTGGCGCACTTTAAAATGTTTTCCTTCTTTTCATCTCATTTAGTATTTCAGGCGAGATACATAGATTTAAGGGTCGGTAGGAATCTGGTATAAACATAATTAACAAGCATTTAAATTAGTTTTAATTGCAAGCGATTGCACGTATAAAATTTCTGCATGGTTAAGTTGCATGATCTTCCAAAATCTGCGATCGGGGTTTTAATCCTGCATGGGAAATGTGAATTTGATTGTGGAGGTTAAATCTGGCCTCTTCTAAAGATTTATTTTCGCGCGCTACAACTACCTAAAAATATCCCAATTTTTATCTGCATGATAAGAAAATTATACGCATAAATCTAGCGATTTCATTTTTATCAATTTTTTATCAATTTTATCGAAAACGTTTTTAAATCTGTGGGCTAAACCATTTTTCTGGAAGATAGTGTCGTTATTACGGGCTGTTTACAGTAAATCTCAATGTAACATTGCCCAACCAATCCACGCCAATGGTACTTAAAAGCATTTTTTGTGTGAGATCACTTTTCATGATCCTTATTAAATTTGTCCCACGAAATCATCACTGAATATTCATCATATGTACGTAATAGTTCTTGCTGACCTTGTCCTTTGCGTGCAAAAAAATTTGTTTTTATTCCAGAGAAGATTTTTCCCTCAGATTATCGTTATATAAATAACATGCAGGCTTGATTTCTAAATAACATAACAAGTGCAAAAACTAAATCTGCTTGAGATATACATTGCGCAAAGTGAGTCTTATTTTGCTTTTTTCATAAGAAGCAAAGGAACAAGTCTAGATCTTTTGGGTAAGTTCGTAACTTTTATAAGCTTATATATGAATCATGCAATTTGCTTTGCGTGCAGATTTTGTATTTTTTAAGATTACTTCATCGTGAATTGTAGAATATTTTGGGTTTCAAATAGGTCTCCATTTTCTGCAAGTGTTTACGATTCGAAAAACCTTGTTTTTAACCTTGGAAAACGTAGCTCGCCTTTGACGCAAATGCAACTCAGGTCCACCCACGGCATGAGAATCGATTCTGGGCAGCCTCTAACCATTTGCGAGAGCCTTACTTGTGTGGGAGTAGACTATAGGCTGTTATATCATAGTATACTTTATCGTATTGTGATTATTCTTTCTGGAGTCGAGCCAGGGGCTGTCACGTTTTTATATACTATAGTATGTCTAGTGTTTGCATGTGCTCAGTCAGTGAATGGTATATTTGGCAGCGCAAGTTACGACACCATGCATGTACCATTTCACATACAGTTTTACTCTTAACTTGGCTTCAAAAAGAGATCGGTTGGCAAGCATATTCGTCTGGTCCTATGACTGCATGGCAAAATTCTGTTATACATGCATGTTTTTAATGATGCTGTAATCTCTCATGTAAATCGCAGTCAGACACATTATAGATCACACATGCTAGGATTGTCTGAAAATTCACATTGCATTGCCAACTCCTATAATAACGGGAATTTGGCCTGCTGTTTTTCACGCTGTCTACTCGACATCATCGGTCCATTTGCTCCACGGGATAAACGTAAATACATGCAGGTGCCGTTCCCCGGATCACCAAAGAACACCTTTGAATAGGTTCAACATCGCAAGTATTTTTCTCCTGCGTTTCAACAAGTATACCTTCGGCAGAAATTTGTAGTAGAAAACTTAGCCAATCTCAAAGTTTTGAAACGGTAAGGCTCGAAGGTCTGTATATATGATGTATATATGTCAAGCCAGTTTTCACAGCAAGAAATATAATCAAAACTCGCTGGTCTCACAGCTAGCTTAGCTTGCTCACAGTTATCACAATCAATGAATGTTTAACAGCTAAAACACTCAAGGGAAAACATTAGTTGCAGACGCTGTTGACGCATTTTATCTAAATACTACATGGTAGTCCATAGAGGAGGGTATTTTTGGGAGGTTCCAGAGCAATACATGGGTGTAAATTTTAGCTGGATTTGGTGGCATTTCGCTCAAATAGAAGTAATGTTTGGAGAGATTAAAAACTCGACATACAGGAAAAAGCTAATTTTTACTAAAAGTAAAAACAGTTAACTATAAGATCACTTGGAACCTTGTCGCTTGCATCACTTGGACAAGTTGGGCGACAAGCTCCCACTAAATTGTATTTTTTATTTCAGTGTGTCTATTCTCTGACGGATAGAAAATGGAATTGAAATCTCTGCAAAAGAAAGCTCTTAAATCCTGTGGTGCGGTAATGATCGTTCTTGCTGCCGCAATAATGATCATCGGATTCATTTTGGAATTTCACGGGGACTTCAGCAAAATAGCTGACGCTAGACCATCGAATATTTACCATATAATGTACCCACACACTCAATATTGGCTCGGGTTGCCGGTGAGTATAAAACATTTCATCGCATCGTAATTGTAAATGCATGTGGGATTTAGAATGTTTAATCGAGCATATTTGCAACATGCTAGAGTTCCATAAATTCTACTTGTAAATTTCTACTTGTAAATATTTGTTGAAATTTTACACGCCCGCTGCGGAAAGCAGCTTTATGCCTGCTTGAAAGTTTCAAGATGGGAAAATGAAATACTCTGCGATCTGATTTATCTATCATGTGATAACCTGTACCATCCCGTCTGTGAATAAATCTGGATATTCTCGCGTGCGGCTGTCATCATGTTGTAGCATGTTATCAGATGTTGCAATCATAATCTGATAATTATTTCTAAGTGCTCACCACACGCAGGTCTGTTGAGTCAACAGCCTCTTTGCGAACTGTCAACAAACTTGTGGAAAGCATTTTGAACACATATTCCTAGTGAGGGAAATCTTAATTGCTGAGCTCGAATACAGCAGCATTGAAGTGTGGGAATGCTTATTAGTCAAAACGTTCTTCGTTCTTGTGAAAATACTTGCAAGGGCGTAACGAATAAGTGCCTTGTATTGATGAAATGCCATGAAATACCCCCTGTGTATAATCATTGTATAAATATACGCTCGCATTGCAAAGCTTTTAGCCATAATATTTGTGGTATAATATCGTAACGGGGGGCTAAAAGGGATATTGTTTTAGCGAGGGCTTAAGACTAGCTCTTATGTTATAAGAAGCATTGTCAACATTGAGCCCTATTAAAATTGTTTTCAAAGTGAGATTATACCAATGGGCATGGGGGAACACTTGTGATTCCAACCCCTTGAGTTTTTATGCCATTCACCGTAATTGCAAAGCATTGCCACTTATGGCAAGATCAGGAAAAGCAACGATGATAACGTATATTAGGGAATTTTTGTATCTTTGTCACGCTAATTTTATTGTCTATTTTTTAGCTTTTTCTCCTCGCGTTGTATGTGCTGATGACCAGTTTTTATTCGTCAACCATTCTGGTAAGTGTCAGAGGCGTGGCCGCCTTTAGGAGGGCGAGCGTGATTAGGGGGGGGGGGGTAGAGCACCATATCTTCCAGATAAATTATTATTTAGTAACGCCTGCTTAATTTTCGATCAGGATTCAAATGACAGGGGGGCCGACTAGTACTACTTCCATTCTCTCTTTTCTACGCCGTCTCTCTTATACGAATAGTACTGTACTGGGGCCAGTTGTATCAAGCCCGTTTAGCTTAAACGGTGGATAAGTCAAAATTAAATAACACTCTTTCATCTCTCTTGAATGAGTCAACTTGAATATTATGCACTAAATATGTAGTTATAAACAGTATCTTTGTATTATGGTTAAAAGCATTTAGTTTTGCTTGTTGAATAAAACGATAGACTTGCTTTCTATTTTGAACTTAACCACCGTTTAAGCTAAACGGGCTTGATACAACCGGCCCCTGTGCTATAAATAGTACTGTATATATAGTGTCGTTTAGTGACTGTTTGACTATCATATTATTGTGATCTCATTTGGTTGTAAAATTTAGAAAAAGGGTAAAAAATATTATTGTAGAACTCTTTATAATGTGGTAAGAGATAGAGGTGACTGTCCATATCAGTAAATAAAGAAGAAAATCATGCTTCCCTTTTTTGACGGATTCATTTTCTATTTAAGCACATCATTGGTTCGGTATTGTGTGGTGTTCTTATGGTTGCTGCAATATGTGCCATTGGTTTACAAAGCTCTGTATGGTACATTGCACTTGATCTCGCTAATATAGTGAACAGTGCTCAATGTACGGACGCTTACAATGCGGTTGGTTCCAATCCACGCTGCAACTGCTATCGACAACTCCACTACAGCGATACTGACGATCTGGATGATGACGAAACACGTACGTAGATTACATTTAAACTGCATGCTTTCGATTCATTTTTTTATCTGTCCTATCCACTGAGCAAGAGTTTTTGAATGCTTTGCCTTGGATATAATTATGATAATGTCAACTTTTGCAGCCAGAAAGGGGGGGGGGCAAGGATTAAGACACTGAGGTCACATGTCCCTCCCTCTTTCCCTCTATAATGTTTTCTAACTTGTAATGTTATGTAATGACTTGTATTTTTCCTTTTTTTTCCATATGGCACAGTGCTCAGTCTTATGTCGTGTTCAGAAACAAAGCATTTCCCGGCAATAGTGAGCGCAATGGCCATCCTATCAGCCATTGCTTATCTCGTATGTCAGGCGACATGCTTTGTGTATGCTGCTAAATTATGGGGATCTTTGAATACGGTAGGTTCACCAGAGCGTTACCGCAAAACACAGCTTTTTTACTGGGTATGAATACAAGCACCGACTTAAAAAAGTCAGTAGCATTCGCCAAAGACTATAACACCACATTTTGCATCAAAAAATGGGGTTTTCTCTCTAATACACCATATACAGACATGGTCCCCCCTATGATCTGTTCGTCTCTAATAAACGCTCCTCTCCAATAAGAGCCCCCACCGTCTCAATCAATCATTCTCTAAACACCTCTCTCATTTAAAATATCCCCCCCGTCCATCCTCCCTGCTTTAGATGATAAGTTTTTGTTTATTCCAGGCTAAAGACGATGAGAACATTTTTCACGAGACCACAAGTCAACAGGTTTTGCTCAATGAGCATCCAATATAATGTATCGTTTATTAATGTATTTGCACTACCCTAGCGTCATGCACAAGGCTTTGAAATATCCTGCTTGCAATATCTTTCTATGATTGTAGAGACCGTACCAAAATATAACCACGACCAGAATTATTGTAACTGGACAATTTAATGTTATTCTTCATTACCTCATTATGTATAAACTTTATCGTTTGGCATGGTAAGAGTTGTAGCTATATACCAACCGTGTAAAGAAACATATATTGAGTGTCTTAAACTCAATACGACGTGTCTTAATATATGTTTACTGCATTATAGTGAGCAACAAATTCCAGCGCATATTTCTTTAGTTTATTTATGGAAGTGTCACTATAGTTAACTTGATAACATACTGTTATATTTTTGCAGCGGTCTGCCTCCAAGACTCTTGAGTGTGTCAAAATTCCCATGTAAAAATATTGGCTTTCATGCGGTCTTAAAGTAATTCCTTTAATTTCGGATGAATAACAACTCTGACCACTTTCAACGCATATTTGTGCATACATGCGGCGTGTCTGTACATATTTGAAAAGAATATGTCGGTGAATTGAGCGATTACAAATGATTACAAATTCGAAGAAGAATTTCTAAATATCTGTTGAGCAAATTGCCGCGTAATTTACAGCTAGATTCGGTGAGTTTAATTTTGTTTTTTATATATTATACCCAGAGGCTTTATTTCATTTAAAACTTTGCGGATGACGTTCAGGTGAAAGGCAACCAGTATTGATATTTTCTCAGCTTCATTTCATCGTATTTTTCAGCTTCCGATTATATGTTTTTCAATGATAAAAATAAAATTAAAGACCAACAGGTTTAATTCTTTATTCCGATATGCTCTCAGCTGGATTATGCTGTATTTTCTCAGCTTCCAATCATAGTTTTCAATCATGATTAATAGTAAATAAAACCTGAAAGGTTAATCGGCTTACGAACCAAGATACTAAACTGGGCTCTTGATTAGAGCGTTGCCTCCGGCCTCTCGTCTCGGTACGCCTCGGTCCGTCAAGCCTCGACGAGCGCGAGAAGCTTGATGGATTGAGTTTGAAAATTTACGTCATCGACCCTTCCTTTTTATCGTGACGTCGAAGAAGCTGTACACAAGGTAGTCTTGCTGACGTTTCTCAAATGGCTTTTCCTCAGATAGCAGTTTTCCAATGAGTGTAAACACAACTGAATGAAACGTAAACATATATCCGTGCACGTGAACGAGACGCTGTAACTAAAAAATGTTTTTAGTTTTTCAATTTCTTAAGTTCGGCTAATGAAAGACCTTTTCAATAAAGCATACCAAGCTAGCCCGGTCCTATTTCGTGCAGTTACAGCAGAAACATACAACGCATGCTGGCATATATGAGCATTAATTGAGGAATGTGAATATATTTCAAGCCACCCCCGAGTTTTCCGGCGTTACATTGTTTTGTACTGATGGAGAAGCTATATCTCGCAATTATCAGTGTTAATGATGTAAATATATATAGTCTTTTCTTTAATTGAACTCGTAAAGGCTGTACGTCATACGCTCTCAAAGGCCGTGAAAGACGGCTTCACATAACAAGGGGAGACTTTGGTGAAAACAGAACAATACACTGGCGAGAATCTAGCAAGATAATCTACAATTAATCGTCGCAATGGCCCGATCATCTGGACAACATAAATGCGGTCTTATATTTTGTGGTATTACGATGCTGATCTTAGGTTCTGGGATTACGATTACGGGATTTTTAAACGATTTCTTGGATCCCTACGATGAGCTATCGAAACCCACTAGAATCTATTTTACCCACACGCAATATTGGCTCGGAATTCCAGTAAGTCAAAATATGATTATTATACTTATATGACTTATATATCTTCAAATTTCATTATTGATTTCATTTGGTAATACACATCATGTTATTACATCTCTAAGATACTAATATTTGCCAACCTTGACCTGCCAAAGAGCTATATGAACAGAATTCAATTGACTTTTAGGCTATGAATCTTTCTTCAGACAGTGTATGAATCTTTCTTCAACGTTTGAAAAAAACTGGCCTCAGATTTACAGCACGAATGATTAACATGATAAAGTGTTTTACACCGAATACAACGTATATCAGTGCCGGAAATCAGACCAACATTAACAGCTGGTAGCGGAGTAATTTCCAACCATAAATGAAAACAATAGATTGAATGTAATGACCGAGACTTCGTCGGCTGTCTTTACTGTGTTCATTCATAGTATATATTTGAGTGACCACCATTTAAGTTACTTTTACACTTGAAACAACTTGTTAGTCAGGTTTAACATTTACTTTTTCGGAAGCAATTATATTCGGCTTGATTTTTATGCTTGTCAAGAATTTGAAATATTCTGAAGATATCTTGGTAGCATTGAAGCGCCTCAAAATAAACAGTAGCTGTTTTGATTTTTAACAAAGGTTCTTTTATTCGGGAGTGAAAATGAATGTTTGGTTACTAAGGAAGTGTACCGGAATATATATCATCTTCAAAGTCTTTTGTCATAAAAATAGAACAATACCAAAGTGTATATCTGACTTGCTTGTACACCGAATGAATATATGACTGAAAACTGCTGGGTTCGTTCACGAAATTTGCACAACGTAAGACCAGTTAGAAGGAATAACGGTTTATAGTAAAACTGAAAAAAAAGACGTCAAACGCATGCAGATGACTAATAAATACAACTGATGATATAATCCTTTTTCCATACGTGTCATTTTTAATTATATTTAATTGTCCGATAATTATAACACTAATTTATTTCCCCATATTTCAGCTATTTCTGCTGGGAGTCTTCGTAACTACTACATCATGTTCTAAAATTAGTTGCCTGGTAAGATACTGCATGATTTGTTCATATTTCTACGCTATGACAACTGTCCTCTGTTTTCTTTGATTTGTCTTCTTTCCTTTATTCAACCATTTCCTTTAATCCTTTCGTCAACCAATGCTGACATGGAGTGGTTGTTTGTCATTAATGGCTATACTCATATCACTCATATTGCATTCGGCTTGGAAATATTCAAGTCTTTCTCATGATCATTGCAAGTCGACTGTTTTTGTTACAGAAAGTCTTCGGTTTAATGGCAGCATCGATGGCGTTGATATTAGCAATGTTTGCCGTGGTTTTGGAAGGTCCTCAGTGGCGAAGGACTCTTAAGGACACAGCTGTAATAAATGATTTGAAGTGCAGCACGGAGGATAAAAGATGTGTTTGTCGTCAAGGTAATACTCCACTACAACGACTTGGTTTTTGGCTTATCTAACCATAGCCTTCGGGAATTAGGATTTTGTTTAATGCTCAAGTTCATCCAGATCACCATATGAATGTCTCGTCATAGCATATACCCATGAACAATTCAACGTTATACAGCATAATAACAGCTGCATATTTCACTTTTACAGATGACAAGGATTCCTCGATCGTTCTTGGTTTGGCGATTCCCTCGATTTCGTGCGATGAGATAAAGTTCCGTGCTGTTATCTATTCTGTTATGGTGGGTTTCTCTGTGCTCGCTATTCCGTTTTGTCTTTTTTGCGCCTTCATTTACTTCAGAATCTTGGGATGGATGTTACATGTAAGTTGATTCAAGGATCTCAACCTTAATCTACTCATTTACATTGACAATATGACCCAGGATTAACCAATTAGACTTGCTTCAAGCTAGCTTTAAAAGTTTCAAGAGGCTGTATTTTGTCTGCATCTCACTACAGCGGTGATCTTGTTTTGTTTCAGATCAGTTACGATAACCCGATTGATGACTATTACGCGAAAGCGGTGAACAGCCATTTTATCAACGGTCATCACGGGCGAGGAGTGGGACGAGCAAATGAGGTGGCCCTTGGAACATATCCTCATTAACAGCCAGATGGAATCGCCCACTAAAACTTCATAATAAAAACAAGTACTAAATCTCAACAAATCCTCAGCACATTGGTTGCTTGCGGATATTTTATACCATTAATGTTAGAAGTAATGGTAGCCGGGTTCTGTTCAAAAGCGCGGATATTTATAGGATTCATTATAAAATAACACGTAGCTGAATTAGTATATAGCTATATTGAAGCAGGGATGTGTGTTACAAGATACTGTGGATAACATTCATATTCATTATTGTTTTCATTGGCCGTAATTAATGTAATTTTAAATGGACTGCTCTTAGAGTACGACTGTATTCAAAAGAATACGACTGATTTCAAGGTTTCATACACGATGTTTTTTATATTATGATAAACACGTAACGTACGATATATTTATCTCAGCCAATGGCGATGAGACAATGTCAAGATGCTACGTGACCTACTTCCAAATGTTGTTTATACTCGTGCAAATAATAAGAATAATCATAGTTAAGTCATCTTTCAGTTTTCCTTTCAAAACAGCCGTACTGACACGTATCCGATGTAAACAAAATATTTGATTTCATAGTTTAGTGAATGTTAAGTAACTGGGCTTAACTTTCTCTCAATATGTGAAACATCACAAAATACGCGAGTCTCCATCTGACGTAGGTGTTTGAAGCGCTTTTCCGCGGCAGATGGTATTTTTTAAAATTTAATCAAAACTTTAGTGCCAGAAAGTAATATATGGAAATCTCTATTACATCAGCGTTTGGTTATTAATATCAGTGCATTTTGAAGACATGAATCTGGCTGTATTTTATCTGTGTCTAATATTTAAATTGTCCCGAAATATGCATGCATTACTAATGCTTTCCTAGTAGTTTTTACCAGCTTTAAGCGAAGTATTAACTGTTAAATAGCTCCTTTTAAGTAACCAAAACTGTACTTGCTACAAGTCTGCCTTAAAGCAAGTCTGTAACTGTAAGCAAGACTTGTTTGATCCTGTCACCTGTGAACTCAAGCAAACTAAACTGTATCGGTTATCGAATTTCATTCTTTTTATATATAATAATGTCAGTAAAACACCGTAGACACGAGTATGTGCAGCACTGTATCGGCTGACTTTGAAATTGAGCTGGATTGAGACAGGAAAGGTAATTACATGCCGCTGTAGTTACTTTATGATTTAAAAAAAAAACATTTGTGGATTGACGAATTGTAACTTGCGCAATTTAATGTGATATGACTGCACATTGAGGATTAATTACTGAATTAACCTTTTCCGCGATGTCAAATATGGTTAGTCCCAGGGGCGGATCTAGGGGTAGTCACACCAATCACGCGACTAACGTAAAAATTCCGCACTAATTTAATTCAATGAAAGTGAAATAATATTTATTTTTCCGAACGCAGTCCAGTTGTAAATTTGCAGCGGCATAATTAATTTTCTGGCCGAATGAATTAAATTAACACTGATCTCTCTTGATATCCCCGCTCTGAATTCAAATTTCAAACTGCACAATCGTGATCGTTCTGGAGGTTTGGCCTGATCGTTTCTGGTCAATCTGATTGGCCCACTCGGTGGTTTCCAAGGAGACAAAAATGGTGATCGTTCTGGAGGTGTGGTGTGATCGTTTTAGAGGTTGGTTATGGGCGTTTTTCATCAATCTGATTGGTCAGATCGATAGTTTCCATGGCGACACAAAGTGTGATCGTTTTGGAGGTTGGTCTGATCTTCATTTCTTATTGGCTGTTTAATTCCTGACCGATCACGACCGATCAAGCGATCAGAGTCAGAGACTAGCCTCCTCCGCAGGCATCTCTTATGTATTTATATTATGCATTTATATTTGACCGTGAGTGATATCACCGATCACGACCGATCAGAGCCCGTGTTTTGCAGTCGAATGTATCGTTCTTTGTAAGGGAATTCAAAAGAAAAACCGGTATAGAGCAGTTATGCGGGCGCTATATTCATGACACTATTAAATAACATGTCGTCGAGAGATTGATGTTTTCGTATTAAATATACTCGCATGTGTTCGACGAATTGAGAAGTGCACTGTTATAAGGTAAATTATCCAATGTTGATGTTTATGTAAACTATACTCTGATAATACTATAAGCTCATATAAACAATGGTCCGATAATTTAACTATGTTATTGTTAGCTTATATATTTTACCTAGGTTTTGAGGCTGCTGTTATTAGCATATATTTGCATTCGCCCGTCGCCCGTCAAATCGATTTAGAATTTCGAGCCTATTCATATTCTCATTTGTGATTTGTTGTATTGATTATTTGCATTACCCAGATTCTTCTTGCTGGCATTGTATAGATTGTGAGCTAGTGTAATAATCTGTACTTTGCAGTTCGAAAGATTTAGAAAGCTATGGATATTTCCGAAATCATTATAATATATAAATATAAAGCAATTTCGCTTTGACCAAATTCAATGATAATGTAATAAACCTGCATGTGTTCTTACATTTCACTAGACAATAACATTTTGAGCTGAAAATTTCTTGAGAGGTCTGTTCGAAGGAGTAAATTTCTACCATTATTGAGATTTGACTATTGCTATAAAAACATGCATTTTATACCCACAAAACGTCCCTTTTTAAACCTTCCATTTCAGCGCCTACACAATGTTTTGTGGCATTCAATAGCTGTGCCCTAGGAATTTAGCAGACTATAACCTGGCATTAAGCTTGGAAAGCCTCACAAATTTCATAAATCTGGTGGGGGGAGGACGATTGGCGACGAAAATTTGCCTACGAAAATTTTGACTAACGTAAAAAAAATCCTAGATCCGCCCCTGGTTAGTCCATTCTAAAAACGCTTTTCGTATTGTTCTATTTTTTTAAAATCCGTTGAAAAAAAAGGGAAAAGGTTACTCCAGTGGTTTACTGACGCTCAGTGGTTCAGTTACATTATTATCTACTTGACGTTCCTCCAAAAAGTATACATATGCTGCTGTTCATTCACACTGGTGGCACCAATGGCGGAAAATTTAAAAATTTGAAAAAAATTCTTGTCTACCAAAATATTGACAAAGAACGGTGGTTTATTCCTAATGTTTGCTAAAATGTTTAAGCACGACGATTGGGATCATTCGAGACTAAACTCCTTCCTGGTAAAGGTCAAGGTAGGACCGATCGATTTTCAGAAATACTTTTTAATATTTCGTTAGTTATTTTGGTATTCAGTTGCACCGTCACCGTGCATGTTTGCAGTAAAACCATGTTGCACTGAGATTTTATTAATAAAGAACAGTAAGATGTGTGTAAATTATGGATGCTTCTTGTTTATTTAGCTTCAATTTATTGAATAGTAGTTTTATATAGCTAATCTCGATTTTAATTCTTTTAAAACTATTGTAGACTGAGAAATGCATTTTCATAATCTATTTACACATCTTTACACGTTTTGAATCGATAAGCGATCAATCGATCGACTTTGGTCAAGGCAGAGAGTAATCGACAGAAGATATTTGTCAACGCATATCGATCGATATTTGTGTCGATCAATATGTATGTGTAATGTACTATATCGATATTGATAAATGAAGATAACAATATACACTTAATGTATGCTCCCGAGGAAAATAGTGAGTTTTGTTTTCCCAAGAGTCTGAATGTTTCCCGAGACGAAGTCGAGGGAAACATTGAGACTCGAGGGAAAACAAAACTCACTATTTCCCGAGGTAGTGTACATTTATTTAAAGTCATGTGACTACGAATGAACCAATCACATTTAAAATACACAGAACCTATATAACAATCAGTAATGTATAAGTTGTATAAGTTGTTAAATCTTACAACTTTCCAACTAGTTGAAGTCGTAATTTATGTGAGTTAAATCTCAAATCAGTTACTCAAATGAGCGATGTAGCAGCGTTGAAGTAACCTATTCAACGAATTGGTTCTGCTCATAACAATGGGAGGTTACTTGACTTAAAAATTGCTCAAATTTCGAATCTTTGTACAATATTATGTGAGTGACATAAATTATGTCTGAAATCAACTCTATATTCGTAGTCATTAAGACGTATAGCGGGAAAAAAATGCAATTAATAATGACGAAATATAGCAAAACATTTTGTTTACATTACGTCTTCATCGCACTGCACAGACTAGAAGGCTAAGAACATTGATTACTTTGATAAATGTTTAAATTTGTCTAAATGTACAAAACTGGGCAATGCTGCATCCCATTATTCCCCCGGTAAGAAAAATGCTTCGAGTAGTCGAGTACCCAACCAGTATGCGCAGTATTTCTTTGATATTAAGGCGGACTGGGCGGTTTTGTTTACGAATTTTATTTTTATAATTTTATTGTTTTCTAATAAAAAAAATTAGTTAATTTTGTGCAACACCGAATGGTGAAAATCGTTTTTCATTCATGCCGTGCTACCACTCTAGACTAGTGTCTTCTTCCTCCAAAAATGACTTGTATCAGGAGTTTATAGAAAGCAGTGAGGAAGAATGCTGCGTCCCGACGGTCTCGTATTTGTCTTGTTTCTATGCAACGATTGCTTGAAGCAGTTGAAGGTTTCGTATTTCATGCTTAAACAAACCTGTTTTATTCCTGTCTATCTTGTGGCTCGTATTACTCAGATGTAAACATACACCCGCGCTGAAGCATGTGCGCAGTCATCATTGTAAACCAAACGTACGCTAAGCGGTAACAAAACCCTTCGCGCATTTAGGGAAAAAAAACGACCTAGTCTTAGCCGGTAGTGTGTAAGCCTAGCGATGAGCAGACACGCCAATGGAGTCGTAAACGAAGGCCTGGACAAAAACGAATCGGTCCTAAACGGCACGAGAACAGACGAAAGGCCAGGAATAGAAAACACGTCGGTCTCGCTGGAGATCAATGAGAAGCCCGAAGAACGTGAATCTTGGGGAAATAAACTTGAATTTCTTTTAGCGACCATTGGGTTCGCCGTCGGTCTCGGAAATGTTTGGCGCTTCCCGTATCTCTGTCAGAAAAACGGAGGAGGTATTGCTCTATATATGTTTCTAATCTATTTCATATCGTGTGTTGTTGGTATTCGTAGTATGTTACAGTATATAAGCGGCCGTTGTACGTATTTCACAATATGAAACTACAATTAGTCTGGCGAAGACAGAAGGATTAATTCACATCAGAAAAAAAAACACACCGAAAGTACCGCTTTCGCAATTCAAAGGAGGCACTCGATAATCCAAAGTCCGTATACACTTAGTTTCCTTACGCTAAGCTGACCTTTCTGTTATAAAGCTTTTGACGTTTTCATCAACAATGTTTTGACATTGAATTTTCTCCTAAGTGAAAGCCCAGCGCATATTTTTTTGGTATCAGTTTCGAACGAGAACAGCCGGCGGTGTGTGCATGGGACTTGTAAAAAAACGTTGTGGCACAAGTAATGCGTATTAAACATATTTACCGCATACTTTCCGGCAGATCAAAATATTTAAGCGTGTCTGTATGTACACGTCTGATAGAGCTATTCTGTCATGTTTTTATATAGTACACAACATCCACCACGGGCTTTTCACATTAAGAAGTAAAAAAGGCGCTGTGTAGTTTAATAAATAGTATTCTAGTGAATGTGTTAGCGGATCTGCGAATATAGTAATATGGTAAATACAAGAGTTTGTTATGAATCGACATTGTTATCTTAAAGGGTCAAGCATGCCGACTCAATGGATCGAAGTTCAGTGCATTGAATGAACATGAAATAAATAAAACTGTTTATACCCCCATCAAAACACAGAGAACGTGGCTTCACGTGAAACTCTGTATATTTTGGTCTGACGCAACATGGCGAGTCTTAAGTCTAATTGAAGAAAATCAAACTGTTTAAACATTTACGGCTCGTATTTGTGCACAGCTTAGGTTTTCAGAATGTTCTTTTTTACGGTTATAATCACGGCTTAAGCCATTCAATTTCTGACCTACGCGCGCTTTACGCAATATCTCTCTCTTCAACACAAATGTCACGAATATATCAGTGCAGTGTAACTGATACCGCGAGTCCTTGGGAGACCTCTTCAAATCGATGTCCTTCGTTGTCGATTGACGCATTGCCCAGCGACCTCAAAGACGAAAAAGAACAGATCTATGATGTGTTGTTGAACGAGACTATAATGGCGAATTCTTGCGTGCCCACATGTGCTTTTTAAGCGATAAACTAAGTCAACTACCTCCATTGATTGAATTCTCTACGTAACACGTACGACGTTTGTTAATGACCTAAAGTTAGCTACACTGGTCTAGTGTGGCATTGCTATGCCACGAGTACATTTCAAAAAACCCTTTTGCCATAAAAGGTGTTCTATGGTAGACTGTAATCTTCAAAACAATTAATCCTGCTTTTCATTAAAGAGCAGGGAATTCCACCAAGCAGAGTCATCTTTATTTTCAAGATACGAATCAAAACAAAGAAGGCGTTGTATGTGTAGTTTCTGCTTGTTTTAAACGCAACGTTAGACACAATAACTGTGCAGCCGGTTCCTGTGGTAGTTGACCGGGTCCAGACGAATGTTAATGTTTGGAATTTACGTGGCAAATGTTCAGGAACGATATCATTAACTACCAACATTTTTCATTAACATCCAGCAAGAGCCAAAACTCCGCTCGAAAGAGATCATATGTGTAAATCCTGATGGACTTCGTGCTTGCAAGCGTGGGACATTTCGAAGTTCTCTTTCAACGACTGTTGTCCCGTTCTCTTTCAATGTCTCTTCGAGTTCCTGTTCCGAAAAGTGTCCTTTATTTCAGATATTCGAACTGTTTTCGTACAGATCATATTCACTGATAAAAGGATACAAACGTTCTTTTCTGATAATAATAACAGGTCAAACTGCTCGCAGTTAGCAAATGAATTCATGCTTCTGTTGTAAGACGTTCTGATAAAATCGCCTCAGGATATTATGTAAGCTATTATCACCCCTATGTTTTGAGCTGACGCTTTGAGCTGACGCCTATGAGTCTGATTTCTCACGAGCTTCTTTTAAGTTTTGCTTCCTCAATCGTTGTAAAAACGTAAAAAAACTGTTTCAGAAATCGTTTGCAGACACGAGCTTCAAGCAAGCAATCGTCCCTTACAAGACACGAGGATAAACCGCGAAGTTCCGAGTCGCATCTGATAGCCTCATTGTTTTTATCATCGTATTTTCAGGAAAATTTCGATTCTCAACAACAGCGCGGGCTTTCAAGTGTAATGGCGGCTAGCGCTGTTTGCCCAGGATCGAACCGCGAGTGAATGAACGGCAGCGACGTCGATGAACGGTGTTGAGTAAGATCAAAGACGTCAAGACTGCTAAGAATGTCAACATTTTTGTGGCTTACCTGTCTTAATAATAATAATAATAATAATGATAATAATAATAGATGTGTACAATGAGAGCACTTAACCTTACATTGCGAAATATCCGCAACGTGTTAATACGATTAAGACTATGTATTTTTGTCTAAGATGAATTTCCTTTGTTCGTCCATATTCCCACAAACCCTCCCGCCATAAAGAGCTTGCATGCAAACATTACCACATGTAAAACATTAGCTACAAACATTATTTAAAAGATTCAGGTATGATTTCAAAATCTCCCATATTTTATACACTTTGAAAGATGTTTGCTATGCTTTCGTTTCCCGATAAACATGTTTTCGTGGGACGATAGGAGTTCTTGGGTGTAGACCCACCTCTTTCGGCAGCGTGTGAGGGAGGGGAGGGGAAGGAGCGTTGCTTTCCCCAAGGAGAAAATACGATGTCTTCAACGTGTGAAATCTTTGAAATGTGCTGGTGGTAAAAATGCAACATCTACGGTATAAGTTGTGATTACAAGTGGTAGGAAATAACATTCATTGCCCCATACTTAACACTAGGGCCGTCCATTTTCACTAAACAAATAAAGTAAATACCGTCTCCCTGCTGAGCTTCCCTACAATTTTCCCGCCAAACGTAATAACAAAAATTAGTTTACTTTTCTCAAATATATAAAGGTCAGTCGTTGTTGCAAGGTGAACGACCTTCATCCTGATTTATGTTGACGCAACAGCGATTTTGTTTACATGCGTGGTCTTGTGCTAAGCCGGAGCATACGTTAAAGTAATCTCCTAATATTTACATTACGAGTTGGCGTTACTACGTAGGTTTATTCAGCCATCTTCATCGTTCTTCGATGAGTTGCTGATAACCCTGACGATGCGAACGTTCGGCGTGATACCAAGCAAATCTTTGTAGTTTGGTCTAAACTCTAAACCTAATTTCGCCTTCTGTAACCCGAGTAAGTTTAAGTACATTGCCTGGTGGCTATTGGTGAAGACGGTATGAAGATGCAAAGAAAATGAAATGTCATCATCTAAGGGTCCTGCGTTTCAATGTTTAGACAATGTTTATAGAACAAATCATACAGGAATGCAAACCAATTTTCCTTTTTATCAGGGTAGCTGATGGATTGGATAGAATGAATACAGCAATCTTCTCTCCTGCGTATCGCTTCCTCCGAGCGCTTCTATCTTCAATACTTGCAAAGCCAGCACGTGTATAGTAGATTTAAAGTACTTCTCACCTAATATAGTGTTGAGGGGGCATTCGTTGCTATGCGTCTGGTGTGGGTATAGACCTATTTGTTGATTTGTGATTTGTTGAGGGATCTATCTAGAACTCATCGACTTAGTTACTAATTTACAATTTCAATCGATCATCCTGCATGTATATGAGTGGAATAAAGATTGTATCACTCGAAGACATGTTTCGAAACAAAATCCAGCTTCACAGAATTGCAATCTTAAATTGAATATTGTTAGATAATGATTTAAGGAATTAAGACAATGGTTTCAGATCAAGGCGGGAACTGTAATCATTTTACCAAAGTGAATACAAAAGTTGACATTTACATAACTTTCATACAAAAACCGGCTTTCGTTGATTCAAATTTAGAAGCTGCACAATTCGTGTAAAGGAAAATCATTTGCACGACTTCAATATTCATTTTTATACATCTCGTTTGCATGGTATTTAGCGGATCAATAGCTACTGTAAACCATTGTGAATAAGGCTTTTTATAAATGCCCTCGGCGAGCGTTGATTTTATGAACTAAATTTAGAATGAAAACCTATCGTCACCAAAAGTGCTAGATTTCAAAGACCTATATTTTCCACATTTTCAATATTTCTCAATCAAACTTCCCGATTTTACTTATTTTGGAGTGCTCTTTTTGACTGTGAACCCCAGTGTCGAAAAATTCTCTCAGTTTTAGATTTAGTTTTAGAAAGGGATGGTTAATCAAGTTAAGGACGGACGTCCTTATGTCCGGAGTCAGAGAGTTCTCGTTCATCACCTCGGGTTGAGTATTGCCTTTAATTGTAGCTAATCTAATTAGCACTCAATGTTTTGGTTACAAAATCTCCTGTGAGCTAAAAAAAACGCTGGCGCAGGTGTGCTTTTCATTACAACCTCAATGGAATAAGATAATATTTCTATAAACCTTCATCATGGGGTTGAACGCATAGCACATGTTTATATTTCGTAACTTACATATTCCGTTTTGATGTTATTCTATCAACAAAACAAGACCTAAGGCCACAAAGGTGGGAGAAAGAATGCGGAAGAGGAAAACATCAACTGAATTTAGTTTACCTGCGACACACAATCCCCATTCTCTGGGGTTATCTGGTGTGTCAAGCTGACTTTAAAAAAAGAGACTATAGAGTTAGGTTTATGTCCAGCTGTGAAACTATGTTTGCGATTGCTTTTAATTCTGAAAAGCATTATACTTTGTAGGCAATCAGTTTCTTTGTTTACTGCTGTTGTCATGGAAAATCGCCATTGAATGAAAACCAGCCGTAACAATGACATTCTTCAATGTTTCGTATATCATATTCACCGTCCCATGTCAACACATAACTTGACATTTCAAGAATATGTGTCACGTTTGAAGGCATTTTCTATCTCTAAACGTGATGGCAAATATTGTGTAATATTCGCCAAATTCTGTTGTGTTGTATCCACCTTTGGAAGACATTCTTGTCCGTTCTCTGTTCCTCGAATCGTTTTTTTTTCTGCCTCTTTTACATTTGTTCGACTGCATGTGTGTGGTGGTTGCCAAGAATCCACCTAATCCACATTATTACTAAAATATGTGGAACTGTTTTAATTGTTTGCACATTTTTCTTCAAGTCGCTCTAAACAACAATGCAATTCAAAGCAGAAAGATGAAGCATTTTATGTTTGTATCGCAAACATTCCTGGTTCATCTTTAAACTAAACACGTTTGCTTTCTTTCCTGTCTGCTTTCGACGCCCACTGACCGCCCAGAAAATCTGAAGTTGCTCACCTTATATGTACAGTATGTTCATTTGATATTCTGGCGACATTTGTCATTAATTCACGAATTGAGGTGGGCGAAATAATTGGAAACCAGAAAAGAAATTTTAGACTTGTTTGACCACTTTGCTGAATAATTGTGCATGACACAGAGCGCGTGTAGCCCACACAAAACCCACGCACTTGTCACGAATAGGGCACGTTTCCTGCATTCAAAAGTCGTATTCATGTTTAACTTCTGTTCTGATCAATTTTTTTACATAATTGAGCATGCAAATTACTAAGATTATCAATTTTGTTATTTTGTTCCAAACCTTGACCATTGTATTTTAGGTGCCTTCCTCATTCCATATTTCATATCCCTGATCGTCCTGGGTATCCCTTTGTTTCTCATTGAACTTGGGATGGGACAACGGTTACGTCAAGCGTCGATCGGGGTCTGGAACGAGGTCAGTCCATATTTGGGTGGAATAGGTGTGACGTCGTTAGTCGCGTCCTGTTTCATCTCCATTTACTACAACATGATCGTTGCCTGGTGCTTCTACTATCTCTTCATATCCTTCCAAGATCCCCTGCCGTTCCAGGATTGCCCTACCAATGACTGGGGTAATGCGACCGACCCAGAGTGCCACGTTGCAGGAGAGACCTCGTACTACTGGTACAGGAAAGCCTTGAATCTCTCGCCTTCCATAACCGAACCTGGCGAAGTTCAATGGCATTTGGCGTTGGTCTTACTCCTGGCTTGGCTGATTGTTTTCTTGTGCACAATGAAAGGCGTTAAATCCACCGGCAAGGTAAACTCAGTTTTCGTATGCAAAAAAAGAGCCCGTTTAAACTTGCGATTCTTACTGCAAATTTGTTTGCGATTTTCTTCTTTTGGTAGATGTGAAGGAGTGAATTAATTGATGTCAAATAAGAGCTCTTATACATCAGGGGCCGGTTGTAGCAGGCCCGTTTAGCTTAAACGGTGGATAAGTCAAAAATATATTATATATAACACTCTTACATCTCTCTTGAATGAGTCAACTTGAATATTATGCATTGAATATGTAGTTGTAAACAGTATCTTTGTATTAACGTCAAAAACATTTAGTTCGCTTGTTGAATAAAACGGCAGTCGGCAGACTTGCTTTCTATTTTGAACTTAACCACCGTTTAAGCTAAACGGGCTTGATACAACCGGCCCCAGAGCATTCGTAACTAATTCACTCGTTCACATCTATTAAAAGGAGAAAATGACACGTAAAATTGCAGCGAAAATCGCAAGTGTAAACGGGCCTTTAGAGTTGTTCAAAAGTAAGAGCACTCATACATCAGAGCTTTCGTAGCTATAATTACTCGTTCACATCAATCAAAAGAAGAAAATCGAAGCTTTTGGAAACAAATACGAGGTCTCACAGCTCACTTGTATTCTCAAAACGTTTTGGTTTATTTTCTTTTTCCAGGCCGTCTACGTAACCGCGCTTTTTCCCTATGTTGTCCTCATCATTTTTTTCTTCCGCGCTGTGACTCTGGATGGGGCTGGGGAAGGCCTGAAACGAATGTTCACGCCAAAGGTAAAAATATTCACGTGATTCCTGCATGCACGTTGAGTGTTTACAAATGGGAGATAACATAAAAACATATAGTGCTTAATATTCAATTGATTCCTTCACCAAATCAGACCAAGATAGCCGATCTTAACTGCTCCTTCCTTCATCCTTCAAGTTTTAGAATGGTCAATTGTGCATGCATTTTCGGTACATAAATCTCCTTTTAAACATTGGAAAACACCTGAAATTGTTATTTCTATGTGAAGCAATGAGCAATTCACAAGAGCATGTATTTTGCATCTATGATTCCCGAGAGAGTACTCGACTTTTCATGCATTTGTCATGAAAATTTTATCGCCGACCGTTTCCATTTTTCATTTTAACGCTCAGGCCCTCGAAAGCGTCTCGAAATGTGCGTAGGTTTTCAAAGTTATTCATCAACGGAAAGGCGCGATAATCTTTCCTTGCAAACGTTAAAAAAATCTATCGTATTTTTATTTAATATCCTGCGATGTTTACGTTTGCCTATGGTAGTATATAATGACTTTAAGAAACGTTATTGGAAAATGATGAATTAATTCGTAAATCATCTCACAAAATATTGCTTAAGGCTTCTATTGTAATTGATTAAACAAAACGTCAGAACTCGTCAGACAAACGTTTTCACGATAGCTGGAAAACAAACAACGCGACTAAAGACATCTGCGGAGATTTGGATTTGGGGCAATTCTTTCTACTTCAAAATTTGCACTATAAAACCATCGATACAATAAAATCCTTTTCCGGATCGCCCGACCTTCTCGCGTCCGGAAGTTTTAAAGGCTATTCTCCATTACCGTTCGCTGAATAGATGAACATCTGTCCCAATCATATGTTGACTTACCCACGTTAAACTCGAAAATATTTACAAACGTCGTATTGAGAGCGAAAACAAGTAGCTACATATATATTGGTTCACGCTCATGAACAGAAAGACGAGGGAAACGTCCGAATGTGCGCTCACCACGAAGAAGTTAGCGTTCCAGATTGCGCTGAAGAGATTGTGATTCATTGCTATATGTAATTGACTAGAACTACCGAGTGCTTTGGGAATCATCCAAGAAGGAAATTTCGACTGCAACGAGTTAAAATCAGCTTTGCCGAGGCTTTGAATGTAAAGTGGAGTGGTCGCGTTTGATGTAAGAAAATCAAGATTGTGCGACCATAATGATGGATCAATTTAACCATTCCTTGTTCAATTCAAGTTTTTACCCAACTGATTTTGGCAAGGTGACTGCTAATGTGTACATCATTTGTGAAATAACCTTGGCGTCGCTGGCACTATTGTTTAATTCTACTCTTCTGTTTGTTTTGTACAAAGATCCGCTCAAACGATTTCGGGATTCGTTTAATATATTTTTAACAAGTTTAACGTTTGCAAACACATTGACCGTTACATCCTTACTTCTGTCCAAAGTTCTTCCGCTCGTGACATACCCGCTTCCGGCCGTCGCCGAAGCAGTGCTCGGCAGCGCTCTCGTTTCCGGGACACAGTCATCGTTTCTGGTCGTGACCTGTATCACTCTCGATCGCCTGGTAGGCGTCGCGTTTCCGTTTCGCCACAAATCTCTCGTGACCAAGCGTCGCGCGTGTTTTGCGAATCTCGCGATTTGGTGCGTGTCGATCTCACTCGATCCAATCCTCTATAGGCAGGTCATGTTTCGCGTCGCGTGGTTTCAATTATACGCCGCTGAAATTCTCTGCCTTTGTCTCATCAGTCTGATTGTCTATCCTATTACGCTCATGAAGTTTCTCCGGGGTGAAGCCCGCAGGACAAAAGTTATGTCGCCTAGCAAGTCATGGCGCGCAGAGAGACTCACACGGAAACGTCATCTGACGTGTACAGTTCTTTTAATAACCGTTACCATGGTAATATTCACAGTCCCATATCATCCTAAGCGTGTTTGTCTGGATTGATTGTATTGGCTGTCTTTTGGCCCCGGCATTCCTGGAACTACTCGTTCTTTATCCCATCGTATATGCTGGCCATTTTGGACTCAATCCTTTTTATTATGCATGGAGGCTGCCCGACTACAGACGTTCGCTAGTCTCCTTGGCTTGCATGCGTCAGATTAGATCAAACCAGATCTAATCGTTCGCCTTTAGCTGATAAACAAGTACGATCGTACTATTGGACCAGGAACTGGTGAAGTATAGATTCAATCTTTCTCTCCAGGATGAAATTTCAAATATCTATGAACCTAGGCAATCTTGCGGTTATGTTAAAATTATCGCTTTTCTACAGTTTTCATCTGCCTTTTCAAAGACATTTAAAATATGCCGAGTTGCACATCTATGTCCTAATCTATGCCGCTGTAGCTGGCGAGAAGCTAGCGTTGCGTGCACCGTGCCACTGTCATTATAGTCGTTTTTTATGTATATGTATGCTGGGCAAACCCTAAACAAATAAATAAAAAATAAAATGGCCTAGAGAGAAACGCATTTAACGCAATGGTCCTATAGTCATGAATATATATTGTGTACAAAACAACGAAAATACACGACCTTCTAGCTTGAACTCATAGGATATGAATATTAATAATATCAAAATTTGCCTCCCGCTACAATCTGACATGGCTTGCAAATCTTCTGCAGAATACAAGCACAAACAATTTAACTCCGTAAGTCGATAGAGAATAACCTTTAAGATAGTTGTGTGAAGTTTTATCACGATCTGGTGCGAAATGACGGAGCCTTAGCCATTCGAACTTGCTTCAGTTATGCATACTAATATTGAATATAATCTATACGCATTACTACGCTACAATTTTGAGTTGCTTCTAAATTTCTTTAAAATAAAAAAATCAAAATTATAACTCCGTCAATCGATGGGGAATATCGCTAAGAATAGTTGTGCGAAGTTTTATTGCGATCTGATGCGAATTGACGGAGCCTTAGGCTTTTTTAAAGAGCGTCACCCCCTAACAACAACAACAACAACAACAACAACAACAACAACAACAACAACAACAACAACAACATCCATTCAGATGTACGTACGTTAATTGTTTTTAAAATATCTGAAGCAAACGTCAGCATAGCTACGTCATCAGCTAGTAACCAAACAGTCGTTGTCAACTAATACCAACCAGAGCAATTCTTTAAGAGGCCCAATAAGATGAAGCACTTGTAATTTGTGTCATCGTCGTTGATTAGAGCTTATTTGTATTGTATTGTATTCTATTAAGTATAAATGTACCTCTTGACACGATCTTCAGCACTTCAAAAATGCTTGATTGCATGGTAATTGGCTATAGTATATATAATAGGTATTCAAAATGTATTTCTAACAACGAATATATTTGATCTTTTAATTTGAACAACATTTTATATTTCATTTTACCGCATGATACGGCTCCTCTTTTCCTCAGAAAAATAGTAGAGACTTTTGGTTGGGCGAAATCTTTCTCTTAGCGCGCGAACCACCCTGTCTTTTAAAAAATCATAAGCACTCCTCCAACATCAATATGTTTGTCATTAGTTCGAGGAACTGGGTAAGGCAAGAGTTTGGCTGGAGGCTGCGACGCAGATTTTCTTCTCTCTAAGTTTATCATTTGGTGGTCTGATCGCGATGGCGAGTTTCAATCCAGTGAAAAATAACTGCAAGAAAGACGCCATCATGGTGTCGCTCATCAACTGTGGGACCTCCGTGTTCGCCAGTATCGTCGTTTTCAGCGTTCTTGGATTCAAGGTAAGGGGTAAAATATAGCAAGGTGGGCAGGGGGGTGAGGTGGCTAGGGAAGTGAATTGGCGGGGGGGGGAGGAGAGTGACAGAGGGGGTGAGTTGGGCAGGGGGGGTGCGTGAGGTGGGCATGGGGGGGGGGTGCGTGAGGTGGGCATGGGGGTGAATGAGGGAATACCCTCAACATTGGAATCTTTTAATTAGCTTTAGTTTTATACATACAGTCTATAGTTTTGTTAATGCGGGGTGGGGGTCATTTCAGGACAGACCATTTTCTGAGGGCACACCACTGGAAATGAGGGAGTTGAGTGGAGTGGTCCCCGTACACGCTTTGTGAAGAAAGTAATTCCTAAAATGTAATTTCTTAAGGTAAGGTAAGGTAATTTCTTTTTCCAGGCCAAGACTGCGCTTGGGGAATGTTTGGATGAAGAAAAAGCAAAAAATCTAACAGCCAACTCTACTTGTAAAAGCCTTGACGAGTACTTGAGTGACGTACGTATCTAAGCAGAGAGTTGTTTATCAAATACTTAAAGTCTTGGTTATCATAAACCTCTGTGTTTAATGATCCTGTACAGGTGGCCCAAGGAACTGGATTGTCATTCATCGCATTCACTGAAGCAATTACGAAAATGCCAGCCCCACAAGTTTGGTCTGTGCTGTTCTTCCTTATGTTAATAACGTTGGGAATGGGCAGCATGTTCGGTAATATTGCTGGTGTTGTCTCGCCAATCCATGACTTGGGTTTACTGAAGATCAGAAAGGAATTCCTCACTGGTATGTATGCCACTGAACTCGTTGCAATGACTGGATGGTATGTTTGCTGTTCATAAAAGATGTAATAATCGCAAAGGTCTTAGGCCGGTTTTCCACTGGCGATAATTTGGGCAAGCGATGTTTTTCATTTGTTTCCGATCTCTCAACTGCAACCAACTGGAACAAAATTACTCAAATAAAAAAGAAGGAAGTCGCATCGCGCGAATAATATCGCTACTGCATGGAAAACCGGCCTAACAGAATACGCGACCTATTAAAACCAAACCCTGATCCATAGTATAACCTATTACTAAACCTGATTCGTGGAAAGAACTAGTATAAGGGCCTGACTAGACCATTACTAAAGCTGAGTGGATTGGCAGCAATGCCAGCCTGTGAAACGTTCGTTTCTAATGATTTACGCTTTTTTCAACTCATTTTTAGCAATTATGTCTGCAGTTTTATTTTTAATTGGCCTGCTGTTGTGCCAGAATTCAGGGGAGTATTGGCTGCAACTTTTCGATTCTTACTCCTTAAACCTCGCGCTATTGTGGGTCGCCTTTTTTCACCTCATCGGCATGAACTTTTTTTACGGTACAGAAAGGTATTTATATAAAACTTTTTTTTACTTTTTTTTTCACTGTGAATTCATGTTATGTTCAATGAAATCCCTCTTTTTTGGGGGGTCATTTAGGAAAGATGAGGAGCTTTTGGGGTCATTTAGGGGATAATTAGGCTATTATTACCAATGTGTTATTATCATTGCACAGTGACCTAATGCAAGTTTTTTTATTACAAATTTTGACAATTTTGACAATATTTTCCGATCAGACAGGGCTTATATTATACTTATATTATACTTATATTATACTTATATTATACTTATATTATACGTTGTTATGAAAGGGGGATTATCAATGAAGATTTTGGATAGGCAAGTGTTGAACAGGTGATGTTATCAGATTTCACGATATGTCTTGTTAGGTTTATGGGTGATATTGAGTTTATGACTGGTACAAGACCTGGACTGTATTGGTTGATCACTTGGCGGTACCTGGGTCCAGTACTTGGCGCTCTTCTCTTCTTTGCTGGCCTTTATGACATGGGTAAAGATGGAATTGGGTACTCCGTTTGGTTGAAAGATAAGGTAGCCGACTTCGAAACCGGTTTTTATATATTAGTTATGCAAACTATGGTTTGAAAATAAACAACTGCCATTAAACATAGATTATTATCACTCACTTTTTTACTATCCTACTAACGGATACGTTGAAAAGGTTTTCGCCTATTTTGCCCCATTTTCGTTGTTATTTTCTGACCATAATGATTATTATGATGAAAGCTTTTCAAAGTCATTTCTAAAGTATTATATTCAGTGGAGATTTTCCAACCTTTTTCATGCCAATTTGTCATCACAGTACATTTAATTGAACTGAATGCTGTTTTCTCAGTTCATCGGTAACCTCGTTCTTGCCCATCTTTTAGGGTAAAACGGAGAGGATCGATTTTCCGGCATGGGGTGAGGCCATGGTCATCATATTTGTCTGTTTCGCGCTAATTTGGATCCCTCTACTGGCGATTCTTCGCTTCTTCGGACTTTGCTCGTACAAGGGCAGGACGACGGATCATCGTTTCCAGACGACCACTTCAACACTTGAACTTTGTAATCAAGAAAAACAAGATTTCGACAGCAAATTGTAAATAAAATGTAATGTAAAACTTCCTTGAAATAAAATCCGCGAAAAAATGAACTTGTATATATATATAGGCATAGCCTGTATATATTATACGTCTGTGGACAGCCTAGTATAGGTATAGCAAATTTTTGGCGGCTTTTTTTTGCAATTTGCTACCAGCTCGGTGTCAGTGCTTCCTAATTCTTATCGAATAACAATCGGAGTCAATCTCAAGTTTAAAAATACCTTACAAAATGTCTGAGATTGTTTATTTGTTATGAAACAACAGGCGCTTTTAATGGCTAGAACGGTTAATTTGTGATAAATTTTTTCACAGTTCTTTCCATGTAAATATTTCACAATTGCAGCGTGCTAAATCTAGCAGTGACTTTTTTATCCGAGTTTGAGGGATGTCACTATTCTAGTCAATACAAAGCAAATATTTGAAATAGTTTTGAATAAGTTATAGCTCTACTGTAGAAGCCATTGTCTGCGAAAGGGTTATAGAATGTGAAGCATGCATCTTTTGAAGACGTAAAGATTTGGTTCTTTGTGGATATCTGATAAAACGTAATCTCAAAAAATGGTTATGGGAAATTAAGTAGATCATAATACGAAATGGTTGAAGCGGATGTTAAATTAGTGTGAGACAACTTCATCGTGTTTTAAGAGCCAATAGAAATCAAGCATAGTTGAAATACGCTGTACGTGCCCGGACAGAGAATATAATTAGAGGTAATTTTCTGCCTTTTGAATATAATTCGGTATGGTTTCGAGGACCACTTCCTAACGAGTCGATTTCTCACTTTATAGAGACTGAATTCATGATCAGCGTATACCAAAGCCGGAACCTGGAACAGGAGCTAAAAATTGATGCTAATATATCTTAGACATCTCAACGTTTTTCTTCGGCCTTTATGCAACTTTGATATTCTCTCTGATTTTTCCTGATCTAATGTCCCGTTGAAGGCGTAGATCGTACCTTCAGAGAAATATCTTCATGTAATCGTCTTCTATTTCCAATCTTTTCCCTGAATATAAAATTTGATTCCGGTCTTGGCTTTACATTGGCACTCGCATTCACGACCCTGCGTCCTGGTCTTCCACATAGCCTTATTCTAAGGAATTCTTATAATCATACAAAACAATTTACACAGATCAAACGACAAACAGATATATGTCAAGCGAGGTAATATGGGGTGCTGTCAAAGTTCTCTATGCTGTCAAAGTTCTCTATGCTGTCAAAGTTCTCCTAGTAAAACAGCCTACCCAGTACCTTTTGGCTATGTACCATACACCCCTTCATTGCCTGGTGCAATGGGAGCCCTGTGGGATTTTAAGTTAGAATGGTGGTATTACGCTGGCTGGGCTGTAGCCGAGAATGATTCGAAGAAATTTACAATCTTCGCACAAACAGTACGTCTGGAAAACACTTGTTCAATCCTTTATGGTATCGGCAGTAAGGATGGTACATTCCACACAAGTATGATATTTCCAATGCCTGGCCATTTCCCGTCTCCTACAGACCAGTGTTGGTCAACGACTGTGTCAAAAACTAAATGCTATGGAGGAAGGCAATGGATGAGCTGCAAGCTGACATCTGGGGTGCTGGGTCTGCGCGATGCCACGTACCAGCTTGATATGGCTGACCCAACCAAAGGTGTCAAACTGTCGCTAAAGCTGTGCGATAATGTTGGCCTGGTGTTTGAAATGGCTTCTGGGGCCTTCTTCGACGACAAAGTCAAAGATAGCTCTTCATATGAGTATGCTATGCCATCCTTAGCCATTCAGAAAGGGAGCACTGTTACATTCGGAGACGTAAAAACAGAGCTTGCTGAGGGAAGCATCTGGCTCGACCGACAGGCCGTAAGCAGTGCACCTGCCCCATCGAAGCCACTCTATACTGGAAACTGGTTGGCAGTGGTGATGAATGATCATACATGCTACTCATTTTCATTCTTTTGGCCTAAAAAAACCCCACAGTGGATTGTAGGGAGTGAACTTAAGCCCCCTGTCGACCCCCAGGGTAAGATGGGGCTTGAGTACCCCTCGTTGCAAAGTTGGGACAAGATTTCCCCGGTGGTTGGCGTGAACGTGTTAGGGCAGGACGACTTCGATTTAAACATATTGAAACCGAACGATCCTTCAAGTTCCCCCCACTGGAAATCCAGTGAATCACAGCAAACCTACTGCACCGCTTGGCGTCTCAGGATCAAAGATAAAACGTACACAGTGAAAGCTTTGAATGAACAAGCAGAAGTGTGTGCAAAAATAAGCTATTTCTTTGAGGGAGCTGCCAGTATTTGTGACGGGGATGACGTCAAGGGATATGCATTTATCGAACAGATGGGGTACAACTAAGGTTTGCTTTGTTTGTATCAGCTTAATATAGTTCTCGTAGCAAACTATCAGTCATCACATTTCGCATCACGTATTCTTAAATTGTAGCTTGACACGAATCTGTAGTATATTAATCCAGCCGTGAGCAGGTCTAATTTAGAGACAAAATGATTTTTTAGACTACACTGTGTTTTAACATGGAAACTATTGATGTATTTCGCTGCTCACTGTATAGCCATGCAGCAAAACCTAATTTAAATTTAAATTTCTATTCCTAATTGATAACTTGTTTTACATGTACTTTAAATATAGACACTCACATTTAGAAAGAAACATTCTAAACTATGGTGAATAGACATTAATAATAAACTATTCTGTTATTTCTGTTATTGTTTGATATAATGTTTAAACGACTAATAAAGATAATCTAGTCTCATTGCTAATTCCCAATATTTTGTTCAGTGCATCATCTTCAGCCTTCCTATAGCTCAATGCATGCTAGTAAATTTGATCTAAATAGAGTACTATAGTTAGTGCTCTTTGAGGTGAAATTTTAATCAGAATATCCGATTAGCATTATACAGAAGTTCTGTGCTGATATAATTTTTTTTAACATCTTCTAAATATGATAAGATTTGAAAACCATATGCTTTATATATAAAGGCTATACCTATAGGTCTGTGCACATGCTAATACAGGTATAGCATAATTTTGACGGCTTTTTTGCGATTTGCTACCAGCTCGGTGTCAGTGCTTCCTAATTCTTATCGAATAACAATCGGAGTCAATCTCAAGTTTAAAAATACCTTACAAAATGTCTGAGATTGTTTATTTGTTATGAAACAACAGACGCTTTTAATGGCTGGAACGGTTAATTTGTGATAAATTTTTTCACAGTCCTTTCCATATGAATATTTCACACCTGCAGCGTGCTTAAATCTAGCAGTGACTTTTTTATCCGGGTGTGAGGAATGTCACTATTCTAGTCAATACAAAACAAATATTTGAAATAGTTTTGAATAAGTTATAGCTCTACTATATATACGTAGAAGCCATTGTCTGCGAAAGGGTTATAGAATGTAAAGCATGCATCATTTGAAGGCGTAAAGATTTGGTTCTTTGTGGATATGTGATAAAACGTAATCTCAAAAATTGGTTATGGGAAATTAATAATACGAAATGGATGAAGCGGATGTTAAATTAGTGAAACATCTTCATCTTGTTTCAAGAGCCAAAAGAAATCTAACATATTTGAAATACGCTGAACGTGCCCGGACAAAGAATATAATTCGATGTAACTTCCTGCGTTTTGAGTGGTCTCGCGGAAGTAAAACGAGTCGATATCTCACTTCATAGAGATTAAAGACTACATTCATGATTCCAGCATATTGAAAAACCGGAACCTGGAACCAGGAACCGAAAATTAATGCTAAATCATCCTGGAAATCTAAACGTCTTTCATCAGTCATGCATGCAAGTTCGTCATACTTTGCTTTTTAATGATCGAACATCACAATATCATATAAACGTATATAGCCCCCGTCTCATATTGGAACCAAACGATCCTCCAAGTTCCCCCCATTGGAAATCCACTAATGACTGGCCAAAACACACCTATTGTTCGGCTTGGCGTCTCAAGATCAGAGACAAAACGTACACAATGAAAGTCTGGGTCTGAGGGATGTCATTATTTTAGCCAACCAAGCAAATACTTGAAATAGTTTGAATAAGTTAGCTCGACTAAAGTCACCTATAGATGGCAGCGAAAGGGAGAGTCATTTGAAGCATAAAGATTTGGTTATTTGTGGAATGTGATGAAATACGATCTCTCAAAAATTGGTTATTGAAAAATTGGTCATAATATGAAATGGTTGAAGCGGAAGTTCTTAAATCAGTGGGAAACAACTTCATTTCGTTTCAAAATCCAAAAGAAATCTAACATATTTGAAATACGCTCTGTGCTCGTACAAAGAATATAATTAGAAGTAGTTTTTTGCCTTTTGAATATAATTCGGTATGGTTTCGCGGAAGTGAGGCCCTGTTCACAGTGCAATTTTACTTGCAACTTGCAATGCAATTCCTTTTCTAAGAGATGTAAATTTGGCAACTACGAAACCTTTATGTTTATTACACTCCATGGCGTTTCTTACACTTACATTTTGAAGCCTCTTCACTAATTTACATGTCCAAAAAGTAGAATTGCATTGCAAGTTGCAAGAAAAATTGCACCGTGTAACATGGCCTTCACGGACATCCCAACGTTTTTCCTCGGCCTTCATGCAACTTTGATATTCTCTCTGATTTTTCCTGATCTAATGTCCCGTTGAGGGCGCAGATCGTACCTTCAGAGAAATATCTTCATGTAATCGTCTTCTATTTCCAATCTTTTCCCTGCATATAAAATTTGATTCCGGTCTTGGTTTTACATTGGCACTCGCATTCACGACCCTGCGTCCTGGTCTTCCACATAGCCTTATTCTAAGGAATTTTTATAATCATACAAAACAATTTACACAGATCAAACGACAAACAGATATATGTCAAGCGAGGTAATATGGGGTGCACTCAAAGTTCTCCTAGTAAAACAGCCTACCCAGTACCTTTTGGCTATGTACCATACACTCCTTCATTGCCTGGTGCAATGGGAGCCCTGTGGGATTTTAAGTTAGAATGGTGGTATTACGCTGGCTGGGCTGTAGCCGAGAATGATTCGAAGAAATTTACAATCTTCGCACAAACAGTACGTCTGGAAAACACTTGTTCAATCCTTTATGGTATCGGCAGTGATGATGGTACATTCCACACAAGTATGATATATCCATTGTCTGGCCATTTCCCGTCTCCTACAGACAACAGTTGGTCAACGACTGTGCCAAAAACTAAGGGCTATGGAAGAAGGCAATGGATGAGCTGCAAGCTGACATCTGGGGTGCTGGGTTTGCGAGGTGCCACGTATCAGCTTGATATGGCTGACCTAACCAAAGGTGTCGAATTGTCGCTGAAACTTTGCGATAATGTTGGTCTGGTGTTTGAAATGGCTTCTGGGGCCTTCCACGGCAAAGATGAATCTTCATATGAGTATGCTATGCCATCCTTAGCCATTCAGAAAGGGAGCACTGTTACATTGGCAAACGTAAAAACAGAGCTTGCTGAGGGAAACATCTGGCTCGACCGACAGGCCATAAACGATGCACTTACCCCATCCAAGCCACTCTATGTTGGAAACTGGTTGGGAGTGGTCATGAATGATCATACATGCTACTCATTTGCATTCTTTTGGCCTAAAAGAAACCCACAGTGGATTGTAGGGAGTGAGCTTAAGCCCCCTGTCGACCCCGGGGCTAAGATGGGGGTTGAGTACCCCTCGTTGCAAAGTTGGGACAAGACTTCCGCGGTGGTTGGCGTGAACGTGTTAGGACAGGACGACTTCGATTTAAACATATTGAAACCGAACGATCCTTCAAGTTCCCCCCATTGGCAATCCAGTAATCCCAAATCACAGCAAACCTACTGCACCGCTTGGCGTCTCAAGATCAGAGATAAAACGTACACAATGAAAGCTTTGAATCAACAAGCAGAAGTGTGTGCAAAAGTAAGCTATTTCTTTGAGGCAGCTGCCAGTATTTGTGACGGGGATGACATCAAGGGATATGCATGTATCGAACAGATGGGGTACAACTAAAGTTTGCTTTGTTTGTATCAGCTTAATATAGTTCTCGTAGCAAACTATCAATCATCATATTTCACATCACGTATTCTTAAATTGTAACTTGACATGAATCTGTAGTATATTGATCCAGCAGGTCTAATTTAGAGACGAAACGATTTTTTAGACTACACTATGTTTTAACATGGAAAATATTGATGTATTTCGCTGCTCACTGTATAGCCATGCAGCAAAACCTAATTTAAGTTTATATTTCTATTCCTAATTGATAACTTCAGTTGTTTTACATGTACTTTAAATATAGACATTCACATTTAGAATGAGATATTTCTAATCTATTGTGAGTAGACATTAACAATAAACTATTCTGTGATTATTTGATATAATGTTTAAACGACTAATAAAGATAAGAATAATAGCATTGTTACGCTAGTCTCATTGCTAATTTGCAATGTTTTTGTTTCATCTTCAGCCTTCCTATAGTTCAATGCATGCATTCTGGCAAATTCGTGCGCAACACTATTACAGATTGGCAATATGCGGAATTAACTCGTAAATTTTATCTAAATAGAGCAATATAGTCAGTGCTCCTTGAGGTGAAATTTAATCATAATTGGAATTAACCAGAAGTTCGGTGTTGATATGTACTGATTTTTTTTAACTGTCTTCTAAATATGATAACATTTGAAAACGATATGCTTTCTATATAAAAAATGCTTTCTGTATAAAAAATGAATGCTTGGAAGCCACTGGAAACCACAACACAAGGCTTTTTTAAAATCCTTAGATACTGATTAAAACTATGATAACTATTGGATTTGTATGCAATTAATGCCCCAGTTTGAATGTTTTTTATAGTAAGAATATAGAAATACATGTTATTCTTGAATAGAATAAAATATACGATATGTCTAGCAATATATATGATATAGATTAATTGATGATTCACTTTAGGTAGCTTCTATCAGATTTCAGCGGCAAATTTTCACATGAATATAGGCATCAGTTTTTTCTCCCCATTCACCCGGCAATAATCTGATCTGAAGACGATAAGAGACACGTAATGATATAGCATATATGCATCTAGGAAATCCAACCTTTCATTCAGTAACGCGTTAAACCTGGTTTCCATATTGTCGTGAAACAGCCATTTTACCGATGAGAAATAGTCCTGATATACATTTGTCTTTATTTTCTGTATTCAAATCGGTTATTGTTGGCTTGCACACACCATGCAGTGACGCACACGTAGATGAATTCTTTTACATCAGTCACCTTGACGTGTTCACGACAATTTTGACTGCATGGAAACCAAGCATTAAGCCCGCCGCACACGTGAGCCAAACTGAGCTAAAGACCACGCGTGGCTGTTAGCTCAGCAAGTTACTCTCGTGTGCGGATAGTTTTCGTGAGCAATTCGCCTTGAGAGGCAACTGCCTTGCAAGGTCATTAGCTCAGCTGTTAGCTCTCGTGTGCGGCGGGCTTTAATAAGCAAAAATCGTATCCTATCGCGAAAAACAATGTTTAGCAAACTTTTGCCAAGAATATTTGAATGCAACACCTTCTAAAATGTTCTGGATAGTTTGTGGTACAGTTGCCTCGCCCTAGTCATGGGATTTTTCAAATCGTTCGCGTCGACAAACGGTGTTTCTTTGTTTCACACCTGCACCCAGAACTAGACGCCGACGCTCCCTTTTGTACGCTGCCGATGGCGTGAGTTCCTGCGTCAGCGCAAGGTCACCTCGAATGGACACGCAGATTTTAGCATATACTGCGCGCGCTTTAAACTCTATCAATAGACAATCAAAAGACTCTTTCCAACTTAAACATTACAAGTATTGACCTTTCTTGAACGAATTTTTGTACAACCGCTTTCCTGATGCTAATTTCACTTTCAATAACTTTCAATAATAATAAGAGTCCGAAGGATGGTCTCAATGCGTGCATACCTGTTCATGACTTTCGTGCACTTCTTCACAAGTCCAGCATCGCTTGAATTCCGTAGATATGAATAAAATGTGTCGTTTCTGCATTCTTGTGTTTTTCTATTCATTTTGATACGAACCGATGCCATTAGATTGATGTGATATACATTATACACACATTTCATCCTGTTATCACGATGTCAGGACTCAGCAGTGTTTGTTTAAGTTGAAGTGTCCTGATAATGTGGATAAATTAATAATTGTATATGCATGGTTTATTACGAGTCGTGGTTTTAATAAAAATTTGTAGCCGTGCGATTTTGAATCATTGCCAAACGACAAACTGAACTGCACATGTTCAAATGTTGAAATGGACGTGAGTAATCACACAGCAATGTTAGGGGGGGAAACATATGCACACTCCACTTCGACTGTTTAGTTGAATGACTGACTGACTGAACTGTCCAAATTTGTTTATTCATCCTATCTGTAGTATTCATCAGATATTTTGCCCACTCATCCATATGAAATGTCCCGTCTGCAACTGTTCATGCCTAACAGCTCATACTAAAACAACGTCGGGCAGACAGCGTGGTATCTTTTTCTCAAGCCACGAATAAGCATAAGCTATAACCTGCGCCACCAGTGCACTGCCTGATACACCCTACTATCAAGGCCCCCGAGTGTGTCTACAAACACGTCCTCTTCAAAGACTTGCCGCCATTGTTAAACGAGTTAAATAAATGTAACTTTTAAGGTCTGTGATTGAACGAACTCAAAAACAACTTTAACAACTCTACAGGGGAAAGTATTTCGAGCACCTAATTCATGAATATACGATTTTGATACACAAACAAAAGTAGTTTGCGGAAAATGTTACTTGTAATGCATGAAGTTGACCAATTGTATTTTTTGTACTGATTGTCCAAAGTGAATTCTTGTTGAATTGTACATTTAACACACTTCTTTTGATAGATGTGAACGGGTGGATAAGTTACGGATGCTTACATAAGACCATTTATATATCAGTGCCTTCATAACTACTCGCTAGTTTTCATCAATGATCTGAAAAGAGGAAAATCGACACTATCGACTCTACAACTGCAAATGTAACTGTGTGAGTTGGCCTTTATAGTCATTCGATTTAAGCAGAAGGCCTTTTCAATACCACCCATTGAATTAGGGCTGTATAACACTGTCGGAAACCGGACTTGGTTGTTGTCAAATTGATAAGCAACTTTGAACTGTTTTCCGACATTGTTTGTTCGCCAGATCGATCCTTCCGCCCCCTGTCTTTGGTTATGACCAATTGCCTGTCATCGCTGTTTACGCGTGCCCAATCAGAAACGTTTTTGTCGAACGCCCAACCAATCATACACCAGCTGATGCAGCATTCGACCTATCAAATTGCGTCGCATTGTATAAAAAGAAAAAAGCTTTTGTGTACGCTCATTGGGAGTTAAATTTGCTCAGAATTCGAACGCAGCAGGTTCAAAAACCGTAAAGGGCACTGCAAACCTTTTAAGACCTACAGCGAACGACGACACGCGAAATTTAAATCTGTTGGAATAACACGTTCAACCACAAGTAAAGCGACCTTTATTCCAGCAATATTTTGAAGAAGTCGTAGCATTGTACAGAATATAGACCACATCATGCACGACCCGGTCAGTCGCAACGCGAGAGGAGAAAATTTGAACTCGAAAAGACATGCAAGGCATTTTCCTGATGGCGTGTCGTCAGAGCAAAGCAAGAACACAAAGAAGCGTCCGTTGGTGTTTAAAGAGAATACGACGCCGCTTAATCCGACCCTTTCTGACTTCAACCGCTATTCGTTTCCATTGTCGGCTTGCTCACCAAGTGGAAAGCCGAGCAGGACCTTTTCAGACGCTCTGAACGAGAGCATCAACTTACAGAGGCAGGAAAAACGAGCCGTCTCGCTTATGCCCGAGATTTTACTACACTCTGCCGTTCTGGATAACAACGTTGAGGACATTTTAAAACTTGTCAAGGTTGAAGGTGTTGACGTGAACCGAGGCGCTCAGCTGGGACTATTTTCGCTGCATCACGCTGCGTTCTCGGGAATGGAAGAAGTCACAGAGATTTTGGTCGAAAACGGTGCGGATTTGAACATTACAACTCCCGAGGGATTCACCGCACTCGAGGCAGCCGTTTGCGCAGGCAACTTCGAATGCGCAGAAATCCTGATAAAAAACGGTGCGCCCGTTGACAGCATCAAAGATGGATTTGTTGACCGAAGTTTTTGCAATTTCGTCGGCGGTAATTCGGTGTCAGCGTAAACAGGATACACGGAGGTCCTTCGCTCACGGTGGTCAGAGCAAGCATGTCGAAGCTTTGGGAAGAGTTTCGGCCGAACCCTCAGAGGTAGCATAGTCATACGCGCTAAATTCTCCAGCATAGTCACACGCGCTAAATTCTCCGGTTCACCACCGACAAGTCCTAATGCGATAATTGCGTCATAATTACCGCTAGAACTTTAAAATGAATACAATTCCATATCTGCTTGTTTACGTTTCGAAGCGAGGCGATTACTGTTAAATTTGCGCCACCAGTATATATGGAGATGGCATCTTGTTTAGTTAGATCATCTTGGATTATATAATCATCTTGGATTATATAATCACTTAAAAAAGGAAGGATTAGCATTTATATTTAGGCCTTTTTTTTAACTTGAAATTGTTTTCACGCAAAAACATCTCAAGTAGCTGGCCTACACTCATGGCCCTTCTGTAGCGATTTTTCTCATAAACAAAATGAACTCGGTTTAATTAAGTAGTTCTGGCTGTTTGGGGTGATTCGTCGAATTATTTAAAATTATTGTTTGAATTATTCGTGAAATTATCTTAATTTTTCGACCAACATTTTATTTATCGTCTTGTTATTTTTTTCAACCCAACGTGCCTATTTGCATGAGTTTATTATTAGCTGTTTATTTGTTTTTTCATGTTCAGGTGATTATATAATCCTCGATGCATTTATCGTGCAATGATCCGGCCTTACTTGAAGAATTAAAGGATTAATCTTGCACTAATAACCATATAAAGATTGTTTTCAATCTCTTTCGGGATGCAGCATTACGTAACCCAAAAATGAGGTCAAAGAGGGTGAGTCCGCTATCGGAAAATCTTAAATCCGGACTGACTCTCGATCTGAAGAAAAACTTTCGGGTTCACTTTAAAACTGCTTCGGTCTTTGTAATGTTTTAAAGTGTGCAGCATTGCTGATTTCTGAAACAGGATTAACTTGATATGAAGTCATTAGTCCATTGCGCAAAATTTGATTCTTCTTGTTCGCCCACTTAACGTAAACGCAGACAGACAACACTTTCAACATCTGTGTCATATGATACCATACGCGTATTTAGGTGAAATTGTTTCTGTCTTCGGCAATTGAGGTGAAAATTGTATGAATTGTTATCGCACATACCAATCATTTAGATTAATTTAAACACCACTTATATCATGACGTTGGCAGGGCTGATAAGCGAGGACAGTGCGTTGTATTAACTGAATTTTGTTTGTTTTTTAAATCCCAAAATCGTTTGCGTGGTTCCTGCGATTTCGGGTGGTATTTACAACAGACAATTTTCAAGCCAACTGGCTACACTTTATGGCTTTTTTTTTCTTTAAAAGCGTTATCTGCACCGACACAAAAAGACGCATACGCGTCTGAATTAGCTGAACAATAAACCATTTTGTGATCGTAGACTGCTTGTCTATAGCATGGCTTTGTCTTTGTGAAAAGCTTTGTGCAATAGGCCTATTTCTAAGCGCATGAACGAACCATATTTCGTTTCATCCATTAAAAGCTTCGTGGTTTTATGCTTTTTAATCAAGTTGTGATCTTTCGCTGAGATCTACTCTTGATTTCATTGCGATTAAAACGATAGTATAGCACGCAAAGATTTGCGGATTTTCACGGTGTCTGACGAATTGAATTATGCACCACCAATCGCTTTTCACGCGCATTCCATGTTTTGGCAAAACTGTCCTTTCGCACACAGCCTTGCTAGACGGCATGCGATTAGCATTGGACCTGTTAGAAAGTTGTTTTTAACGCGTTCACAACTGTGCATCGCAAGTGGGGGTCCGTAATTGCAGAGTTGATTGATGACGAACTTGTTGGAGAACGATAAGACTGTTTTATACGTATAGACACTAAACCTTATTCCCGCGAATTTACATTTGTATTTGGGATATTAGAATAATCTAGAACAGTATACGAACGTCAGACTCTGTTATTGCCGATTTGTAAGCATTCTTTTGCTTGTCTGTCTAGCCGACGGTGAAAACACATGTATACACTCAGTTCGACGACTGCAAACTGAGATTTATTTAAACGATAGAACTGTTGGAAAGATTTGTACATAGTGGTAAAAGATGTTATTTATAATTATTAAAGCTTGTTATTGTATCAAAGTGTGTCTTAATTTGCCGTTTTTAATTCCCATTTCTTGTTCAGGATTAAACCATTAAACTTTTTAAACGAGGATTATAAGATCAAACTAAAGATTTAGAAATGCTTATGGGTCACGAGCTTTTTAAGTAGCGAAGTAGCTTCTCAATTTGCTTCTCAAGAGTGAATGCCGCGCTTGGAAAGTTCTAGAGTATATCTTTTTTGAATTCTGGGCATATATATATTGATACATGTTCAAATTTTATCTTGCCCAAATTTGTCAATTCATTAGCCGCATATAGTATTTAGTCAAATGTTTTTTTTTCAAAATATCAATTTTCGTATTCCTTATTGCCATTGGGTTGAAAACTCTGACTAAACGGTCCTCATTCTGTGTGGACTGAAACCTATACTATAGACTATAGTCAGTTTTCTATGCAGGGTTTAAACCCCAGCTCAAAAGCGAGGACAAAAGTACACCATCTGTACCATTCGTCGTATGCGGTTTGGAATGAACTCCTGTGGCACCTTTTTAAGACGCTTTCGTACATCAATTGAACCCATGCATGCATTCACAATCCATAGAGATTAGTAACACGATCTGATGGTCATTCAGTTAATGGCATGCTCTGGAAGCATAATAAGATTTGTGAAAATATAAGATGATTTGTTTAATTCATGCCACACGAAAGCTTGTGCAATCTGAGGTCGAACTATACGTTAGCTGTAAACACCGGCATGTAGACAAAATAGAGGGGAAAGATATATCGACACTCGACAGCTCCAATGACTTTTTCCCAGTATTCTTCCTCAGTTTTATTCACTAAAGAGGTTCATTGTCATAGAATCAGTCAAACGTAGTTTATTTCATTCGATCTCACTCAGGGCATTGACTCACCGCCTACACCGGGGCACATGACTGCTCTGCGCCGAAAATACCTGCTCAGTAGAATTTCACGAATGCTTTATCGTCGTGGCAATCTCTGGCAAGTAATTTTCGAAAGATAAGGGCAAATTAGCTATCTCTCAACGCTCAACGTTGCTAATCTTGACCTAAATGAAAAGGTTATATACGCAGTAATCAGTTCTGCCAAACTGGAGCGACTCTTACCTCGCATGATTTCCGTGATTGTGTGTATGTAAAACCCTTTCCTTATCTCATTAACAGTTTTTTAGACATTTTTTTACATAACAAAAATATTAGAGTTTCTAGGAGCCCGCTTTTGGTCGGTGGTAGCTAATTAAATAATGCCGGGAGAGCCAGGGTTTGGTTCGCTCATGATTCAAGCGTTTACTTCTAAAATTTAGGGGCACCAACTAACCTCAACGAGTCAATGTCTCAATGGATCGAGCTTGGTCGACATTTTGATTCTAAAACAGACCTACTGCCTTGATTTACCATTGATTTTTCATTGCATACATTCGTGGTTGTATGTAAAATCATATTTTTAGCGGTGTCGTAATCGTCTCTCTCTGTATTTCCAAACGAAGATCGCATGACAGTAAAATACCGGGTGTCCCAAAAAAAACTTTACCTCTTTGTCTTAATATAACTCAAAAACGAATAAAAGTCATTAAATTGAAATAAACTCCACTGCATGCAAGCAGGGCTAACTTAGATTTTGATATATAACACTAAATTGTTGATGCGATATTTACGGAGATACAAGCATTTGATGTCGCAAGGTACTTTCAAAATCTGTGCAAAATTGACAAAAATCGGCTATTAAATTAATTCGAAACTAATACTTTAACTTTTACGTTTTTAACTTTAGTGATTTTAACTTTAAATGTACGCTTTTCCATTGCAAACTTACTCTTATATAAGAGCGAACAATTAAAGTTAAAATCGCTGAAGTTAAAAACTTACCACGGGAAGTGGCATGCAAGTATTTTCGAATTAATTTAATAGCCGATTTTTGTCAATTTTTCACGGATTTTGAAAGTACCTTGCGACATCAAATGCTTGTATCTCCGTAAATATCACATCAATAATTTAATGTTATATATCAAAATCTAAGTTAGCCCTGCTTGTATACAGTGGAGTTTATTTCAACTCAATAGCTTTTATCGTTTTTGAGTTATATTAAGACAAACAGGTAAAGTTTTTTTTGGGACACCCGGTAGGTTGATGAAAGAATCGCTGATTGAAATACATACAGTGAACCATCACGTCAATCAGAATATAAATCAGATCCTACAAATAGTTTTGCGATGAAATGCTAGGCCAAAGCGACTAGCGCTAGCATCTTTTCAGTTTCGATATTTGAGTACAACATCTGTAGAAAGACATCCGTAAAATACTGAGTATGCGTTCCCAGCAGATAGGACAAGTAGACTCGAAGAATGTGAAGATAGTTGCTGTTTGCGAAGTTCAAAACATTCTGGTTTCCATGCATCGTATTTGCTTTCGCAACGCATGTTATCGGCTCCATTGCCACTTTTGTATGTCATATAGTTTTTTTTGACCGAGGAATGTCTGATTAAACAAGGGACATATCGTCGGTTGTTGAGCTGTGAGGTGACGAGAATGAACATGTCTCATAGCATTGATTTCCAAGATCATGATGTATGAAAAGATCAATCAACAAGATTAACGGATAAATTCAGGAACCCTTACTTAGAATGAATCATATATTTCTAGAATTTTTGGTGATAAATTTTAGTTTTTTTCTCGTTAGGGGTAACACGGGGTTATAAACTAATCAGATAAAACATACTATATGAATATTAAGTGTCTAAAAATATCAAAAGATTTTTGAACTATATTTAGTGTTAATGTCTTAGTTTTCTTATCTTTTTCATATATCTTTTTAGCCACTTCGCTGCCTTTTCCGTATTAATGTGTTTTGTAGTTTTCTTAATTTCCACGTCATGATCATTGTTAGTTTGACTTTTTCTGTTGCCGCTATCTTTCAGTACTTCTTCCAACAAATCCTTGTCGTCGATTGACCGGATAAGTTCTTTAACCTGCAGAATAATTTACAAATAAAATTAATATTAAAATAAATACCAATTTCACAGATATACCAGTCTTCAGGAACTAAAGTTTAACGTGGGACGTTTGCATTCGCTGCTGATTCGAAATCAACCGTGCATGTTCTCATGAGATGGAAATTTGATCTTTGAATTTTCGTTCCTTCGAGGTTAAGTATATATGCGGTTTTAAAGCGATCGCTTATATAGCGCAGCCTCGCATTTTTTTATAGTAGAGGATATCATTAATCCTGTCGATAATATTAATCCATCTAATCTCATACCTCAGTCAGCTTGTCATCTGTTTGAAAGTTTCTTACAATGCTCTTCAAGAGTTCATCCAGCATTGGAGCATTCTCGAACCTAGAAGTTAAAACTCAACAATGTCACATCAAACTTTGCGAGATCAACGTCCAATTTTTCCATCACGATTTGATGTTTTACTCTGAAGAATCGCACGCCGGCCGAATTCGATGAAGAATGAACAAAAGCAGCATTATCCTTCGCTAAACGTACCTTTCCTTTATGATTTTCCAATTGCTTTTGACAAAATTCCAAACTTTGTCTTTTGTCGAGTTAGACTCAAGCTCCTTTAACCAAGAAAGACTGTCTTGAGAGCGAATCTTTGTCATCTCCAAAGTGTTGTGTAAGTTCCTGGAAGTTTAATGATCCACGGTTAGTAATGGCGACATATGTTCTATACGCTCAAAAGCGTGCCGTAATTTTTGGCTTATTCGAATTCAATGGGTTGGGAAAATATTCGGGGGATTGTGAATTTCGGGCTTGAATAAGGAGACTACTTCCTATAACAACAAAACAACAAAAATCTTATATTTTGGTGTAATCTTGAAAGCTTGTTGATAATTATGGCAAAATTTTTGAAAGCTAGGATGCTAATGATGCTAATTGGTCGGTCAGGTTGTTGAATGTGTCGCAATGCAGTCGTTTATCTTTGATGCAAAATTCCTCGTTTTTTATCAGCTCTGATATGCCTTTGTTTGATTCACCAGTAATTATTTGGTCTGTCTGACTAATTGAGTGCATGCTGATCGATAATTATTAAATGGATGGATATTTATTGCACTTGTTTTTCGAAAGCATGGAACATCTCTCAGCAGCGCTATCCAGCTTACTTCGTAAATAGATCAGGTTTGTCAAACGAAACCAAGGAACTTCTCAAGAATCTTCTATCTGCATCGCAAGGTGATCTCTGGTACAAATTCCACAAATACTCCCAGTCGTCTGGGTCCTGTTTATTAAAACCATGTTCCAAAGCCAAGCGTCGAATATTCGGACTCGCATTCTTTGGTGTTGCCCTATATAAAAAAGGATTTCAACTGAAAGATATAATCCAGTATCCTAAACAAATCCTTCACATGGGTGGACAAATCAGGATCCATAGTTTCCTGAAGTGCGAAAAGCATAAACCATTCAGGCCTATCCAAGAACCACATATACATATATCCACTGAGGCTGGCGAATAGCTTGAATTCACCGCTAAAATCCGTCGAGATTTTCTTACCCAAAATCTTTGCTTTTTTTCATATTCCTGAATATTTTCTCGAACTTCTTCTTGACGCGAGGTCTGTGATGTATTGCTTGTTGTATAGCATAGTAACGATTCATCCTGCAAATATGGCATGCACCAAAAGATTGATGTTTCATATTATATGCCTGATTACCATACAAAATGCATGCATGAAGTTTCTTAACAATATGTAATAGTGCAAAAATCTTCCATGTCCTGTACAACAATTATAACAGGTCGTCACTTATGGAGTTCAATGAATTGACCGCGATAAGAGGATTTCACAGTTGCACAATTGTTTCCGTTTTAACAGCTAAACGTTTTAACCAGAGCATGCAGATGAACCGATCAGTTTTTTTAACCTTATGGCTTTTAAATGATGCTGAGTGGATATAACGAAACTCTTAACAGCTCTTTAGAATAGATGAAACTGTATATGTATTCCATTTCTTACTGGTCTAATGTTCCTCCTTTGTCCTCCAAGCCAAGTTTTTCCAATAAATGCTCTTGTAAATACCATATGTATTCCTTGTAGAGTTTTCTTAAACTAGCAGTTTTAAAGTGCTTTTCTAAACACTTTGATTTTTGTCGGAGCATTTTCATCGGAACAAAATGATCTTCTTTTGGCATGTAAATGATAAGTTTCAGAGGAATGGTTGCCTCCAGTATACCTTCACTAGAATGTATTATAGAAATATTTATATAGGAGCAATATGCAAATCCAATAATGTCATGCAGGCAGAAATACTTAGGAATTAAAGTATTGGAGCTAGTTTTTGAACCCAACTTCAAAGAAAAGGCAACCTCCTGTTTTATGTCTGTCCATCATGGAGCCATTTAGTTTTTTTAAACAATTGAATTAATGTCCGCATTCCAACCGCAAACACACCTGGTCAAATTATCTCGTTCACTATCAACTTACCATGCTAAGACAAAAGCGTCGTGGATGAGACCGGCTCTATCTGATGGTGAAAACACCTTTGAAAGATTAGTTGAACATGTCAGACAGTTTTCAAGCGTAACGTGCAAAGTGAAAAAAGATATGAGAGATATCATAGGTTCATATGCGGACATACCACATGGTAATTTTTTAATTGTTTGATGAGTTTTATCCAGTTCGCTTTGTCGTAATTGACGATGTAATATCCATTTGCACGTACGTTTGCCTTGATCCAGCCCACTGGATCTAAAACACTCAGCTTTTCTAAAATACAAAGCATATTAGGCAATTCTGTGGTCATGCATGGATACACCGTACACGAAACTAGTCTTCTTACACATACTGTAGGACACCCACGTATATGTGTCACACAGTAAGGCGTCGTAAACAAAAAGATTAATTTTTTACAGTAGTAAAGTGCATATGCTTTGTGTCATTATATATAAAGACTTTTTGAAGGACAAAGAGCCATTTCCGGAGCCATGCATTTCTGTGGAATAATGATGATACGAAAGTAATTTGAAACGTAAACATGCACTGATTCTTCAACGGTTGTGGAGGAAGACCTCAATTGAACTGTGTGAGATACTGTACGTTCACTCGGGATTCGACGAATTTGGTACGTTTTTTTTGTGTTAATACGTAGAATCGGTCAAATTTTTGTCCATTTTTACCTGATGGACAGACAATTCGAGCAGTGTTCCAAATTCGTCCAGTCTTGTGTGAACGTAGCCTAAGTCTTTAGGCAAACGACAGAACTAAGTAGTACGGTAAATTGAAAGATATACAGCGAACTATGAAATCGGAAACCGACAGCACAGGCTAATTCTTACCCCATTTTTTATCCAACCAAACAGTGTATTCTTTAAATGCCGTTGATTGCACAGTGTAGGTCAGGGGAATATGCCACAAGCTGGAATTAAAAAAATCATGAGTCCATCTTCAACAAACGCGAATCCAGTTTTCTTACAGTATTCCTTTACTCATGACCCAACGAATTTCTGACGATACTAATTCTGAGGGTGTAGGAGCCGGTTGAAACTCAGGGGAGGGAATTTCAGCGTATATTTCAAACAAGGCAAATATCGGGAGAGTTCACTTGTAAACAAAGCACTTTTCATTTTCTTAATTTCGCCTTGGAAGGAATGGGAGGTGCCGGGGTGGGACTTCTCCCATAGTGATGGCGCCTTTCTGAGTTCGTGTCTTTGTCAGTGCAGTCTTATCTGAGATTACTCTCTCTACTACAGCGTTTAATACGATCAGCACAGGTATGCTCAAATTTGTCCTTGTCACCAAAGAACGGATGGAATTAGTGAATTTACTCAATTAGGTTTATTGTAAGTGGATAAAGTACGCATGAAGTCTTCGGAAATTTCGCAAATATTTTTACATAAAAAAATGATCAAGGAGATAACTACGTGAGTGACTTCAAAACAAAAAGATTAACTGATATCATCGTTTGCTCGTTCGACGTTTTTCACAAAAAAGATGGATTTTAGTTATTTTAAAAATGTCTGAAGTATGTAAAACCTGCCAGTTAAATGATATCAGTGTTCGCATTAATAACGGGTATAATACCTTCCTGATATTTTTTGCCATTCTTTGTAGTCGCTTTGTTCTGAAGATTTGTTTCCAATCGTCTTACTATCTGGCTTATCGTTGAATAATGGCCGTAGTTTGTGTTCTAGAAAGCTTTCTTGCTTGGCCAATATCAAATCTTTTTCGGGTCCTTTTAAACGCTTCAGTGTGACAATAGGAAAACTTTTCTCTTCCATCCATGATTTCATCAATCGCGATAAATCAAGGCGTTTGCCAACCTTCACGACATGCAGAGACAGTTCAACGTATTTAGGTTAAGGTGATTATTGCAAATACTTAGTGGTTACTGGCTCATTGATGCTGCTGTGAGGGTAGTCTAGATGAATTCGGTGCAGAATCAAGTTCTGTCGATATCAGCTTAAAATGTGCTATGCCAGATGTCGATATGAACTTGAATTTCGTTCTGAAATATCAACGTCTTTAAAAGACCTAAATCCGAACTAGACAGACCTCTCTTATCATTACCGAGAATTAAATCCGAGTCAGTCAATGAGACTCGACAATCACGTCTAAGTTTTACGCATCAAATGATACGCCTCAAATGACTCTTACCTTGCTCAGAGCCGTCCATAGATCTGCAGATTCAACATTTCCATATTTGTTTTCACGAAGATATATCTATAAATAACAGCAAAGTCTTTTCACACATTAGATTTCACCATTCTGGCGGCATACTTGTTTCTTTTTCAGAAATTGATATGGAACGACTTCTGATGGTTCTGCCCTCCCCCGCCCCTCGGCCCTTCCCACCTCCCGTACATCGACGACCATCTCATTTTCTAGGAAGGAAGACTAGTCTCTCGTAGGAAACTCACCTTCAAACCCTCTAAGAAGGCAGAATTACCAAGCGTGTTCATCAACATCTTTAAAATCATTGGTGCCTAAAACGGATTTATAAGAATTTTTACTAAGTTTCTGTTTTTCGCTTTTGGTACGCACAATAACCAGTTATTCACTTTCACACAACCAGTCATTTTACCTTGCCATAAATACTAGAAAAAACGGTTTCTCTGTATTTTGGTTGTGATATCGCGTGAACTAGAGGAATTGTACTTTGTTTCCCATCCTCCTCCAGTGCATTTTCCCATCTCATTGTTGACAAGGCCAACTATAAAAGCAAATATTTGCTGTTCATTATGGGTTTGAAGATCAGGTTTTAATATTACTCTTAGTCTCAACGATAATCTCATCTAATCTTAACTCCTATCCTTATCTCAACTTGAATCTCCACAACAATCTCCTGATCTCAATTCCAATCTTAATCTCGACTGTAATCTCAGTCAAACTTAACTCTCATCCTAAACTCATTTTTCACTTTTACCATGATCCTGACCCCTACCACAGTCTTATTCCTAATCTAACTTTACTTCTCATAATAATCCTCAGTCCCAATTCTAACTTCACTCCCAACATTAATCCACAAATCCAAGGATGATCGGATTATGCTACCTGGTCAGTCTCCTTGTCAATGTTATAACATGCCAAATATGCAAAGAACGTCGCAAATCCTTCGTTCAACCATAAATCATCCCACCATTTCATCGTTACCAAATTACCAAACCACTGCAATTAATAAAAATACTTTGATTCGTATTCACTCAGGATGCACTCAAAAAGTCATTCACTCAAAAAGTCTACCATTAATTAGAACCCTTTGAGGCTAATACCTTTCTATAAGGGTACCTACCATATGTGCCAGCTCGTGGGAAATCACATTCATCATTTTCTCCTTAGTGAAAACTGATATGAAGTTATCATGGTAAACAAGAAATTCACGACGAAAAGTGATCAGGCCCCAATTCTCCATTCCTCCCATAGCAAAGTCTGGCATCGCTACCAAGTCTTCAAAAGAAAGTGAAATAGTTTGAACAGGGAATCAAATGAAAGCCTGGTCTCGGCAGGCTAACGATATTTGGGGAAGAAATACAATGCGTAGAAGGTATGATAAATGAATGAAAGGGCAACACTCACCAAGTTTCTTCAACGGAAATTTTGATCCGAGCAACTTTTCGTAAAATGTCAAAGTCAGGGATGAAATATTCAATGCGAAGCCAAGTTTATCTTTGTCTTTTGGAGGAGCATACACACGCATCTGACGGGATAGAGGTATTTGGGTTAAAGTTAGTAATAAACATCAAATTATCTGCTCCTTTTTCGGTTGACTTACAAGTACAGCCCAATGAACTACTGTGGAATGAAGCTGTGTAGTGTTTATAATCGTTATAATCTTAGTAAAGCGTTGTTCGTAAGTCGTGAAGAATCTGTGGGAATTTTTAAGGAAATTAAAAGACGTATCGTTACTACCAATAAATATCAACACAAGTTATCTTCACCTGATACATTTGTTACAAACTCTTCAGGATACCAGGCCTGACATTGTCGCATGTGATGGTATGTTATTAATTAAAATGGCTGCAAGGCTTGCTATTGTTTTGAATTATATTTTATAACTGCAACTGAAAATCATGTTCAGTTTAATTACCTTTACTCCCGATGCAGTTGTCGTCTCTTGGTATTTTAAATCATGCACCAGGAAGGCCAGGGTGTAGGTGCTCATGGGCGGGCTGGTGTCGTAGTGGTCTATCACCAGATCGACGCGTTTTCGCTCTTCTCTATTCCTGGGCATGTTGGATAAAGATTGGTGAGTCGGATCACGGGAGATGTGCATCGTAAACTTTGCCTTCAGGGCTGGTTCGTCGAAACATGGAAGTGCTCTGCGTGCGTTATTCGCCTCAAACTTTGTCGCAACCAACGGTCTAAGAACAGCAGAATTATTGAAAAGTTTATCATTTGTATTAGCCGCAGAATGGATGAGTTCTTTTGGCTTTCCTTACTTACCTTCTCTCTCCAAGTTCTGTCGTGTAATAACTTTTATAGAAACCATCCAAGGACTTTGATATGTTTGCCGAATATTTCATAATGATTACGTATTTTTTGTGTTTCTGTAACTCCTGTTCAAGTTCTATAACATAATGATCGTATTTTGGTTTCATATACTTGCTCTTTATCTCCAGTAATTTCCCTGACTTAGCTTTGGTGACATTGGTTTTAGTGATCGCCATATGTTTTGCATGAAGAACTATTTTGTCTGTCGGCACTTTGCACAAAACGATAATTTTCACTTCGCCCGAAAACGTCATCGTCGATAAGTTCACCGCTATGTTGATGTCGTAGGCTTTCGGTACGACGTCGGTGGGAAGTCGAGGACCGTCGTCTTCGAGATCGGAGTCTATGTCGCTTTCTGATTGGTTAATGCCAAGTCGATCTTCCCCGGACGCCAGCGACCGTACGAATGCAACTACTTGGCTAGGCAAGTGTTGGTTACTCAGGATAATAAGACTGGCCACAGCAAGAATTACCACACAGGATATTGCGAAGGATCGAGCAAATATTTTATCTAATTTCACTCGCTTTCCCGACATTTTTCTTCTTTTCAGATGATATTCTATTTTATTTCATTTCAGCTAGAAAAAAATAATAGCAGATGTTGTTAAATAATTATATATTGCAAGTTTTGCATGGGTCTTCCAACACCATTGATTTCTTCGTTGTTAAATGTCACTCTCTACACGGTTTTAATTTCAAACTCCTTCTTTCGTTTTCAAACTTCTGGCCTCTGGCTGTGGTGACGAAATCGCAATGCAGTCCTTCAGCACGGTTTTTTCGTGTTCTGATGGTTCTTGTGAGGGTTCACAGCAGGAGCGAACCCAGCATTTTGGTTGATTGATGCGAAGTTCGATTCGACCATGGTCGAGTATACTGTTTTCCGGTAAATTTTACCATGGTCGAGTTAACCGTTTTCCGGCAAATTCGACCATGGTCGAGTTAACCGTTTTCCGGCGAATTCGACCATGGTCGAGTTAACCGTTTTCCGGCGAATTCGACCATGGTCGAGTTAACCGTTTTCCGGCGAATTCGACAATGGTCGAGTTAACCGTTTTCCGGCAAATTCGACAATGGTCGAGTTAACCGTTTTCCGGCAAATTCGACCATGGTCGAGTTAACCGTTTTCCGGCGAATTCGACCATGGTCGAGTTAGTCGTTTTCCGGCGAACTCGACCATGGTCGAGTTAGTCGTTTTCCGGCGAACTCGACCATGGTCGAGTTAGTCGTTTTCCGGCGAACTCGACCATGGTCGAGTTAGTCGTTTTCCGGCGAACTCGACCATGGTCGAGTTAGTCGTTTTCCGGCGAACTCGACCATGGTCGAGTTAGTCGTTTTCCGGCGAACTCGACCATGGTCGAGTTAGTCGTTTTCCGGCGAACTCGACCATGGTCGAGTTAGTCGTTTTCCGGCGAACTCGACCATGGTCGAGTTAGTCGTTTTCCGGCGAACTCGACCATGGTCGAGTTAGTCATTTTCCGGCGAACTCGACCATGGTCGAGTTAGTCGTTTTCCGGCGAACTCGACCATGGTCGAGTTAGTCGTTTTCCGGCGAACTCGACCATGGTCGAGTTAGTCATTTTCCGGCGAACTCGACCATGGTCGAGTTAGTTGTTTTCCGGCGAACTCGACCATGGTCGAGTTAGTCGTTTTCCGGCGAACTCGACCATGGTCGAGTTAGTCGTTTTCCGGCGAACTCGACCATGGTCGAGTTAGTCGTTTTTTTGTGAACTCGACCATGGTCGAGTTAGTCGTTTTCCGGCGAACTCGACCATGGTCGAGTTAGTCGTTTTCCGGCGAACTCGGCCATGGTCGAGTTAGTCGTTTTCCGGCGAACTCGACCATGGTCGAATTAGTCGTTTCCCGGCGAACTCGACCATGGTCGAGTTAACCGTTTTCCGGCAAATTCGACCATGGTCGAGTTAGTCGTTTTCCGGCGAACTCGACCATGGTCGAGTTAGTCGTTTTCCGGCGAACTCGACCATCGTCGAGTTAGTCGTTTTCTGGCGAACTCGACCATGGTCGAATTAGTCGTTTTCCGGCGAACTCGACCATGGTCGAGTTAGTCGTTTTCCGGCGAACTCGACCATGGTCGAGTTAGTCGTTTTCCGGGGAACTCGACCATGGTCGAATTAGTCGTTTTCCGGCGAACTCGACCATGGTCGAGTTAGTCGTTTTCCGGCGAACTCGACCATGGTCGAGTTAGTCGTTTTCCGGCGAACTCGACCATGGTCGAGTTAGTCGTTTTCCGGCGAACTCGACCATGGTCGAGTTAGTCGTTTTCCGGCGAACTCGGCCATGGTCGAGTTAGTCGTTTTCCGGCGAACTCGACCATGGTCGAATTAGTCGTTTTCCGGCGAACTCGACCATGGTCGAGTTAACCGTTTTCCGGCAAATTCGACCATGGTCGAGTTAGTCGTTTTCCGGCGAACTCGACCATTGTCGAGTTAGTCGTTTTCTGGCGAACTCGACCATGGTCGAATTAGTCGTTTTCCGGCGAACTCGACCATGGTCGAGTTGTCGCCGGCGAACTCGACCATGGTCGAGTTAGTCGTTTTCCGGGGAACTCGACCATGGTCGAATTAGTCGTTTTCCGGCGAACTCGACCATGGTCGAGTTAGTCGTTTTCCGGCGAACTCGACCATGGTCGAATTAGTCGTTTTCCGGCGAACTCGACCATGGTCGAGTTAGTCGTTTTCCGGCGAACTCGACCATGGTCGATTTAGTCGTTTTCCGGCGAACTCGACTGTGGTCGAGTTAGTCGTTTTCCGGCGAACTCGACCATGGTCGTATATGCCATTTTGCGGCGAATACGAGCATGGTCGTATTTGCCATTTTCTTGCGAATACGACCATGGTCGAGTTTACTGTTTCCCGGCGAACTCGACCATGGTCGAGTTTACTGTTTTCCGGCGAACTCGACCATGGTCGAGTTTACTGTTTTCCGGCGAACTCGACCATGGTCGAGTTAGTCGTTTTCCGGCGAACTCGATCATGGTCGCATATGCCATTTTGCGGCGAATACGAGCATGGTCGAGTTTACTGTTTTCTGGCGTAATCGACCAGGGTCGAGTCTACCGTGCAAGCAAAGATTCCTCGTCTTTGGGAAGTTTTACGCCTAAGCTAAACGCCTAAACCGCCTCAAGATCTCGTGTGCGCGTTAAATTTCTAATTATCATATTTTTTATTAACCTGCATTATATAGAATTGCTTATTTATTTACCTAAAAACTATATATTTTCATATCAAAATAAAAACAATTATAAAGCTCCTAGTATAAACATGAAACACTTTTTGTTCGGACTAATCTATATAATTATATCTAACGTTAATACGACACCGTACATTAGTTCTTTGACAATGAATGCACTTTCTGTCGGATCGCGGGAGATATTTCAAATGTTAGATTTTTTAGTTCATCATTTACTGACTCGGTAAAAACATGTAATCGTCTAAAAGTCAACTTGACTGCCATTATAATCTCCGGTCTACTTTTATTAATGATTCGTGTATATCTTACCGTGTTTCTTAATTGGTTCGTAAAATAATACTGCTAATCTTACTCGTCGAGGTTTCCCAATTTTGATTATGAAGTACACGAAGTAAAATTAAAACACAAAATTGTCTTTCCTCAACATGGAAATGTTTATCAAGAGCTTCAAGTTGTTTATTTTTGCTTTCTTGTACAGCGCCGTTCGAAGACAAAGAGTAAAGTCAACTTGCAGGTGAAATTTTGTTAAATAGGACAGGTATAATTTCACATCCTTGATCCGACTGCCGGTAACTATTTGAGACTTTAACTTTGTAAACCTAGTTGTAAATTACATTTTATATTATATATTTATCACTATTGCAAACTGTTAGCAAGTTTAACAACAACATATTTTAGGACGAAAACAGAAAAGAAGTAGAAACTATGAATGTGAAGGCGGTTTACACTATGCAACTTTCCTTGCGATGCATTTCTACTCCTGAGGCATCTAAAGTTGTCAAACACGAACATTCTTACGATCTGCTATTAAAATGTTTCAGTCTTAGCATTTCTAAAACTCTTCGCAGATTAACAATTATAATTGCATTGCAAGTTGCAATGAAAATTGCATATAGTGTATAACAGCGCCTTGAATTTGATCAGTGTCAGTGGCTGTGATTTTGTGAATAACTAGGCCTACAGACTCGGCTGACTCGCGTAAACAGAAACAGAATAGACAGGAAATAGACATTAAAGGCTAATTTCCATTTCGGAAAACGAGCAGCGGATCGGATCGGATTTTTTTCCGAGCCTGGTCCGATCCATGAAGTGATTTCGGATCGGATAAAAAAAGTTAAAATTATTTGAACTTTTTTTTATCCGTTCTCGGACGCTTTCGGATCAATATAAGCCAAAAATTTCAACAGACGGCGCACGCGCGGATTATCTTTCGTTCCGATCCGATCCGCTGCTCGTTTTCCGGAGTGGAAATTAGCCTTTAAATTCCAACATGCAGAAACGTCATTTATTTGCTAACCGCGGTTAACTTTCTTGGGACACTTCTTCAGCCTTAAGGCTAATTTCCACTCAGGAAAACTCTCCTTTGGATCGGACAGGACAGGAAAGTTTCCTTTGTATAAACGCCGCCTGGGAACTCACCGACAAAGGAAATTTTCCTGTCCGTTCCGATCCAAGGGAGATATGAATAATTTTGCCAAACATAATACTACCATTTGCGTTCAAGCTTGCGGCGTGCGATTTTAAAACGTACGTTTCACGTTTCAAAACGTACGTTTGCCATTTCAAAACGTACGTTTTGTTACGCCCCCTGTCATGTTTAGACAATGAAATTGACATGTTTTTGAAGTTCAAACGAACTTAGCTAATATCCAAAAATAGGTTTATTACATTTGTAACGTTTGCGGAAGTGTTTTATAAGAATTACAAATGGAACCTTACTCTGTGAGAACAGTAAACTTATATAGGTGCAATTTTCTTTTTTCAAATAGCTGCATTCAGTATTTTAAAACCGTATTTAAAAATAACCCAAACATGAAAGGGGGCGTGACAAAACATACGTTTTGAAACGTTAAACGTACGTTTTGAAACGTGAAACGTACGTTTTAAAATCGCACGCCGCAAGCTTGAACGCAAATGGTAGTAAATCACTCGGGTTTTCTTCCGGTTGAAAACAATAGTATGCATCCTTTGTTCTCTCTGACCAATCAGAGCCGGGAATTTTGATGACGAGAGCAGGAAAATTTGAATTCTTGAAGCATGCATGGAGAAGCCTGCTTTCACACGGCCATTCTTGAGCATTTCCTTGTCGGGGCTAGACGTTTTGCCTCAAGTTCTAAAAAGAAAAGTAAAAACCACACTGACTCGAGAAGAAGAAGCGAACGTTTCATGATCAACTAACAAGTCGTCTTATCTTGTTAGCGCTGCTGATGGCTACGTGTTTACAGGTATTTATTTATCTAAATCTTTCCCGCTACGGATCAACGCATTTGGTTGAATTTAAACGCCCAAATTTGCATTGCCGGTTGCTATACCATGTGCCTCAATTTTGTTCGATTTTTGCGGCAAATCTTCTCAGTATTGGATCAGTTTTGCAATCAAAAGTCTCCTTTAACTCATACTTTCATTCCTTATCATTTTAGAGCGAAAATCCTTGGGAAAAAAACGCAAAATTTCGAAGAGATTTGACCTCGTGCAAGGTTAGTTCATGCGAAACTCGATTTTTTATTGCTCTCCGTGGGCATGTAAATCCTTCGTGAATTAGTTTACTTCATAACAGTTTGTATTCGAAACTATAGGTAATGAGTACTTACAAAACTTTCTTTTTTCATTTTGAACTTGTAAAATTTTTTTTAACTATGTGAGTTGTTTCGGAACTCGGGCTATAATTGATCGTCTTAACTCTTTGTGCGTTATTTAAAACTTTCATTGCTATGTTCATAATATATAGACTTATTAGCGCAAGATATGAGATCGTTTATAAATATTTATTTCGATTTAAGAGAAACAATCCTGTCTTTAATTCGTATATTTTAACGCTTTGACAAATGTTGACCTGGTAAAGACACGAAGCGATAGGGCCAGGCGCACGAATTTACTGATTTGCTTATATCACCTATGCGTGGTATCTCGACAAAGCCAATGTAGAGGGCGGGTGTCATCGAAATATTTGGCAGTTTATATCAGTTAAAAAATTTCAAATGTCTCGACACGCTGGCCTTACTCGATGTTTGTGTAGATTTTTAGCTATTGCTTCTTCAAATTTCACCGCGTACTCATCAAGACTCCTTTTTTTCAATTTTTAGAAAGAAACGTTCGCAATCATTCAAAGCCAAAGGAAAGGAAATGTAAGAATACTGAAAGCAACTAAGAAAGGTGACTGAATGCAATTCCTAAGTGCGCGCAAATTCGAAAATGTTTTCTATTCAAAATTTGCCGGTACATGCCACTTATTAAAACCGTAAAGGGCAAATAATTCATGATTGCACGTGGGACTTCAGTGGGGTAAGGGCATGGGGATTATTTTACTTGTGTGCATTGTTGACCTTTTGTGCAAATTCTAAATGCGTTTGAGGTTTCATTTGTGCTCTTGAAGTAGGAATGTTTGTGGACACTCCAATGACTTCACAGTTCAGTCGCCTGCACCAGAGCCTGCTTCGAATGTCCGACTGTGATGTTGATTTTCCCCGGGTGTCAGTTGTGTGCATGTGGGGGGAGGCGCCACCCTTCATATGCGCATCTCTCGGGGGAGGCCTGCGGGCCCGATTGGAATTTGGGGAGGGTCGGCAGCTCAGCCGAGCGTCCGGAGCGTGTTTCGGTGCAAGCAACTGAACTGCGAAGTCACTGGAGTGTTTACGAAGGTTCGTACTTCAGGAGCGCATCTGGAACCTTGAAAGTATTTGTTATTTGAGCAGAAGGTCTTCAGTGTACACCGATGAAATGATTTTCATAAACTTGCCAAATTGAAGTCCTAATCCAGTGGCATTTGTATTCGTTCCCAGACCTTTGCTATATGCTCACGGTCATGTTATACACTTGTTTTCAGACCTTGCTATATGCTCACGGTCATGTTATACACTTGTTTTCAGACCTTGCTATATGCTCACGGTCATGTTTTAGACTCGCTATAAGACAAAGCTATATGGTTATGATCAAGCTACAGACTTGCTTTTATTTATCGCATGGACTTGTTTCCAGACCTTGCTATATGCTCACGGTCGTGTTATACACTTGTTTCCAGACCTTGCTATATGCTCCCGGTCATCTCATACACTCGTTTCCAGACCTTGCTATATGCTCACGGTCATGTTATACACTTGTTTCCAGACCTTGCTATATGCTCGCGGTCATCTCATACACTTGTTTCCAGACCTTGCTATATGCTCGCGGTCATTTCAAACAGTTGTTTCCAGATCTTGCTATATGCTTAGGTTGGAACTCAAAACGCGAGTCGTTTCTAAGGGGAACATTTTTCACTTTTTGTTTGGCATCTGATACCAACCGACTATTCATGATGCATGCATTGTGATGCTAGACTATTGCGTAATATTCTGTCTACCTTCCTTGAGTTTCAATTTTCGAACTTCAGTACAGGCTTCTAACCAGTTTTAACTGGTCGCTTCTACGTGTGAAATACGGGTGAAAGGGGCCCCTCATTTGTATTTCTGTGTTGAAGCTATAGGCAAAACTATCCGCATGTCAAAAGATCTTTGCAAGGGGTTTACAGTATATAATGCTTTAGTCTGCATCGGTTTCAAATGAAAAAAAAATACGCGCAAGTGTACATGAAACAGCTTGCGTTAAAATGCTAAAAAACGTTAAAAACGTTAAAATCTGCTTCCCTGACTATATGCGGGGATACTTGTGTCTAAAAAATGTTATTTCAACAATCCTGAATAAGTTGAAATGAATTGAATTTTAGTACGATATTTCGGTTAGAATTTTCGACAAAAATGTAGGACAAAAATTATGCGTGCGAATTGGGATTGCGTTTACATCCAATCTTAACATGAAGTATCAAGTCATTATAAATGATACAAAGTAAAAGAAATCATCGCGCCAATGGAACAACGTGTTATTAACTGCGCCGAGGTCAAGATATTGAACGAAATGAAATCAACTCTGTTTCTGATTTGACGTTTCCATTGGTTAAAACTGAGCATTTTAAAGATAACTGATCCAGCAGCAAACGGCACCAAACTTGATTGATCTTCCTACGCCAAAGAGACCGTTGACGTTTATTTACATCAATCATATACTACAAACTACATGCTGTTCTAAAAGACGAACTGAAGTCTGAACTACACGAACTGGAATCATGCAAGCGAGTGAACCAAGTTGTGAAACGAGAATAACGAACTGTGAACGATTTTTCCACGCTTTAAGTTCAAACGTTCATTGGATTGGTAAAGATGAGACAAATGAAGATTGATGCTTTGAAGACGACCGGCGACGACTTCGACGGCAACCACCGACGACAAATGCGACAACCGATCGCCGTCCACCGATGACGATGACCACAAATATACGACGACAACCGATGACGATGACCACAAATATACGACGACAACCGATGACGATGACCACCGATACGACGACGCCAAAGTTGCTTGCGATGACAGACAAAGATGATGACTACTTTCAGGTTCACATTATATAATTATATACT